CAGTTCCTTCCACATCCTCTCCAATTCATTAAGCAGTAATCATTCTACCATTCAAGCTTATATAGAACCAGAAAACAAACAAACTACTGAAACCACTTCAAGTTAAATGAGGCAAATTTCGGGAGGCATCCAGTGCCATGCTACCCACTGACCGCTACCGAGTGACAGACCCAGCTATTCACCTCCGTCTATAGATAACATTGCTCATCTCACTTCCTTCAAAATGGCTCAACTACATCTGGCTGCAAGGTAGAACAATTTTAAATTCACGCTACAGTGAACAGCTGAAGGAAAACAAGCGTAAAAGTGTTTTTCTGAAATCTGCACTTTCCAGAGAAGCACGTTCACGTTTTCATATTACCTTCAGTTTGTTCGGCTGAATTAAAATAACACGTTCTTGTTTCCCTCTTTACAATGCAGATGTAATCGGGCTTCTCCCTAATGAATTTTCAGTCCGAGAGGTTTAGGGGTAGGGATTATGAAGGTGGAGAGAGGGGAGGGGGAAAAAGGGTCTTTTAAAAGTCTGTTTCCTGTTTCCACACAAAAAAGTAAAAAAAGTAAATGCTAATGCAAACCTTACATTCATGTCTGCTTTGTTCTGCCTTGTTGCTCACTGAAATCATTTGAAATTCCTCAAGTGTAATGGATTAATCCCTTAATACCTTACAGCATTGGTTCTGAAACTATGCTCCTGCAGAACACGAGTTAGTGTTCTGTGAGCTAGACCAAGGTGATCTACCACTGAAATCATGTAATGGAAGCCTTCTCAGAATTTCTCAAGAAGAAAATCGCTGGCGCCATAATTCCTGTAGCCTCAACAACTATCGATATAATAAGGCATTTGTTATTCCACATGTATCATCATCACCAACACAGCTGAACTGAGCTATTCTTTTTTGGGCCCTAATCAGTACTGGTGAGATGCATATTTTCTGCTACAGTACGTTCAGCCAGAGCAACATGATGTCCAGGTTCCATGCGGACTCAAAAAATTTGGGAGCCACTGGTTTAGAGTATAACCACCCTTCAACATTCAAGCACAAGACTGCTCGTAAACACAAATCGTGAAATCAGTAAGATCTGAAGAGGGGGCGGGAAAACAGGATGTGACATGCCAGAACCTCAGAACTTTACAAATGTATTTGGCAGCTTCAATACAAAATCAAGGCACAGTCGTGTCACAGATTTCTTCACCATAAATCCTGCACATATTTACAAGGTTTATAATTCCTGTTACTCTAAGTAGTAATACCATACTGCAAGAACTGCTTAATAAGGAGCTCCACAATTTGTACTCTTTAAGTAGACACTGTAAGGGTGATCAAATCTAAGATGCTCAGATGGGCAGAGCATGTAACATGGATGGGAGAGTTGAGAAATGCATACAAAATTATGAATAGAAGATGTTAAAGAAAGAGATCATTTGAAGACCTATCACAGATGTGCAAGATACTATTAAAATGGATGTTAAGAAGATATGGCAGAAGAATGTGGGCTTGATTCTTTCTGCTTCAGACAGGGAACGGTGGTGGGCCCTTTTGAACATAGTAATGAACCATATGGTTTCCTCAAGCAGAAAATATCTCAACCAGATGGACCAGTGGCTTCTCAAGAGTGATTCTGCTCCACGGAATAAGTTAGTTATGGTAACTGTTACTCAGTTCATGGATCACCAAACAGAAGACTATTCACAAATCTGATGTGTAATATGCTAATTTATGAAAACTGTACTGCAGTGCAATGTGACATTAAAATTCGTCCATACATTGTATAGACTATGAATAATGCAAATGGTTTCATGAATTCAAATTCAAACAAGTGCAATTTTCACTTGGAATCACATGTGTACCATATAACATGTTATTCACACATACCAAACCACGAGTGAATCGCTGATTCTTTTGGTTGCAAATTCAATTACATTGCAGAATAGAACACTTAGAAGACTCTTGGAATGGGAATCCATAATTTGGGGGAGGGGGACTAAGTACCCTTGAAAATCGGGAAAGAATGAACAGCAGTACTCATACTGACCACTGTAGGTCGCGGTGCAAGGGCCGAGAAGGCCTACCCCTCATACATTCATTTATTCATTCATTCATTCCTGAGCTAAACTGAAAACGTTTGTGTCTCTTTACTATGGTTCACTGCTCATATTGATTCTGTTCCTCAGCCTCTGTACTGTGTGGATGTGGGCAGTGCTGCCAACGTTTCACACGTACATGCTGTTTCCATCTTCTTGGTTAAAGTTAGTAGAGTCAGTGAGTGTTCAAAGTATAAATATGTTCCACTCCAAAAGAACCACAGGGGGAAGGGGTGGGGGCCAAGCTTCCGTAACTGTCTTAACAAAATCTACAATAACTGGGAACTGCTACAGCATTTTCTGAATACAACCATATTTTACGTTATTATTTCAGACCCACCTCTTGTCAAGATAATCCAGCAAACATGAGAAACCTAAAGATGCACCAACTGCCTACCTACACCACTTCAGTAACAGAGACAAAGCTGGCCAGACAGATTCAACAACCCTTGGAATGCATCTACTGCACGTCCTCTATCTAAGATACAGACTGTATGCAGTCCAGCCTCTTGTATTATGCTGCTTAATGGGGCCTTATAATAATCTCTTGGTTTCATGAAGTGCTTCCTAGGTGATGACAAGACCTTACTTCAGGTACAAAACTGACAGACACACAAGATATGTAACAAGTCTTTCTTTTCTCACTGAAAACTTACAGAAGGGGACTTACTGATATCAGAATCTAAACATGTTTCCCTGCTTGCCTATCAGTCATGCGCAAGTTATGATACATGTAACACCGAAAAACAGACAGAGTGAATGCAGAGGTTGTTGCATGTTTTATTCTCAAACCTGGCAAGCAACTTGAATGTCATCTGTTTAAACCATTCGTGACTGACACTGCTTCAAAGATGTGGTTCACCACACTTTTCAAACAGCTGTACAAATGCCTTCAAGAAGTTCTGAAGTTCATACATCAACCGAGCTAATACTTCACCCTGTCACAACAGACAGCAGCACTGTGCTCTTCTGGGGTCCTTCCCTGCCCAAAGACAGCATTTTAGCAATATAATCCAAATTCAGGTAAATGGAAAGGTGAGCGAGAACACAACAAAAACGCATTTTCACAGCCCTGTGAATGAAGTCCCATGACAGAGCAAAAGCAGAAGATTACTTCTTGATACGGACTAAAGATAAATGACAAACTGTGCAGCACTGGGTCCCTGTTCAACTTCAGAGAAATATCACAGCAAGAGCTAACTGACTGCAAGTTAAGTGGATCCTTCTCAAATGAAAAACTGAAAAGTTGCATGAAGCCATGGTACTAATTAAATCATTAATTGCGCCAAACGTATACTCCTAATTGCTCATTAAATAATATTTTTCAACTCTCCGTCTTGTCCTGAAGCCAATCAATCACATCACTCTGCAGCCTACAGGTGAGAGTCCCCTCTACATTTTCGGACACAAATGTGATAAGAAAAGAACATACAGCAAATACATAACATAAACATACAGACCATGAAGAAACACAAGACTGAATAGCTACACTAACTAGGCATGCATCATACATTTCAGGTATACACAGTTCATTTCAGGTACAGAAACATTTCAAACACATATGGGCACACTTCAAGTACATCATACATTTCACATACATATGTGCAAATTTCATATACACGGCATACATTTCACATACAGAAACATTTCAAACACATATGGACACATTTCAGGTACATCATATATTTCACATACATACGATGGGGTACCCAAAAGAAACTGAACTAATTTTTTTGTGGGCAGAGCTTTTGTAGTACCGCCTTTTGCAGCTATGAGTGCATAGAGCTAACATTCCTGAGTCGATAAGCCGACTACCGTTGCTTCAGAAGGTAAGGATTAGTTTCGGCAGAGTTTATAGTGACAACTGTTTTGTGTGATCGTCGTTTTTGCAATGGCTGATTTTCGTGAACAGCGTGCGGCGGTGAAATTCTGCTTTTTGCTCGGGAAAAGTGGAACAGAAACTCTTGAAATGTTAAAAACGGCGTACAAGGACGATGCTATGGGGAAAACTCAAATGTTTGAGTGGTTTTCCCGTTTCAAAAATGGTGAAATGTCAATTGATGACAAACCTCGTTCTGGTCGTCCTTCCACGGCCCGAACACATGAAAATGTTGAAAAAATTCGTGAAATCATCAAGGAAGATCGACGACGGACCATTGAAGAAATTGTGGAGCTGTCAGGAGTGACTTGGAGCTCAGTTCAGCGAATTTTGACAGAAGATTTGGGAATGAAAAGGGTGGCTGCGAAATTCGTGCCACAACTGCTGACTGCTGAACAAAAACAAGGTCGCGTGGAAGCATGCTGTGCTTTGAAAGAAGAGTCCCGACTTTTTTTTGTTTCTTCGAATGAAAAGAGACATGAAAGGAAAGCGTTTTGCTGATGTTGCTGAGGTGAAGGAAAAAACGACAGAGGCGCTGTCAAGCATCTCAAAAGATGAATTTAAACAATGTTTTGAGAAATGGAATAAAAGACTAAACAAGTGTATTAGTGTAAGTGGAGAGTACTTTGAAGGGGATTGAAGGTTTGTGCTTAAAATTTGAATAAATAAGTTTAAAAAAAAATAAGTTCGGTTTCTTTTGGGTACCCCCTCGTATGTGCACATTTCAGGTATACAGTTCATTTCAGGTACGCAAACTTTTCAAACACACATGGACACATTTCAGGTACATATCATACATTTCAAATATACATGTACACATTTCAGGTATACATACATACATACATTTCAAACACACCTGGACACATTTCAGGCATATATGGCACAATTCAGGTACACACAGAACACCTCAGATACAAGTCACACATTTCAGGTACATACCACATATTTCAGACACTCTATATATCACACATTTCTGGTGCTGCTCATGCAACTATTGTTTTATATACAATATTTTCAAGTATACAAATGATGTCCTACCTGCTCGAAGCCCCCCAAAATTTCAGTGGTGTCTATTGCAGAGTTGATGGATAAAACTCGAAGTTCCTGCCCCAGCAACTGAGATAGCAAATGTACTGCACTTGTTTTGCCACTACCAGCTGAACCAACCTGGAAAATATAAGCCATGGTAAAATGTCAAGAAACCTGACCATGAACAAAGTGTCAATTATTGAAAAAGATAACTTTCTGCAAAATGGTAAAAAAAAAAAAGAAAGAAAGAAAAATATACAACACAATTTCATTTCCCTACATGTGCTGTCAACATATTTACATGAAACACCACTGCATAAACAGCAATAACAAAGAAAACATACCAGTATTGCCAACCAGTTCATGTCGACACATCTCGCAAGCGAACGCAGCACAGGAAACTGTCCTCTCAGAAGCATTAGACTATTCTGCTGTTGAGGCTGTCTCTGATTTGAGTTATTCACTAACTGATGAACACTTTCACTGACTTCATCTACAGTTTGAGTCCTCTGCGACGTCATTCCAGTGCGTGACATGGAAATGTCATCAACAAATAAAGTACTGTGAGTTATATGAATTCGAGGAAAACTGCAAAATAATGGATACTCTGATCCCATTTTTTGAACATAGGTTTCTTTAACCTGCAACAAAGAGAAAAGATATAAATTAAAACTAAAGCATATGGTGTGTGTGAGATCTGAGATTGCCACGACAGTGAGAACTTGATTTCAATCTTCTGGGGTGATGTGTAGTTTAGTGCACAGAACGTATGTTTTGGAGGAACCTGATCACTCTTCTGCATTCAAGATACATGCAGCAGGTTTCACAAAACACACCTTTCAAACTACACAGAATGATATCACAGCAAACAGCAATCTGAACATCATGTCAGTTGGGCCACACAATTATGTAACGAGTTTTCTTCATTATGTTCTATGTGATGATAGCAGATGGGGAAAATACATACTGCATTTCTTTGATTACACCATGCCCCTGAAAAAGCATCACACCCAAGTTTTTTAGAAGAAGAAGAAGAGGGAAACCCCACAGAGAATTTATGTGAATTTACAAATATTAAAATACAGACACTGAATATAAGTGTACATAATATACAGTGTCTTGATATCAAAATGCAAATTTCATTTACTTCTACCATAGCTTTCCATTTTTGGATTATTCAATTTTTTCTCTTAATTCTTACTTATCCAATGGCCATAATTCAGAAAGCTGCTTGCTTTCTTTAACTACACACAGACACATGGTAATACCTAATCGTAATAATCCAGGAATTTACCTTTTCTCTGTCTTCTTTTGTCCTCATTCTGTCTACATAAATGAGGTCAATAAACTTCCCTGGATTGAATGCGACATTCCTTTCTGATGACGCATATTTTGCAGAGTCAGCAATTATTGCTTCACACCACCGGCACAAGTCCCGCAAATTCAGTTCCCATGGTGCTCCTCTCTGTCCCCATAACCTCAACTCGCCTGTTTCTCTGACCAATTGGGAATTGAATTTTACCATGCGTGAAATAAGATCACTTGGCAAAGCAGGAAACATGTATCTGATAATGAACTCCAAGTCAGCTTCTGTTAAGCAGTCAATATAAACCTGTGAATGAAAAATTAAACACACGTAACATAGCTACTTACAGCTGCAGCGATGCAATATCAACAACAGTTTCCTAGATGTAAGATGGATATGCCTCTGCTACTAGGCAGAGCTTAAGTTCCATAAAAGCGGATTTTATGGAACTGCCCGCAAAACAAGGAACCTCCTCTACTAAAAATGATTCAAATTCAAGGACAGTACCAACTTAAAAAGAAATTTATCCTCTCTCTATATCAGATAANTTGCAACTCCTCCCCGCGACTGCATCCGTTCTGCGGTGGTATGACTCACGGCAAATTGCAGCCGCGGCGCGCACTTGATTGTACGCACTGTATTTACAGATGTCTGAATGCAATTATAATCATATCACTCATGCAAATCTAAAAGTCCCTCTAAAACTAATGAGATTCATGTGATAATTTTTTAGTGGGTAGTCATGGGGAATTAAAAACGGACACAAAGAAACTATAACTTTTCAATCTATTCATTCAACAATAACGATTCATAGCCAGGCATAACAGGCATCTTCCTTACAGAGACTGAGCAAGCTGGTTGAAATGGTGAAACCTCAGGCTTACATTCAGGAGGAGGTGAGATAAAGTCTCAGGCAAGACACTCACTATCCACACTATTTATCATGGTTTTCCTCTAGCACTCCAAGCAAATGCCAAATTTTAGCTTAAATTAAGCCATAGCCACTGCCTTCTGTATCCTGTCCATTATTCAGGCATTAATTATCCTGTCATTCAACACCACACTATCTGATCTACAGAGTAACTCCTTGGAACTGAATCCTTGCAAAGCTAATAGTTGCTCAGCCACTCAAAAACTCCCTGCATTTTATGTAGCCCAAAGGTTCACTGTGGTGCCCACAAGAGCTACTGTCAGCTACACTAACTAAACCATAAAATAATGAATAAATTGGATTATGATTATGAACAGTACTAACTTCTGGGGCATGACATTCCATTCACCAATGATGTTTCAGAGGAATGTCTGTAAACTTCCACCATACAGCATGGCATCACAACCCCACAAAACAGTACTCTCGGCAGAGGACACTGCCTGACTGTCACTGATCAAGAAACTACAACTAGCAGACAGAAATCCAAACGTACCTGGGTAAATCTGTTTAGGAATGACTGTGGGAGTCCCCTTCTGGCACCACCTTGCCTCAGCGGATTCTGCGCACCAAACAAACGTGTGCTGTCACTCTGAATGCGAAATGTTTTCCCAAGTTCAGGTATGAAAACTTCACCTCTATGGTCCAGACATGCATTCAAGCCTTCGAGCACTGACTGAGATGCAAGGTTTAGCTGTAACCAAAAGCTTGATTTACAGGAGCTGCAGTATTGCATGACACAACAAGGTCACAATAACTCCTACTTAAGACCGAACAAGTGCTTCATATTAGGCAGGTCCTGAGTTCAAATCTTAACCTAGAGACCAGTTATTCTTATGAATTTTATGATTTTCCTGTCTTGCTACATAAATGCTGGGAAAGTACATCAAATGAGGCCCCATTACACTGCTTCTTTCTACACTTCCTAATCATTCTTCACTTATCAGCCTACCATTTGATGCTCTACAGCCTGCGTTTTGTTTTTAATTCGCTTAGTGGTGGGTGGAGTCCAACTGGGTCCACAAGGGATGGCGGCCACTGATTGGCCTATTCGGGTGATTATGATGATGGAGAATTTGGTGGACTGAAGATTGGCAAGGGAAACCGAAGTAAAGTAAAAAAAAAAGTAAAGCTATGGGCCGTGAAGGCCCATAGGGTAGTGAGACGTTGAGGGTCCCACATTATCTAGAAAATCAGCTCAAAGATGGCAGTAAGGTTGTCAGCCTTACACACCTGCCGCCCTTTACACCCCAGGAAAATCATTTAACTAATTCCTGGCACTCATTTCTGTTAGAGGCTGAGTGAACCCCAGGGCCACAGTGCGGCTGGAAGGATTAGGTCAACTGAAAAATTCAATTGCCTCATCGGGAATCGAAACTGCAACCTTCTGGCTTGTAGCATAGCACCTCAACCAACTACGTTACTGCATGCCCACTGGGGGGGGGGCCGAAGTACTCAGAGAAAACCCGCCCCAGTGCCACTTTGTCCACCACAAATCCCATTTGACCAGACCCGGGATCGATCCTGGGCCACCGCAGTGGGAAGCCAGCGACTAACCGCTTGAAGTATGGCGCGGCCTACAGCCTGCGTTACTGACAGCTTTGTGAAATGAAGCATAAAGTAAAAGACTTTTAGTGAAGTTGAACTGCTGAGAAAGCACTCAATATCATGAAAGCAGGAAGGAAAGAAGACTAGAGAATAATTACAGTTACCCTCCAAAGGAAAGTGGTCAGTATAATTACCGCTTGCTACTGCACTAAGAAACCCTGTATTTTGCCTGAACAGTGTATTTATGGTTTTGTATATTTCTCAGAATAAAATGCAATTACATTCACATAAAGCATCAATTTGTTGGGCTTCGCAACTGAGATAGCGTCTGTGAGGAAGAAACTCAGATATTAAATGTCACACAGATTCAGTTCATGCTTCAAGGGCTTCGGGATATGCAGGTCTATAAAACAAAGGAAGAACGCGCAACAGATATGCCGGTAAGAACCGTGTTACCATTCTTATCAATCAATTCACTTAATTATATCACAATTTAATTACACAATTTTACACATATCACTGATGTACCCTAATGAACGCAGTCATCATAAGGCATTTACCTCATCCAGCAATATCCAATGACCAGTCTTCAATGCCTGAAGGAAAGGCCCATCACGCCAGGCAAACTGACCACCCTCACCTCCTTCCATCGGCAAGTCAGCTCCGAACAAGTCTGACACATCCTAGTACAAATAATTTCATAAGCTTTTATGAAAACAGAAGAAGTAGTCAGATATGCAAACCAAGTAGTACATAATTATATTCCTTCCAGGAAGGTATAAAACTGATGAATTGGATGCATACTGTTGAGGCTTGTAATAGTTTGTCTCTCGTACAGCATAACCCTTAATTAAGGTCTCTCTGCAGGACAGTAGACTTGAACACTGAACTGAGGAAAATTTTCAATAAAGGTAATCTAACATTAAGATTCCTGATGTGCAGGCATTAAAATTGAACGATAAATGAGGGAAAACTTTAAATCGAGGAATGTTTAATTGGCATTTCACTGTATTACACTGTGCTGGCAACATTTCTCTCACAGGAGATTTGGCCCTGCACTTACTGACTGTGGACAGATGAGAATTATTCCAGGTTAGAGACCTACTGCTTCATTTCAACTGAAGAGCCAGCTGTCTCACTGTATAGCGACATGCATCAAAATGAAAAACATCTCTGAGTACAATTCAACCCCTACATTAAGGAACGTGTCCGCACATAAACAGTAATTTTATAAGAATCTTCTTCACCATTCCCAACTCCAGTACCGCTGTTTATTGTCCCTTCATGCTGACTTGCTTCTCTTGTACTTTGGACATACTTAACATAGCTCAAGCCTCCTAACTTGTCCGTCTCTTTTGACTGCTATGCTGACAGTGACATGCCAAGCAAATGTAGGGATACTCTACATTTTAAAAACAACCTGCTTGCTAAAAGATTAAAATGCTTAAAAAAAAACATTAACACATTTCACATTTGATTTTAAGATGTAAGTACAGTAGTGTCTGATCTTACATCTGTCACACTTACAGTCTGGTCAGACACATTGATCCTGGTCAGCTGATGTCCTGCAGCCTTTGCCAACGCTGCAACTAGACTGGTTTTCCCAACCCCTGGGCTTCCCTCCAACAGAACTGGCTTCTTCAGCTGCAGGGCTCTCAGCACACGAGATGCATTGAGACCAGTTGTTGGTGCTGAGAACGTGAAGCCATCAAGAACAATGGGAAGACTGCCTAATTGAAACAAACAGAAACAGGCTTCACTTCCTGCTGGTGCAGTTCTTATCCTCAGAAGTTGATGGAGGTGAGTGGTCAGCTGTCCCCATGACAAAAGTGTCCCATCACCCACTAGATTAGAGGCTATGTGAGACTGAGAATAGGTCTGGATACTGTGGAGAAGAGATAAATCTCTTTCCCTGCCAGAAAACATTACACCAACTGAGCTATTTGAGATCTATTAGCTAAATGTTTCAGTGAAAAATAATAATACTTGTGTATGGTAAAGCTTAAGCACAATAGACCACTGTAGGTCATGGTGCAAGGGCCGAGAGGGCCTACCCCTCGTACATTCATTCGTTTATTCATGGTAAAGTTTGCAGACCACAGTTTGCATCAATGTTATGCCACTGTGGGCCTCAAGATGATGAACATGTGACCAAACAGTAATATGAGACAATAAAGACCATTGTGTAAACTGTATGACACATGCTTTAAGTTACTCTGTTGAGGTCAAGAACAGTGGAGCTATACCTCCACTCCTCCCCTATGCTTTCATGGCTTAATGTGTAATTACATTACCAAGTATAGGGATAATTTTCCCTTTATCTTTTGAGCAGATAGCAAATGCTGCAGTATAGAATGTCACTTCAAGCCACAACAAATATGTTACAACTAAAACAAAGCAGCTTATGTACGTAGTTGTGGCTACCTCTTCTGACGTAGAACGGGGAGATGCCAAAATGTGTATCAGTGACCGCAACACTACAATGCGCAGCAGTTTCAGCAGAGTCAAGTTCCATCTGCTTCATCAGATACTGCAACGCTGCACTTCGCAGAGCCTTCAGGTTGGCAGCACTAGAAAGATAAGTTCATAACATTATCCAACTTTTCAGTCTATAATGTGTGCACCCCATCAAAGCGTGATTGTATGCGTCATGGCTAGCCTCAAGTGACAATTCATAATTATTAAATTCAATTAAAGTACACTAAAAATTCCATGCTCACTATCAAAATTCTGCAACTTCCATCAATTTGGGGTTTCAGATGTTCATCCAGAGAAGCCTTAAATATGGATCTTTTTACAGAGCATATAAATTTACAGAACATGTCAGATTTGTTTTCCGCCAAATGCTTGTTTGCAAAAGAGACCAGCAGAACTTAAAACAGAGCAGTTATGCTACTATCAGACTGTTTCTGCCCACAATTCCCACTAGCACAAACTTAGAGCATAAACTGCCATGTGCAGTAAGCAGGGACAGCTTCAACAGTCAGCAGCTTCTAGCATAGTCTTTGAGGATCTGTTACCATACAAAATCTCAAGAAACCATAACAAGTCACCCCAGAGTCAATCCCACTTCATGAATTCATGTGGCTGCCATGTTGATATCACTGACAGTAGGAAATTATGAAGTATAATGGTGGGGCAGCCTCTAATGGCAAAATGCTCATACAAAGTTTCACAGAAACCTACATATGGGTTCAAAAGATATTACACAGTCACACAAACATCATAAGTCTGTCTTTCCTTATAAAATATGGAAAATAGGCTAAGAAATGTTGCATTAGTGCATGAATATGCATTTCTACCGAGGCCATGTGAGGAAGCCCCATGGATTGACTCCAGCATATCTCCCTGAGCTGTTATTTTTCCCTCACCAGTACATTTCCCCCCCCCCAAGTCATCTACCAGTCTGTTCCCATAAATGTCGGTAGCAATATTAGTCCGCTACCAACAAGCAACTTGAGCAGGATCACACGGGAAAGAGGAGACTGAAGGCGAAACAACATCCCCTATCATCGTTCATAGGAATTCTTCCTGTCACCTAAGCAGAACACTGTCAGACAACTTGAGATTTTGCAGCAAACAGGATCTCTGTCACACAACTCTACAGCAAGTACATTTATCTTAACCTCAAACCCAAACTAGACAATTATCATGTGAATGTATGTGTGCAACAGGAACAGAAAAATGTTAGAATATTTCAATATGGTCCCTACATGTACCTATCAATACTCGTTATTCCTGAACCAAAACTGTCCAGAAACGTGAGACAGGCCCCATGGATGTACGCTGTTGCTAGATCCAGTTTCTTGGTGCCATGACTTTCCCCTTCACTTTTCTGATCTTCTGTACAGGCATTAATGAAGTTCACCCATGACAAAATATCCCGAACACTTACAGTAAACCTGTGAACAATGAATTGCATGGGCCTTTAAAATCATACCCTCATGCACATTTCAAGTTGTATCAGCATAATTCACAAATATTAATACTCTTATGCACACTGCTCATATGGCCTGGAGACGCCAATGTTTCACGTTTACATATTGAACCTGTGACGAACACGTTACCTCTTGCCTACATCTGTACTGGTGAACCACTGAATGAAATCCAGCAAGCGGCTGCCAACACCTGAGCTGCCGTCCTCTTGATTCCCAAGCAATAAGACAGGGTTGAGGTTATGTTCCACAATTGTCAAGAGGTCTTGCCTATTTGTACAACTTTCACACCATATTTCAGTGAACCTGTTGCGGAGCGCAGGTGAAAGCTACACACAGAAAAATATATCTTTATGAGACTGAGGTTTTGTACCCTGAAGACAGAAGCAGAAGGTTGCACCCAAACAACTGGCAACTGTTTACAACAATATACAGTGTCATAACCCAGAAGACCATGGACTGAGATTAAAAATACAATAATAAAAATGTTTTTTTTTTAAAAAGACTGAATAAATGTTATACATTAACATGTCAATGTAGGCTAGAAAACATGGAAACAAAAAACAGTGTTTCCACACGAACAGATAAATGACATAACAGTAGCACTTTCCATAAATACTGTACTTGTTATATATCTTACGCACTGTATTTGCGCTGCAATTACACCGGCCTACAAATAACTATTCATTCATTCATGTTTATTCATCCTATAGATCAGATTACATTGTTGTAGGACATGTCGCATGATATAAATTATAAAATTAGCAAAAATACAACAAATTCTTAATCACTAAACTAACAAAATATGTAATGAGTGTTTACATCCAGCAAGTATCATTATCCAGTATTTGAGAATTTATCATTCATATAGTCCTCACTTGCGTAGTAACACCCATTACTGAGTAAATTCTTCAGTTCCCTTATAAACTGGTGTTTATTTATCTGTCTTTGCTAAATATGTATTATGTATTTTGTCGTTGCCATTGTAAACTGAAAATCAACCAATGCTTTGGAGGAACACATCGCCTCCACCTTCATCAGGGTTGAAGAATAATCCGAGCAAGAAACCCACATTAAGCAGGTAGCAAGTAGAACTCTGGCTTACTTTCTGCTTTTACACTGAAGATGGAGGCAACTTCCTCCTCCATAACACTGGTTGATTTTCAACAGACTACATGGCGTTATATCCCAGAATACAGAAGAACTCTTCATAACCACTGCTGTGAGAACTCCAAATCCTACATAACGTATTGTAATGATCTCTTGTAAACAAAAGACGGCTCACAAACATCATCATCTTCTAAGCCACATGCAATTGCGCAACATGTAACATTTATGCTTCTGCTATTCATGTGTGGAACCACTCTGCTTAGCCTCCAGATCTATACGCTGGGTGGTGCATTCATTTACAATTTCTTTATGAGCCCAAACCAGTGAATAATTCCCAAAGTACAAACCTCTTTCTTTCCATAGTCCCCTCCTGGGTTCATTGTGCCTATGAAATGAAAATTTTGAGCTGCGGTCACAACACAGGATTTGTCAGTTCCTAGTTCCCCACCGCCTTTCTCTGCGAGCAGCAATTTGCGCTCCGGTTCTGAAAACAAAATAAAAAGATAAATGGGCTGGGAATCAGTTTCTTTCAACAGGCAGATATATAAATAATGTGCGCATTATGAACTTTACCTAAAATTTGTAACATAAAGCAATTATTTTGACCCCCTTCTCTCTTATGTCCGAAGGCTTCCAACGACATAGAGTTTCCATTCACATCAACTGTCAGAAGCCCTCTGTCATCATCTATGAATTTACCAACATGCTATGATCTTGTGCTGAGTGTTATATCCTTGCTTTTCACATTCTTTGACATCTTTTTTATCAGTTTTATCTAATGGAACAACAGATGGCAAGAGGTTTATATCTTCCCATACTGAAGTACCTATCTCCTACACTTTCATACAAATTAATCTCTTGCTGGTAGGAGCGAAGTTGAAAACAAAAGGGAAGGGAAAGAGTTAGGTGGCACTAATGCTGTTCACACCCTTAGAATTTTGTAGGACATCCATGTTGATGATACTGACAGCAAGAATTCAGAAAACAAACATACAGTGGCCTCTAGTGGAATGTTAATACTGACTTTCAGGAATATCCATTAACAAATGCAAAAGTTACTGGGAAGGATGTTACCATACAAATAACATTTACCAAGAAGAGAATTCAGTCTCTCCACAACACTGTCATCTGCAAGTGAAATCTCATCTGCAAGAAACAGGTCACCTCTTTGCATCGCCTCAATCAAAGGTCCATCAACCCATTCAAATAATCTTGCGGATTCCATGTTCTGAAAACAGAAAAGACATCTAAAATCACACTACATACTGATTGCACCTACTTAACAGACGACAGTACGTCATGCTGTGTGGGGGCAAACTTACAGATGAAATTTCCCATGTAGGTATGTTGGAATTTATCACATGTGCATGAAGACCAAAAGCACGTTGAACACAAAATCTACTTTGTCAATGAGACTGATGATGTTGATGCATCCTTGTTCCCATAACAGGAGGCATACATCACACTACTTGTGTACCAATGAATGGAGTCTTCCTCCTTGATGGCCCACAGTGCTGTCCAATCCAGATCGGTATATAAAACTGCTACAGAAGTCCAACACTCAATACACTTACCTTAGTGCGGTCTCTAACTGGACGAAGTCCTCCGAGGAAATCTGAACTCTCTGTGTGCATGTGGCAATTGACAGTGTAGAGGGACTGTCTATGAATGCACGCCAGCATCTGGCACACCGTCGTCTTGCCACAGCCCGTCTCACCAACAAGCAGCACAGGTTCTTTGAACTGAAAAGCTTTGCCTGAGACATGAGAATGAAGGAACAACAACATTAATTACTTTAACCCACTGAGTGAACTATATGGACCGCAAACTTCACTATCTCAGTGCCTATGCCACACATACATATGCACGGTGCAATCTCTCATACCAGTCCACTGTAGAAGCTTTCTGCCACCAAGTTACAATCACATGCTCGGGTTTGGTTTTCATCTCTACGATACATCCTTTGATATCTTTCTTGGTAGTTCATGTATAGGAACAACAAATGGCAACAGTTTAGATCTTCCAATAACAACCATTTCCTTCAAACTTCTGTGCAAATTACTTTGTAGGTCATGGGAGTGAGCTTGAAATAAATAGGCTGTAAAATATTCCAAAAATAATTCTTACAGTTTGACAGCATTCAACCTGCGTCAAGAATAATTCCAAAATTTCTGCATGATCTGCCATACTTAAAATTAATTATGAATGGTACCAATTACACAAATGTAAGCTTCTGTTAAGCTTTCCTTGCTGGTTACAAAGAATAAATACTTCACTTGGCTGTCAGAATTTGAACAGAAATGCAATACTTCAACCCATCACTTACAAATGTGTCATTTTCTCAAGATAAAGAACATCTAACTTAATGCCTTATTCCAGAAACAAACAGGGGTAATTACCACTGCACTAAACCGACCATTTGTACACCGTCACAAACAAGTGTGCTACATTATGCCTGCAGTCTTCCGGGATATGACACCATACCATTCTGGAAGAAACTGCTGCCTCCATCTTCAGGGAAGAAGTCATCCAAGCAGAGAACAGGTACATAATACTGGGAAGGGACTATAAGCAGTCCATTTATCCAGCAGCCTTAATATTCACTGCTGTGAGAACCTCAGACCTAAGCTTCATTTGTATAATTACAAGTACAGTAAAAAACTTACCAACCAGAACAGCTAAGCATCTCATGTTGTATGTCCAAACAATATGGTTAAAACCTGGCAGAGGATCAGCCAAAACTTTCTCCAAGATTGGGCGAGTAACTGGAGATGTCCTCTCGCTCACTGAAAATAAAATAATTTACTGGCTTTTAACATCATCAACATAAATGTTGCTATTTAGTACATTCCTATAAAGACACAGATTTGACATGAAGAACTTAATGGTATTAATTGAACACTACAAGTAACATTCATTCATTACTTTGGTGCGAAATTGTACTCTTCTGCTTAATCATCTAATACCGTCTGATTTTTGTGGTTCTATATGGGTGTGAAACTTGGTCTCTGACATTAATGGAGGAACATAGACTGAGGGTTTTTGAGAACAGGGTGTTGAGGAGAATAATTGGACTGAAGAGAGATGACGTGACAGGAGGTTGGAGAAAACTGCATAATAAGGAGCCTCATAACTTGCACTCTTCTCCAAGTATAATTAGAATTATCGAGTCAAGGAGGATGAGGTGGGCAGGACATGTAGCACAACTGGGGGAGACAAGGAATGCATACAGGATATTGGTGGGAAAGCCAGAAGGAAAGAGACCTCTGGGAAGACCAAGGCCTATTCAAATATTAAAATGGATCGTAGAGAGATAGGATGGGATGGTATGGATTGGATTGATCTGCCTCAGGATAGGGACCAGTGGAAGGCTCTTGTGAACACAGTAATGAACCTTTGGGTTCTACAGAATGCTGGGAAATTCTTGAGTAGCTGCAGAATTGGCGGCTCCTCAAGAAGGGCTCAGCTTCATTAGTAAGTAAGTAGGCCGCACCATAGCTCAAGCGGTTAGTCGCTGGCTTCCCACCGTGGTGGCCCAGGTTCGATCCCAGGTCTGGTCAAGTTGGATTTGTGGTGGACAAAGTGGTGCTGGGGCAGGTTTTCTCCGAGTACTTCGGTTTCCCCTGCCAATCTTCATTCCACCAATTGCTCCACATTCACCCTCGCCTATCATATGGGGCTGGTACAATAGGCCAGAAGTGGCTGTAGTACAAGGGACTTAGTCCCACCCCACTAGCAATAAAAAAAAAAAAAAGAAAAGTAAGTAAGTTGTACAGCCTAAAAACAGGGACACTTAGCAAATGTTCTGGGTTGACTGATGCAGAACCAGCATTGCTGCTCACTGCAAAACATTTCGCCACGTCACATGGAATAATGGATTAAGTAACATATTTATTTGGCTATACACTTCTACATTTATTTTTTATAACTGGTTTATTTAACAACAAAACAGCATCAGAACTTATACAGGCATGTCTGTGGAGAGATATTCTCAGAATAGAAAGTATCATTAACGTTCTCTCTTCCTGTCACACCTCTGTGACATCCCCACAAAACTAGCCACATTGCACACACTGTCTTGAAGACAGGAGATGATGATACCATCTAACAACTCCCACAAACACCAAAATAACAGAACCATAAAGTCTCACAGGGTAAGTGTGGATCTACAAAGGGTAAACTGAGTGACCACTCACAAATACAGTTCGCACTAAGCAGCTGACTGTTAATCTGTATAACAGATTTCAGAAGTTCAATTCTCCACCACACTGGACCCTATCTGAGCTTGCTGAATCCAATTCACATCTTCACAGACTGTCTCTAATACATAAGCATCTTCACGCATATAACTTTGCTCTCCCGAGTGATCTATCCTCTGTGCTTCCATACTCAGTCTTACATATTTTCCTACTTCCACAAGTACACTGTCTGTCTGTCCAGCACAAGTCAACTTCCTTGGCTGAGTCACATTAACATTAGGCAAAGCTCCTGAGAACATGGGACTTGGATAAGGAGCTGCACTTCTAAGCAGAATGTCTTGGGAATGAACAGCTGGATCCTACATAAACTTCATCCCTTACCTCTAGCAAGGACAGTGCTTTATGAACAGGAAGTAAATCCACCCCCACCATGGCCTGAATCACACATGAACCTGAAAGTTCCCTCTACTGGTCATCACCACTGGGGTCAAAATGAAAATTCCAACATGTGGATGTCCCCACATAAAAAGTACAGATTCCAACCACTCTTGCCATGAGAGTTGAAGAATGCATAATCCATGTATGTATACCTCTAATTACCATAAAATATTTAAGACTTACAAGTGAAGAGGTTATCAGGATCAACAGTTCTATTCATGTGTTTCTTGATCACTTCTTGAATAACGTGACGTTCCTCCTGCTTCCGCACTCGACCTGCCAGTACCAAATAACCTTCATCTGCAATATGCTGATCCCAGTCATACAGCATTCCTTCCTTCTGACTAGCGAGCCTATACCTCTCTCCCCATCGGAACAGATCACGAAGAGTTATGAAACCTTGTTTTCCGGCAAACGCCGCACTGCCTCTGCGACGTAACTGTTAAATATAAAAGTTACAATCATGACAAACAATAACACTATATAGTGAATCAATACATGCATTAACTGATTTCCGCCACATTTAAAGTATTTTTTAATGGGATTTTGTTTCACCTGAGCAACTTTTCCAAATGACTTCAGAGCTCCACAGTTGAGCAAGCTGAATGTTTATTCCTGTTAAACTGACCTGCAAATCTGTCATGACAGCTATCATCTTCTTACAGTATGAAAGAGGCATGTCACATCTCTTGTGAAGAATAGTTACCAGCTCATTTGCTGGGATCTCATCAAAGTGTAACTCCACAAAACGATTGCGAAATGCACGAGATAACATCTGGAAATAATGCAATCCATTAAAAAGAATAAAGAATAATCTGCAAGGTTGAGTTATTTCTGACAGGTGTCTGCACATCCTCACAGCACCAACAGTTACAATCTGTGCACATCAGCAATGACTGATCAGTAATTCTGAACCTTAAATAAATTGGATCAATTCTTCCAGCAAGGCCGCGCCATAGCTCAAGCAGTTAGTCGCTGGATTCCCACCGTGGCGGCCCAGGTTCAATCCCAGGTCTGGTCAAGTGGGATTTGTGGTGGACAAAGTGGCGCTGGGGCAGGTTTTCTCTGAGTACTTCGGTTTCCCCTGCCAATCTTCATTCCACCAAATTCTCCATCATCATAATCACCCGGGGCAGGCTACAATAGGCCAATCAGTGGCCGCTGTGCCGAGTGGACCCAACTGGACTCCACCCCCCCCTAAGCAAATTAATTCTTCCAGTACCTCTTGTGCGGCCATGTCAAACGTGCGGCCCCCATAGCCACAAAGTGTGGCCCCTCAACTTTTAGAGCTAATTGATATTAAAATCAATATTAGAATTTTAGTAGAAATATTTTTTGTACAGACAATTTTCCAACAGACCAGAAGACAAGAAGACTCACACAGACATAAATTAGCAGGTGCAGGAAATTCGATGTTTTGCTGTTTCTAACATAAGTTCTTGTGTAATCTCTCTTTTTACATATTGAAAAACTGTTTAATACTTGTCAAAAATGGCATTCTCTTGCTTTTTAAAACTGTAAGATATGTGACCTTAGGTAATTATATTGAAATTATTCCTAAATAATAAACAGAATTAAATTTCCTTGTATCAAAATCTAATGTATATTTCTATTTTGAAGTGAGGCCCTGGATTATTATTTATAGGGCTGAGGTGGCCCTCTGTACAAGTTGAGTTTGACATGCCTGGTCTTGTGTATATCATGAGAGCACCTTGCTGTCTGTCTGTCTGTCCGTGGTTTGTTGCCCCCCCCCTCCAATCTTTATATTTATCAGGCTTCTGAGACTGCCTTGCTGTTTGTGTGTCTGTCTCTCCCCCTACTGTTAACAGGCAACAGATTTTCATTTCCTACGCAGTCCATGTCATAACAACGGAAAGTAAGGAACTAGTTCTTCCAAGAACTCTTTTTTTTTTTAAAGTAAGCTACAAGGATCACCACAAACTTGCACATACCTTCCTCCCTCCATACAGCCCTGGTGGATTCTGGGTAGCAAAGAGCACGAAGCTTGCGTGGGCCTTTACAGTCTCCTGTGTCTCAGGTATAAACAGCTCTCGATTGTCATCAAGAACTCTGTTCAGTGCTTCCAGTACGTCAGTTGGAGCCAAGTTCAGCTCATCCAAGATAATCCAGTGGCCATTTCGCATTGCCTCGACTAGCACTCCTACAATTTGACACAGTTTCTGTATTTCAAGCTGCATACAAAATTCGAAAGGCTACATTTGAAGCATTGCTTTGTATGGGGCTGAAACTTGGACACTTAGGGCAGTAGATGAGAAACACCTGGAAAGCTTCGAAATGTGGTGTTGGAGAAGGATGGAGAAGATCAGTTGGACCGATTGTGTGAGAAATGAAGTGTTATTTAGAGTCAGTGAGCAGAGGAATATCCTACACGAAATAAGAAAACGGAAGGCTGATTGGATTGGTCATATCTTACGCAGTAACTGCCTTCTAGAAGAAGTTATTGAAGGGAAGACAGAGGGGTGGATAGAAGTGACCAGAAGACGAAGAAAACATAAGAAGATGCTGGACGACCTTGGGGACAGAAGAGGATATTCTCATTTGAAGAAGAACGCTCTAGATCGCATCAAGTGGAGGAACTGTTTTGGAAGAGACTGTGGACCTGTGGTCTGACAGATTACTCATGAATGAATGAATGAATGAATGAATATAAAACTCCAGCTGACAATAAAATAAGCAGTTGCTTGAGAACCTTCTCCCAGTCAAAAATATTTTGTTGTGCTAGTGTCAGCTATTTACACAGCCAGAACCATAAAAGCACTGCCCTACGGCCAGTCCTGATGACACACACCAAGAACAAAGGAATAATCAAGTGTGTTTAGACTACAATTTCATACTCATAAATATTCTGCAATAAGAAAACTGAAACCATTAAGACTACTAGTATCTGAGACATGACACCATGCAGTTCAGTTAGAAGTTCACCAAAACTTAGTAGGAATGAACTGCTTTCATCTTCTGGACTAGGTAAGTAACAGCAAAAGGCAAAAAGCAGTCAGCTTCAACCCTGAAGCATCCAAAATATTGCTGAACTTCTACACTACACAGTCTTGAGCCGCAGAACTCTTCATGCTGGCCGCTGAAAGAGCCTTAAATCACGACCATTATTTTTAGTTTGCTGCACCGACTTCAATGATGTACACAAAAAAGCTGGGAACAATATGTCAGTGTTCACAAATTTTCTTTAATTGAACAAAAACTACTTTAATATTTCCATTAAATGTAAACTGAATAATTTATAAAGTAATAAAAATATGGATGTAACATTTATAAATGCAATAACCATCAAAATATAGCACATTATATACTGTTTCCATCACTGAGGTCACATTCAGGAATGTTTTATTAAATGTTTATAAATAGCAAAATGGTAGCAATCCTAATGTAATTTTTTTAAATTCGCTTAGTGGGGGGTGGATTCCAACTGGGTCCACTGATTGGCCTATTGTAGCCTGCCCCAAGTGATTATGATGATGGAGAATTTGGTGGAATGAAGATTGGCAGGGGAAGCCGAAGTACTCAGAGAAAACCCGCCCCAGCACCACTTTGCCCACCACAAATCCCACTTGACCAGACCCAGGATCGAACCTGGGCCACCGCAGTGGGAAGTCAGCGACTAACCGCTTGAGCTATGGTGCGACCGGATCCTAATGTATGAATGATGAATGAGTCACTTAAGGCATTATTAGTATACACAACAACTTACGCACCTTCTCTGAACACAAGATGGCCGTGTTCATCTGCAGAATAGGATCCAATATATTCCTGGAGATCAGTGTGCTCGTGATTATTAATTCGAACACAGAGATTTCCTGAAGCCTTGGCAAGGTATGTAATAAGACTTGTCTTGCCCACAGATGTCTCTCCTTGTAAAAGCACAGGATGACGGCCAATTGACACTATTCGAACCAAGTCACAGAGATTGCGTCTGACAGATGGTGTTACTATGTACTGCAAATGACAGGCAATACATTTATTATGCAATGAAATAAGCATAACTCTCCCTCAAAACAACCACACGCTCATTCACAACTGTGTACTTTCTACAGAGTAAACAATTTACATAAAATTTTCAAATCTGACATGGATCAAACAATGAATGAGTGTACAAGCTTGTAACCAAAAGTTATGAGAATGTCCCTGTAATGATGCCACTGACAATGGTACGACTGTATCAGCACACTTAGCAGTATGCCTCACATATGCCACCTTACACTACATGTGAAACTGCTTGCTCAGTATCTATGCAATATATTTTGCACTAATCTTTAAATTAGTGATTCAAGGAACACCAGAGTTTGCAAAAAGTTTTGTTGGTAGTAGTTGCGAAGAAGAAAGAAAATGGCTGCAGTAAATGACAGTGGACGGAATGCCTGAGTCAGTGATGTTGTGACCACCTTTACCAAAAGTGTGCCCCTAGACAGCAGCACCATTCGGTGCACACTGTTGCTGTACCGAACTTAGTATCTGAGTATAAGCTCTTCAAGTTCACGGGGTGCATATTCAGTGACTGTCATTTTAATGTATTCCTCAAGGGCTATAATGTACAAGATCACAGTGAAAGAAGTGCAATATGACCAAGCACGAGGTTGATAACTGCATCAATTTCCAGTTATAAGGTTTTCATGTTAATACACATACAACTATATATACGAGTAAATCTGTACTTCACCTTTGCATCAACATTTGGTTCCAGCTTTCCGAGAGGTACCCAGTAGCCTTCAAAGCACACAGACTGGTCTGAATCGGGTGGTATTGGCTGCTTCAGTATGCTCTTCACGTCTCCGGAGCCTACAACAGCTCTTGGAAGGCAACACATATTTATGTGTATGTATGTAAAAACAGAACATGGTTTGTAAGACCTGAGGTTTTCACAGCGGTGACTATGAAGAATGCCGTCTTCTGGGATGTGGCGCTGTGTGGATCTTGTGTGAACCAACTTGTTATGCTGGTTCCTCACTCACAGATTTTTCTATCCTGAAGATGGAGGTGATGTTCCTCCGAAACGTTGGTCCACACAAGATCTACACAGCGCCACATTACAGAAGATGACATTCTTCATAGAACATGGCTGCTATCAATGTATACGTCGCAATATAGAAGAAAATCTTTATAAAAAAGGAATAACACCCAAATTAAAAAATTAAAGTTTAGTCAAGTGACTAGAAAAAGAATTTGTAATGAGAACTCAAATCACATCCAGATCTCTACTACAATGCTTGCATATCACTTTAACAGCTGTGACTATTGTAATAAGAAGGTTGATACTGGTCGGGCATGTAGCACATACTGGGCAAAAAAGAAATGCATATACAGTTTAGGTATGAAACCTGAAGGAAAGAGTCCATTTGAAACTAGACGTAGATGGCAGGGTGTAGGTAGGATTCATATGGATCAGGATTGAGACCAGGGGTGGGGTCTTGTGAACATGGTACAATTGACATTAGAGTTCCATAAAGGCATAAAATTTCTTGATTAGCCAAGTGGCTGTTTCACTTTTTAAAAGATCTGCTACACAGTGTCAGTCAGTCAGTCAGTCAGTTCATTAGTTCGGTGTTATCTATTAGGTCCACAGTAGGAAAAGGACAGTTCCATTTTTATATATACTAGATATGCAGTCATGAAATTACAAATTTCATATTTAACCAAAAGGAGGGTACCTTTAGAGCCATGAAAAGAGTTTGCAACTCTAAGAGTCATATTCTAGAAACTTACTTTGCTACCATCCGCTCAACCTCAGGATGGGAGGAGCTGTCAAGCTGCGTGAGAAAACTAAGGCAAAGGCCTTCATACAGGGACCGTGGGACAGACCCACATTTGTTCAGAGCGGCCACACTCAGTGCCCGACACAAGGTACGCAGACTGAAACATAATGGTGGACACAACATTAAACAACACAGACTGCAACTCAGAAAAAATGGAGAATACACATAACTAAGAATATGAGATTTCAGGTTCTCACAACAAGGAATGTTAAGAATATGGTCTCCTAGGGTATGACACTGTGTAGTCTGGCAGACAGGTACTGTCTCCATTTTGAGGATAAAACGAAAATTGAGGCACCAGGATCCTCCAAAGCATCACAACCTGTTTACCAGACTACGCCCTGCCACACTGCAAGGCTGTAATGTTAAAACTGCGAAAGCGGATTCTCAACTTCTAACACCTTGCCGCACATAACACAGGACACTGTTCTGAACACATGCAGAACATTAACATACTATAAGTTTCGAAGAGAGATAACATGACATTCAAATAAGACTACACACCTGTAGTGTGGCTTGTGTCCTGTGCCATCTGTCAGCCTCCCTGCTGCCTCCTTTCTAACATTCAGGTAGAACTTAACGATGTGCTCAAGCTTCACACTGGGTAGGGACAAGCCCCGCAGATAAGTTCCCACCAGCAGTGTCAAGTCAGAGTTCTCAGTCAACTCATCCAGGAAGAATTCGGTGAACCTAAATATTACAGCAATGTATCACGTCAATACTCCTAATTATTAACCAACAGCTTCAATTTTTTTTTCTTTTTCAGATTTAAAAGTGAGTGAGGCACTTACATTACGCAGATAATTAAAGAAAACAGTTATTCAGAAAACAGAAATCATAATTGGAAAATTAGGTAACAGAAAATAATTGCATGAAAACTTACTTTTAGAATTAAACTGAAAACACCACAAAAAAAGGACATGCTCCCAGCATCAAAATATTAGAAATGGGTAAGGAATTATAAAGCTCTATAAAAGCCCACATATCAGTTTATCAAAGGTTTGATATAGCTTCACACTCATTAGTGAGAAAAGTTAATTTATGGAACAAGTTTTTAAGTTCATCACCAATCTGCAAGTACTTAGGCAAAAATCAAAATATACCTATTTCTTAAGCCGGGTGGCAAATCCTTTTTGCCAACATCAGTTGCAGGATTCATGCAAGCAAACAAACGGAAGTCTGGGTGTCTTTGAATCGGTTCCTGATCTCCCCTCTCCAGCAGGTAAAGGGAACGAGTGGAGCCCTCTAGCAGACCAGACAAACATTCCAACGTCTCAGCAGAAGCCAAATTAATTTCATCCAGCAAAACCCAGCTGCCTGTTGGGTACAGAGCACATTAGACTGACTAGTAAAATGTATGCAGACTGGCCAAGTTCACGCTTCTAGTAAATATTTGCTATGTCTCTTCTCCTTTGCCCTTAAAGACAGAAATAGTTTACAAGAACAAGAGGAAATGCAAAGTATGAATAACTTTCTTTTCTGTATATAATTACTGATACAATGAAATAAAGCTGACTTCCTACACGTACATATATGTGTCCTGAATTAATATCAGAGAATAGCTTAGAAAATGCAGGTACTGTTCTGTGTAGGCTCTCTGTGTGTGTGTCGCTGCTTATCTTTAATACGTGTGCTGTCTGGTGTACGTATTAAAGATAAGCAGCGATACACACACACACACACAGAGCCTACACAGAACAGTACCTGAACAGCGAAAAAACAAGAAGTGGCCGCTGCAGCACTATAGACATAGGGCATGTACCCGAGAAAAGTTTTAAAAATTTGGAAAAAGAAAAAGAACAGAAAATTTATAGACATTTTAATTTGAATTGAACTTTTAAAAAAGTGCCAATTTTAAAAATCAAACTGACGAGTGTAGATACAATTGGAAAGACTGGTGATTTTAAATTTTAAACTAAGGGCAGTGTAGCAGCTACATAAGAATACACACCTGATGATGGCCATTTAGGGCCGAAACATGTAGTGTAGAGGAAGGGAAGAAGAAAGAACTACAATTAAATTGTTGCACTTAAGATGGAATTTGTCTCATATATATTGTGTGAGTGTAACAGGATGCTTAAATATAATATTTTCCATAACATATTGTCAACGTTTTCACTTCAAACATTTCTTACCCTCTCTCAAAGCCTTCACAAGACTTCCCTCGATAAACGCAAACGCTAGGGCATTCTGTGCCTTCAGCTGAGTCTCCAGTTTCAGCAACTTCAGGCCAAGCTGCTGCCATGCCAGCCTTCTGTCTGTACTGCCCTTCTGTCCAGAAGCATCTTCAGCAACTAAACGCTTCATTGCGGCACTGTGACTGTGCTTCATCAGTTTCAGAAGAGTTGACCAATGACGTAAGTTGAAACAAGTCTGCGGCAATGTCTTTGTTTCAGTCTTATGCACCACAGCAGTCATAACAACATTATGAGAGAAAAGTTATTACCTACAGTACAAAATCTCCAAATGTCACCACCAGCAGCATACTGGTAACTACACGTACCACCTACTTTAACATTAAAAAACTGCATTTTGCCTACACAGTGTATTTATGTTTGTGTAACTCTCACATTGTACCTGCTCTGGGCAATTATGATGATGGAGAATTTGGTGGAATGAAGATTGGCAGGGGAAGCTGAAGTACTCGGAGAAAGGCCACCCCAGTGCCACTTTGTCCACCACAAATCCACTTGACCAGACGTGGGATCGAACCTGGGCCACCGCGGTAGGGAGCCAGTGATTAACCTCTTGAGCTATGGCGCAGCCCTCAACTTTCTTTACTTCTGCCTTTACCTAACACTATTCTGCCCACTCCTTCTGTTTGCCCATGTTTGCCCTTCCCACATTAAAATTTCAGAAATCCTTTTCTCTTCACAAATTGGGCATTCTTATGCTTCGACACAGGCCTTTACGCCTCCATACTATCAATCTCTAGCGTGCTGTCATATGCACTGTTTGGGCTCTGTGTGCATGTGGAGGGGGGGGGGGATTTGTTTACAAGGGCATGTAAGCCATTCAGTACTTGTATTCAGGACAGAAGAATAAATTTTCCAAACTAATTTTCGGTTGTGGTATTCGTAGCTAATATACTTCATCTTTCAATTTTGATTTTTTTCCCAAATTCAGGGGGCACATATGCCCAACTTGCGGCCTCTCCTTCCAAAACCTGCGTTTTTTTTTTTTTCTTAAACAGCATTACCTGGATGGTCTTTACAATGGAGAGACAGTCTGCTGTTAGGGAGGTAGAAACTATTGGTCTGTATACTAACCTATAACTCTGCAAACTGTGGCTTTTCCTGCATTATAAATAAATCATTACCTGCATCCTACACTAACCTCTGAAAAGTAATAGACAAACTTACTGCAACATGCTCAAGAAATCTGACATTCTTCTGCACTGAGAAGTAACCTCGAAACAGGGCCTCAAATTCTTCCCGGACTGGACCAACAATATACTTGAGGTCAATTGGTTTATACCTGAAAATAACATAATTACATGTTAACTAATAAAAGTACAATAAATACTGTGCGCATGCTTTCCATACCATAGATCCGATAATTATGTGTAATCTGCTTCAATTTCTGATCTCTAATTTTTAAAAGGAACACTATGTTCCAGAAGTATGTACTGTGTAACATAACCGTTTTCATGTCTCACATTTGGAAGGAACATGTATGTTCAAGGCAGAAGAGCTGGAGATGTAGGCAGTATGTCCTGTGTAATGACAACGACTTCCAAGCCTACACGTTGTCCTGACCTACAGCACCACAGTACACTCTAAACATCTATAAACAAACTGGCTATGGATGAAGCAACGAAATATTCAGTCAAAGGGGTAAGATCATACCCTCCTAAGAGGTCAGCACTGTCACTCTGCTGGTTCATGTTGATCACAACAAGACGGTGGCCTGTCTTGTCTGCCAGGTACTGCACTGCTGAGGTTTTCCCAGTGCCCGTCTCTCCAACAAGCAACACAGGCTCCATCCACGCTACACAGCAAGCCACCCGCTCTAGCAAGCATGCCGCTGGACGGGTGAAAGCAAAGCTCAAGCCACCTGCAGCACTGATAGACAGGAACATAGCATTACTACAATAGCGATCACTCACAAGCAATCAGGAACAAATTCTGTACACTGAGAGCACAACATCTGTCCACCAGATTCTTATGCAAATTAAGAGCAAGTTATAATGAATGTAAATTTACTACAGTATGGGATAAAGGGTGATTACAAATGAGCTCATTATTTTCCAACATTTATTATGAAGCAACTACCAACGATAAATTTAAAATCATGCCACAGGAATAAACAATGGAGACTGAAGGCTAACGTGTCTATGGTTTGAGAAAGGTCTACTGTGGGGCCCAACAGAGCAGGCTTTCTTTCATATCCTCTTTGCCTGCAGGTGGAAAGATACCGAATTTCAAAAACACAGTGATTTAATCAACTCAGTTCATGGACAAAGTGCAAAATAACGATTTTAGACAATGTGTTAACGCCATCATGAAAGAGGGAAGGGGCTGTATGATCAGTCACTATGACAGAACTTCAAACCCATAGGAAACATTAACTGCTACTGCATTTTTTTAATAAAATACAGAGGGCTAGGTCAGAAAATATGGTTTGCTGCTGCCATAAGCTTACCTATCCAGCAGTGTCACAGTCTCCACTTGTCGTGGCAACGAAACCCTCCCTGCCACAAAACTCAACTGACTTATCTTCACACTGGGTTTGTAACTGTTACAGAAATAGTCTGCTTTGGTTTTCACTACACCCAGACAAGCCCCAATGGATGTGGCCAGCTTCAGCCTTGCTTCTGGAAAATTAAAAGATAATGAAAAAGTTAAATAAGTTTAGTTCCATTCAGTGCGACTAGTTAAGATTTTCTTATTTCAATTATTCGTGCCCTTACATGTTTCGGCCTTCAGAGACCAGTGAAAGATAACTTCATCAAAAAGTATAAACATAAAAGCTTGTAACGCTTCAAGCTGTACTGACTCAGCTACAGTCGAATCATGTAATCTGCATCATTTTCATGCACTGAACAAAGTAAATGTAGACAGCAGGGGGCACTCCTAACAACACATCACATTTTCCAACCACTAAACTACTTCTGATGAAATCTGTTACTGGATATTAACACTATAAGTCGTCTGGCAAATTTAATTCTAACCTCTTTAAGGTCATCAAAACCAATAATAACATGGACCTATTTACTTATTTATTCAATCATTTATGGTTTACTTGACAATGCTATTAGAAACTCAGACCATACAGTGTCACATGGTGAAACAATAAATAAATAACAAATTGGAAAGTATGCGACAGGAAGCAGTTGTGGTCTTGAGGTATTACCCACCTGCCTGCTACTTGCTTCACTCTGGTTGACTTTCAGTGGAGTACATGGTGTTATACCCCATGAGACAGAACTCCTCATAATCAATGCTGTAACAACCTAAAGATCATATATTGGAAATGAAATGACTCTAACAACATACCTGGATTCATGACACTACAACAGAAAATGTCTACAGCATCTTGGAAGAGTTTGAGAGCAGACTCCTGGGATGAGACATCAAAACCTTCGACTGATCTCGTGCACCATTTTATCAGATCCCTGGGAAAGAAACAATGTACTTCAGAACCTTGTTTAAAACATAACCCATACACTTACTGCCTCCACTATTCATTGCTTCTGATACCTTGTGGACGTCAGCCGTCGGCCAGCACCCATAACCTGAACATCCTGAACAAGTCTTGCACATTCCAATTCCTGCTGTGAAGTTGAATTGTGATCTCCAACTGAGAAAAGGAGGAAAACTTCCACAATTCGACTTGCAATTGTCTTCAGCAATGGAAACTGAAATGAAAAGTAATTACCTATGTATATCCAAAAGAGAAAGACATAAATCTACGTGCAATTTTATAGTGACCTTACCTCTCACACAAAGTGTACAGAAAACTCTGCTCTGAAGTTTCAACTGATATTTACATCAACACATTCAGGTTACATACATCTGCAGAACTTGAGTCTTGGTACACTACTGAGGTGGCAAGACAATTTCTATTCATATAATTATATACTGTTCAGTCAATGAAGGCAACATGAAAACTGGGTGAACCGGAGCTCATAGTGAGAAGGCATTTTCTTGACACACAGACATTAAAAACCAGAGACTGCTGAAGCACCACAGAAGACATTTTACTCACATATTTAAATTTAGTCTACAGAGTAAATGAAATGCAAGGGCACACATTCAGTCTCAAAATTTAGTACATAGTCATGAAACCTGGAGTACAGTAATGAGTTTCAAACTCAAATACTCTTAATTTCATTCTGTCCCACAAGGGTCACAGCTAAAAATTAGTTAGTTTGCATGTGTGTGCATGTCTGCATGTGTGAGAACACATGAATGTGCGCACCCACACCTATGCTATCTAATCACATCCCTCTCTCTGATCAGTCAGCTGCTACAGTAACGACGTCAGTGGCTTTCAGGCTGTTCAGTAACCTTACCTTGCTGTCACCTGTCACTATTCATTTTACTCAATGATGATTTTTCAGCCGAACTGAGTTTAATTTATTTTCAGCTGACTGAACAATTTATTTATCAAAACATACCTCCTCATCACTTAAAAGTTTGATATTTCTATCTCCTGAAGCCTGCAGCAAAGGTTTGCTGTCCTTGTCCAAGGTTCTCCCTGAAGGTAACGGCTTCACACACAGCCTGCATCTATCTCATCAGGGCTATCCCCATCTGCTTTGCAGTCGGACAAACCACATTCACTGCCAGTAAGGGACATGAATGCTATGGGCTGTTTTATGGCACGTTCATGTACTGCAGTTCTTAGTGACCTAACCGTGGCCACACCATAGCTCAAGCAGTTAGTTGCTGGCTTCCCACCGCGGCAGCCCGGGTTTGATCCCAAGTCTGGTCAAGTGGGATTTGTGGTGGACAAAGTGGCACTGGGCAGGTTTTCTCCGAGTACTTCGGTTCCCCTGTCAATCTTCATTCCACCAACTGCTCCACAATCACCCTCACCTATCATCTGGGGCTAGTACAATACGCCAGAAGTGGCCGCAGTACAAGGGACTTAGTCCCAACCCACTAGCAATAAAAGAAAAAAATAATAATGACCTAACCAAAACTTACACCAGACAGTACACAGAAACAGCTGCTATTAAATGCTGACAGAATGCCAGTTTCATCAGTAGGGAAAAAACTTATCCTTGTGCTTGATTAAGTACCATTTCATGAAGGCATAGGGAGGAGTGGAGGTACAGCTCTCCCACTGCTAATCTCGGCATTAGACAGAGGTGAGTGGCCAGCTTTATCTCCGCTGTTCTAACAGTGGGAAAGGGGCCCCCAGTACCAATCCTTTGGTCAGTGGTTCCGTGGACCCCCGTAGCAACAGACTGCAAACTCACGCACCCCTCAACCCTCTACAGTTAAATTACCAGCATATCAACTTAAAAGAGATTCAAATAAAACAATTCCATATAAACGGATTTTGCAAAACATCAAAAATATTCAGTATAATATTTTTCTCTTACAATTTATAACAGGAAAACAAAATTAATCTTGCAGACCGCTTGCCCAGGCCTCTCGAACTGCTATGGGTCCACTGAATCACTTCGACAACCAGTGATACAGGAGACTGGGTAGGCCTCAGAGCTGGACTGGCCATTGTGGAACAGGAAAAACCTCACAGCACTGTCAGGAATCAAACCCCATTTCTACATCTATCCAGCCTATAGCCTAGTCACTATTCTGAGCATAAAAATAAAACTTTGCTTGTCTGCTAGCTGACACAGACAAAGGTTATGAACAGTTAACAGTTGAGACTACACACCTTAGTGTCCACAATCTGCACAAGTTCTTGCCTGGATAAAGGTTCAACATTAATCTGAACCCAGTGCTTTTCAAGGAAATCAGTGGAGCCGAGCATCTGACTGTGGAAGCCACTCAAACTTGGCAACAACCTACAGTAAAGAACATGACACAGTGAGCTTCCATGCACACAGCTGCATCAGCAGTATTCATGTAACTTCTTGAATTTAATTCCTTTAGTGAAAACCAGCAACTAATAAAATCATTTGTTATAAACGAACAAAAACAGGAATTGTAAGCAGCTAAAATTAAACAGGAAATAATAAATAAACTGATTTACCGTTTTGTAACGAAGAGCTGAAAGCCTGGAGTAATGCTGACACAATCTCTGTAGCCAGGAACAGACAGTGTTCCTGTTTCAACCAGTGAAGCTAAGACAGATGCAACATCAGGAGCTGCAGAGTCTATGTCCTCCAGCAGGATCCAGTGACCACCTGTCACAGCCTGTGAGTAGAATCCACTGTAAGACTAGCGATCTGACGCCGCATCGCACCTACCAAATTCCCTCCACCTGTTTACATCTAACACGTCCCTTATAATTCCTGCTTCCTATATATGAAGCACTTTCTAATGTATACTACACACCTTCCATAGTGCAATGCATTTAAATCCAGCTCAACCTTCTTAAGAAGACAACAGTAAGTCACTCACTCAGCTACTCACAAATTCTTTGCTTTCACAGAACCCAAAGGTTCACTACCATGCTCACAAGAGCCTCTCACTGGTCCACACCCTCACATCACATTCCTTAAAGATCCATTTTAGTATTACCCTCCCATCTACACCCAGATATTCAAGTGGTCTCTTCCTTTCATGCTTTCTGACCAAAACTCTGTATACATCTTTTATGTCTGTCATGGATGCCAGAGTTTCTGCCGTTCTCATGAACCTTCATTTCATGCATACAAACCTCACAAACTTTTCTAAAGTTCATCCAACATAAACTGGTTCTGAAGGGGAACATAAACAGTGGACTTCTGTGAAGAAACAAATAACTTCATGCATTTTGAAATGTTAGAAAAATCAAAGAACCCCACATTTCATACTCCAGTAGCTACTGTGATATGCGCACTGTTCTTTCGCATCCCACCACCAACACTACAGAGGTCCTTAGACTGCATTGTTTTCAGGGGGGAGCACACATGACAGCAGAACCACAGCGAAACCCCACGAAGGGTTCCTTTTGGTAGCAATTGATTTGCACACAAAAACCAAGAAAATCTTAACCCAGGGACCACTGACACTGAACATTAAATGAGGGAAAACCTTAAACTGAATTAACCTTTAAGAGTCGGCATTTAAACCCCCCATGACTGCGCTGCTGCCGGAGTTAATTTGACGTTGCCCTTTTAATATTGTAGACTTTCAGAAAAAACTACATATTTTCCGTTCTATGCAGCTTAGAAATACGAACTAAAAACCGCCTGAAAGAGAATGAAATTTCCTACAATATACCTATATCAATTTTTACAAATAAAAATTAACTGTGATTGTTATGTCATGAAAATCAAAATATACTCTCTATTATATGTGTAATGAAATTCCAAAAGACTTACCCATAATTTTTTCTTCAAATTTGAGACGTCGTTATATCCAAAATACATTGACACTATACACCAAAATGTTTGGTCAGACTGTACACGAGTTTCAACTCGTTGCGTCGTGTAAGTTTACACTACTATAGATACTGCGTGCGGGAGCGCGGAGAGGCAGAGTTTGCTTCAGCGCGTTGTGAAGGTCACACAGACCTCACTTCTCATACGCTGGTAGACAATCTGGTTCAGTCTCTCGCTTAGCGAACAAACAGGAAGTTATTGTTTCTATCTGGCTGGCCGGACAGTGTTGTCAATGTTCAGTTCCAGATGACTCAATGAAAAATCTTGGCTTCCCCAGAGAAACAGTCCGCCACTGACTCACAAGCTGATAATTCAGACACTCACTAAACACGTCACACTTCCTTGAGAGCTACAGAAGCAGTGATCTGCCCGCACAGAGGAATGTTGGGTCAGCTTTTCTGTGAAGAAGCTTCCACTCTGTTTGGCTGACGAAGTCACAAACAGTCTTACCTAAATGTAAACGAAATCGAACCCAGTACCATGATGAAGGGTTTTATTGTTCAGAGCCAACAACTGGACCTCTGACTTGAACTTGCGTGTGTTTGTTTTGGTTTCAAACTCAACGTCTAACCGTCAGCACTTCTAAAGTGAGCATGTGTCTTGCATCCAGTATACTGGACTTTCGGCATCTTCGAGGTAACAGGTACCGTCCGGTATACCGGACTTTCGGTCGTTAAAGGTTAAATCAGAGTTGCACTTTATCTCATACATGGCACATGTGCCCACAGCAATACACTCATCAGCTCGGCAGCCATGCCACAGCTCAGGTTTCTCACACTGAGGCACCTGAGCAGGTGTTTCTCCAGCAACTTCAGTTTCCTCTGCCAGTCCCTACTCCATATTCATCCATCAACATCAGGGCCACTCAAGGCCACAGTACTCAGGGACTTACCCTTACACCAAGGCCATGCCATAGCTCAAGCGGTTACTTGCTGGCTTCCCACCAAGGTGGCCCAGGTTCAAACCCGGGTCTGGTCAAGTGGGATTTGTGGTGGACAAAGTAGCGCTGGGGCGGGTCTTCTCCGAGTACTTCGGATTCCCCTGCCAATCTTCATTCCACCAAATTGTCCATCATCATAGTCACACAGGGCAGCCTACAGTAGGCCAATCACTGGCCACCGTGCTCAGTGGATCCAGTAGGACTCCACACCCCACTAAGCAAATTAAAAAAAAAATTACCCTTACACTACATTCAACATCATTCCATGAAAATCTGGTAAAGTGGGGATAAAGCTCCATGCATTCTTAACCTTGGAACCAAATGGAAGTAAGTGGGCAGCTTCATATCTGCAACCCTCAGCCCCAGGCTGAGGGGAAGGATCTATGCCCCTATGGAAACCTGCAGCCTTGTGCATGCAGCTAGCAGCCTAGTCACTATACTGACCTGCGTCAGAACTCCTGGCTGCCACACAAATTCACCAGGAACATCAGTGCATCGATAAGAACCCAATAACATCTTGCTGTCAGTCTGGTCACCCAACTGAACCTTCAGGAAGTGTGGTGCAGCATTACGACCTAAACGGTAAACAGTTGCATTACACTGTTCTGCAAAATTTCATATTATACACATGTTGCACCAGACTGCCACTCACACACCTGTTAATAATGCTAAATGTTCCACTAAAGACGTCTTCCCAGAACCCACAGGTCCTTGCAGACATACTGCTCTACCAGAAGCAACAGCCAAAGCTAAACTCTTCAGGTTTCCAAGCGTCGAGTTCACAAGAACAAGGCAGCCCTTTTTCTCCTGCAAAATACAGATAAAATTCGTTCAGAGGTCCAATAATCTATTACTATCATAATACACATTTTTGGTTATGTGCACAACAGTTACTTCATGTACAACAAACTGCAGAACTTAATATCAGAGCAGACCTCAAGATACGGATGTGCTGATGGAATGATTATTTCCTGCAAGAAGATTAGAAGCTTACTGAACTCACAGGAACTGTGGAAGGAGAAAAAACAAGAACTGAAAAGGAAATGACTGCAGGAAAGAGTTACATTCTTGTGCCTCATTTTATGATGCAGTTGATGGTTACACTACACAGTATCAAACGGAAGGATGAGTGGTGAATCACATCATTTGCTTTGAAAGACTGAAGAAAACCATGAAAGCCTTGAATCAGGATAGCTGGTGTTCCAGGTGAGATTTGAACAGAGCACCTCCTGAACAAAAACACTAAAAAGCCTTACAAAGCTGTACTGTAACTGCCATCTTCTGCAGCACCTCTGCTGTTCTCAGGGTGTACCATGACAGGCTTCTTTTCAAACCAAAACATACCTGGCTTTTAGGATTGAGAACAGGCAACTGGATTCCAGAAACAGAAACAACCATGTGAGAGGCTCGACAAACATTTTCATCTGGTGCAGATTTTCTTTTTGAAGTGCCTTGTTTCAATTCAGTACAGTTTGGTTGAAGACTGTCAAATCGAACTGTAGAAGCTCGAATAGATTCAGGAGACAAATATACATTCATAAAAGTCTGCCTGTGTATATCTGTCATTCCAGTAACATCAGCCACACACTCACATGCTAACCTGGAACAACAACCAATGCCTGTGAGCCATCTGACATTCTGACACCAGCCAACATCAAGGCAGTAGTCTTGCAGGATGTGACGTCCTGTAATCTGGTAGGTGCTTACTAAAAGTTCAGAGGACTATACTGACTTTATTTTCAGGGTGGACTATCTTGCAGCAGGTTCTGATAAAATACCAGTACCAACCTACGAGACTGCATGGTGTCAGATCCCAGAAGGCCACTGCCTTACCAGATTCTAAGTTACACACCTGCATTAATACTAGAAAAATATGTTAAAGCAAAAAATTGTTCATTCAGAATACAATTCTACTCATACTTGATGCTCAAGTGGGAAACCTCCCGGGTCTAAAACTGTGTTAATATATATCCTCAAGTAGTAAGTTGAAGTTTCCTGAAAACACTGGCACCTATCCTCCCGACTACGTGGCATCACGTCCCCAGAAGCCCGCAATCACACAGATGTTCATAAACACATCACTTACCAACAAACGAAGTCATCAGTGTGTCCCACATACAGCTTCATAAATTGAGACCAGTTCCAGCACTGACTAAAATAGTCCCTTGAAGCCTGAAGCAGGCTGTAACAGCAACCAACAATCTCCAAGTCTGTTACATCAGTGACTTTTGTCTTCTTTGAAGAAAATTTTCTTTTCTTTACAGAACTTGATGACAGACACTTAGCTGTCATGTCATGGAATGGAGAATGATGGCTTTTAAAATACTGTAAAGAAAACCTGAAGAAATAAAACATGAGCTTAGTGACAGTTTTCATTATTCATACAATAAAAACAACTATTAACCTCTCCAAGATATGAACCAAGAAATATATTACCATGGCACCCAATCCTAAGACAGTCAAATCCAGTTTACATTACCAACAACCACTTCCTTCAGATCTATTCAATATTACAATCCCATCTTATGAACAATTACTTTCAAATTTTGGGAGATTCTGAACGTGTCTGTGAATTTCTGTGTACTTAGACCTCTATATTATAGAATTCACATATTTAACTCTCCAGCTTTGAACTTGACACCAGAATTTCATTTCACATCCATACACAAGACAGAAAACTGTGAAGTTAATATCCACAGAAATGTTCACACAAGGAAATCCAATCTGTCATATCAGCTCACTTACTTAGAGCCAGCAATACCAGCATACCTGACTGCATCAGGGTGAAAATTCACCAGTTTCCCCAAAGCAACACACATCTGTTTGTGATGATGAATTCTGTCTTCCAGTGTTAACGTTCCATTCCTTCCCCTGTTCTCTGCAAGCAGGAGGAGTTCCAGCACAAGATGGGGCACACAGTGTGCAACAGCCACAGTGCAGTCAGGTGCAAGGAGCAACTCAGATAGGGCTGTCATTATCGCTTCCTTATCAGACTCTGTAAACCCCTAGAAGTAAAATCTTAATTCTACATGTATTTCAAGAAACAGCCTGCTGTTATCTGTCTCAAAATTGGAATGTCAACAAACTTAGTAGAACTCCCCAATGTCCAACCATTCTGCAGTTCTGCAATAGTTACAAACAGACAGGAAGATATGGCAAAACCAGTAAATGTCACACAATGTTTATCACCAGTCTTCTTCTTCTTTACTGGTGCTACAATCCTGTGTGTGTCTTGGCCTCCTTAACAAGTTCTGGGGTGGGCCTGTTAGTGCCATGACCAGGCCCAAACCCAGAGGACCAGGAACAACACTTCAACTGGTCCCCCTACCTCTTGACCTGTCTGGCATGGGTGGCCCTACCAACAGCATATGTTCCCAGTAGCATACATCTCTGGGTCTATTAGTCTTACTGATGTAACTTTTGCAGTGTTTCAAAGGTAGTGTGGCTATTACCACACTGTCACATTTTAATTATTTCAACAGCAAAACAACAAATGATAATGTGAAAAAGTGGCAAGAGTAAACAGCCACACAATCATTAAAATACTACAGGAAGTTACATTATTAAGACTGATGATAAACATTATGTTGTCAATACATGTAACATGATGCTTAAATATCATTTTTTTTTTTACAAATTTTCATTGCGAACGCGTCAAAAAATCACTTCGCACCCCAGAAGACGTGTTTCCCTTACAAGGACCACAGGGGAAAAAATGCGGTATTTTCTAATGTTCGGGCACGTGGTACATACGGCAAGCACTACGTTAGACTGGGTCTATGGAGTTCGTTTCCACACGGCTCTGTTAACTAGGCAACTGTAATAGCCGTTACCTTGACTGTACAATGAAACAAAATTATTCAATTTTATTTCTCAAATCTTTAAATGCAACAACTTGCGCTCCTCTACAAAACATGCCTTTCTAACCTCGTAATCCAGGTACTGCCTGAATTGTGTGTGGAATACTTCACTGTGATTGCACAGTTCTCGCAGACATCTCATAAAATGAGTTTCCAGTGTAGGTTCGTTCGGTTCCATGTTTCAGTCGCTTATGTCAGCTCACGTTATAAGAACTGCGCAAACATTAAAATTAACACATACTCTAACCACTCGCATGCTCAACACGTGCCAATCCCTAACCAATTCTAGCAGGAGCGGGAGCGGCCAAAGATTGTATCCTACGACATAGATTACAATCGTACTGAATATAGTTGACATTACCACCATCTTTAGTTCATAACCGTAATTTCTTCACCGACATCAGTGGATTGCTCGGCAATAACCCTAACTACTACTCGATCACAATAAAGCACAAGGACAAATTTACCGTAAACTTTTTTTTTCCTTGGCACTACAGCCCCAGTGGGCCTAGGCCTACCTCCATGAAACTCTCCGTTTCACTTCGGTTTTACTAGATCTTGGACATACGGTAGGACTCCTTGGGCGGGTGATCAGCTCGTCGCAAGGCCTCTACCTGTACACAAACACAGAAAAAAGCACACAAACATCCATGCCGTGAGTGGGATTCGAACCCACGATCCCGGCTTTCGAGCGAGCGAAGACAGTGCATGCCTTAGACCGCTCGGCTACCGTGACCGGCTTACCGTATTCTTACATTCAGTAAATCCAGTTTAATAGCTAATTGTCCGTGTAGACGTATGGGAGGCTGTAAGTATAGCTCCAAGCATTCTTGTATAATCTGTGTCCTACTGAAATCGTGCTCACAACACGATGAATGAGAAGGGTCACTATCCCGTGGGGTGCGAATCTCATTCTGAGCTCTATATTACACTGATCAGTTCGATGTGATCTGTACACCTAATTCGATCCGCTAAATTGATTATCGATCCGCTAAATTACTTATGTTTAAAACAAGAGCCACACAACTGACACGCTACCTGCCCTACGTCAGCCCACGGTAAGCTGCTTCTTATAAAGCTGAGAGTCACCATACTCATGACGTCAGTGAAGTCAGCGCTGCTCGCGGAAGTCCCGGTAGCGGATGGGCACACAGACGGATCCAGGCAAATATTTCAGCATTTATATTAACCCTGACAAGCACAGCGGTAACTATAAGTACCACCTGCGTTAACAACTGTAATTCTGTAATTGTTGTTTAGCATTATTCTCACAGTAAACGGCGATTATTTCCTTAACAGTATTAACCGGTTGGTCTGAGCTCCGGAGGTGCAATGCGTTTTCTGTATGGTCGGAACATAATTTTCAGATAATATTTACATGAACTTTGGGCTTCAAGCAGTTTGTGAACGTCTGAGGCTGTGAGCATAATAGGAAGTCGCCTGACCTACTGAGCTCCACGACTGTGTGACTGTTCTTGCAGTGACAATCGTGCTCACGGAATTTGATTTCTGGACAGACAATTACGTACCTACACACACGCCATGATTGTTCTCTTCGACATTTTTTAAAAATTATCGTTCATAACAACCCCATTTCCAAGCAATTTATTGATAACGGACAGACAGAGCAAGGGAGAGAGGGCAGCTTCGTCTGAAGGGCTGAGAACATTGTGTGATGTTAAGGCTCTCTTTATTGGTTACTTAATTACTCAAATGTGGACAAAAATGGTGGCCGTGTGTTCTCGAAATCCTGGGTTTCTAAGTATAAATTATTGAAACAGCTAGATATACATTATTTATCTAAACGACAATTTTCAGAACAGCATAAGTTATCCTACTGAAATGTTACCCCCTTTGAAGGACAGTGGTGACTACGTGTACCACCGGATGTAATATCAAAAACATTTTTTTTTACCCACAGAGTGTATTTCCGTCTTTGTGTTCCTTACAATAAACAGCGATTATTTTCCTGAACAAAATTAACCTGCTGTTATTTGTAATGGAAACGCAGCGTGTTCTCTGGGAGTTAGTAAGTGGATTTTCAAACGACGCTTAATTGAACTTCAGTGTTCAAAGTGGAGGCCAATTCCCAGCGGTGCTGACTAGACGGTTAAGATATGGAGCAGCTTTGCTTTGCTTCTCTCTCCTCGACACAGGAAAACCTAATGACGACAATGAAATTGGCAGACATGTGAAATTTAAAAGGACCAGCAGCTGTTGTTGCATGGAACTGATACCATTGTCGCAATTTTGAACACTTCCATTGGAAAACCGGTGGGCTGCGCGATATAGTATTCGCACTATTGCGTAACAATTAGGAACAAAAAGCAACGCGACCTCCTGAGCACATTAGTGCGGCTTCGTGAGAACCTGCTCTGTTTTGTTTCTGCGCAAGCGCAGCGTGGGCACTCACAGACACTGATGCTGAAGCCATGTTACAGTAGCTGGTCATTGTTGATACGGCTAATGGGACAGCCCGCGTCATTGGCATGTGGCTGTCTGCTAGATCTAATTGTGAATTCCAGAACTGACAAAACGTAAGGCGAAAATCATTAAAGAATGGTGATAAGATAACTCAAAATCTGCCTTGCTGCAGAGCATAGCGCACCACTAGCACAAATGTTTACTTCCATATCCCTTCCAAGACATCTTACAAGTCGATGGTATGAACTTGTGTTCACAGGACGCAGGTATGGATTTTGACGAGGTTCTGGAGGAAATCGGAGAGTTCGGTAGATACCAGATTATCACCTACTTACTCATATGCCTTCCGGTATTATTCAGTGCTGCTAACAGCCTAACTTACGTCTTCACAGCAGGAGTGCCAAATTATAGGTAATGTATGCACGTGCTTCTCTGATCTGACTGCAAATGACTGCTGCATTCTGCAGTCAGACCTCATTTGTCTTCTAGAGACGACTGGCCCTGTCCAGTTTCCTGCCACTAACATTACGAACATGGCCGTCGTGTGCATCTTGAAGGTGCAAGTTTCACTACAGCCAGCTGAGGTAAGATCTTGAAATCTGATACGATACACAAAAAAAAAGTAAAGCTGTCCCTCTTACAGGCCATGGAGGCCCATAGGGTTGTTAGACGTCGAGACTCCCATATTTTCTAGACAATGGGCTCACAGATGGCGGTAAGGTTGTCATCCTTACACGCCGGCCGTCCGGCCACCCTCTACCCTCAGGAAGATTCCTGGTTCTCATTTCTGTTAGAGGCTAGGTCGACCTCAGGGTCATAGCGCGCCTGGAAGGATTAGGTCAATTAAAGAATCCAATGACCTCATTGGGAATCGATCCCGCGACCTTCCGACTGGTGGCATAGCGCCTCAAATTACTGCGCTACCTCATGCCCCTCTGGTAAGACATTTATATTAAGGTTACTTTAACTTTATGACGCCAATCACAAGCATGGACGCCCGCCCTGATCATAATCTAGATTCCTATCTGACATACGCTAAACACCGGCAACTAGTGATACAGAACCGCCACGAGGCAGAAGTCAGAACTGCATCCAGTTTACTGACAGAACTCGAAGAACAGACTCCCTAAATTGTTGTGAAACTGCAAACCACATCGTGTGGTTCCTGCCTCTGGAAGGGACTGCTGGATAAAGGAGGCCGAAGCGGGCCAGCTAACAGGACACTGTTGCTGTGTTTCAGGTGCCTTGTTCCGGGCTGTGACGACGAAACGAACCCCCGTTATTTGACTCCGTGGGTACCTGAAGCCGTTCCCCCAGCAGAAAAGGACAATGAGCTCGGGGCTTCCACAGAGTACAAGCCAGACCAGTGCCACATGTACACCCCTGACAGCAACGTCACCAACATGTCGTGTCCCCTGGGACACTTCTCAAGGAACACAGCCAAGTGTGATGCCTGGCTGTATGAGGATAGCGAACACACTATTGTCGGTGAGGTATGCGGGCCATATATTGCTTCCCAGCCTATCTGTACTGGCGCAGCGCAGGCCGCCATCTTAGGATCTCTCGTTCGCTCCCTCCCAGCCTATCTGTACTGGCGCAGCGCAGGCCGCCATCTTAGGATCTCTCGTTCGCTCCCTCCCAGCCTATCTGTACTGGCGCAGCGCAGGCCGCCATCTTAGGATCTCTCGTTCGCTCCCTCCCAGCCTATCTGTACTGGCGCAGCGCAGGCCGCCATCTTAGGATCTCTCGTTCGCTCCCTCCCAGCCTATCTGTACTGGCGCAGAGCAGGCCGCCATCTTAGGATCTCTCGTTCGCTCCCTCCCAGCCTATCTGTATTGGCGCAGCGCAGGCCGCCATCTTAGGGTCTCTCGTTCGCTCCCTGCGACTCATACCCAATGCTTGCTCGTCGCTCTGAGATTCGGGGATTTATCTCCAGTTTATTATCGATCTGATCACACAGCCTCGAATGGTTGCAATGACAAGTGAATAGTGAATTGGAAGGGATGAGGAAGGAAGCAGTCGTGACTATCCTGGCATCTGCCTGGTAGGGCTTCAGATCTGAACCCAGTGCATCTCACCGCAGCTGTAACACAGGCTGCCTGCCTGCCGGCGCAGCAGACAAGGTAGGCGACGCTAAGGCGTCTTCTCAGCCTTCTGAGCTCAGGACGAATTTCACGACTGCAGGCATCGGAATTCGATTCCCGGTAGGGGCAAAGACGCTTCTCTTCTCAATACCAGCTCTAGGGACCACCAAACGAAAAATGTGTGTGTGTGGGGGGGGGCTTTTACCTAGGGTTAAAGCGGTTGAATGTGATGCTGACCATTCGACCCCAACTTGTGCCGAGGTTACGAACGCATGGAGCAATGCCTTCTTCATGTGTTGGTGCCTGAGTAACCACAGAGACAATTTTACCTTTACGTCAATATTCAGTGCAAAATGTTTGTTCGCATTCCAGTGGAACATCACGTGCCTAGACAACCAGTGGAAGCTGTCTCTTGTTGGGACTGTACACTTTGCTGGCATCCTCATGGGCTCCATGGTGTTCGGCCTGCTCGCTGACACGTGAGTACACTTCCGTAGGCAATACTGCCACTCAGACTGACAAGAAGGGACTGGTTCCATTTCTGGCGGCGACGCTGTTGAACAGCCTCCCCTCCCCCCATGCCTGAAGGCGTATAAAGCACACATAACGTGTGGCAGTACTTCTGCGCAAACCATTAGTGCAATAGCCCAAACAGTTGGCATGACAGCTGAAAGTCCGGCTTCCCGGAAATCGTCGAGCCCCTCAGGCGAGAGACTCAGACGCGCCTGCTCTCAAATCGGGCCGCGGGACTGACAAATGTACACCGAAAGTAGCCTGAATAGTTTCCCCTGCCAGTTCTCATTCCAAACTCATCATTGTTTACCATTCGCGGCTGGTACAGTAGGCCAAATAGTGGCCGACGTACCAAGTGGGCTCAGCCTCACCCCACCCCAATAAACTACTGTTTTCGAAATCCAGGGGCGGAGGTCAACGGCTGGATCCTCGTCAGTAGACTAACATCCAGTGACTAAGGGTACCAATGCAAGTGCGAGTCTGGCTCGCGAGCCAGACTCGCACGTGTATGGGCCGCCTAAGACCGTGCCATAGCTCAGGTGGTTAGCCGCTGGCTTTCCACGGCGGCTGCCCAGGTTCGAGCCCGGGTCAGGTCATATAGGATTTGTGGTGGACAAAATAGTACTGAGGCAGGTTTTCTCCAAGTACTTCGGTTTCTCCTGCGAATATTCAATCCACCAATTGCTCCACACTCACCATCATCTGTGATCGGGAGCCGGTACAAGAGGCCAGTAGTTGCCGCAGTACCAAATGGAATAACATCCAGTGACTGAGAAGACCGAGTTCCCGAAACGTCCTGTATATACAGCATGTCCGCTTTGCCGCAGGTTCGGCCGGAAGGCGGTGTTCCTGTTCTGCATCTTGCTGATGTCAGTCAGCGGAGTCGCCCAAGCAGCGGCGCCCGATTACGTCACATTCCAGCTGTTCGTTTTCATCAACGCCCTCGGAACCGCGGGCGTTTACCCTCTTGCATTTATCCTCGGTAAGGTGCACTTCATTTAGTTCAACCGGTAAACGCCTTGTTTAACCTGAGACTGGTTAAGCACATGTTCCTGGCCCGAGGTTAAGATACTTACCTTTTAGACACAAGTGGTCTTGTAACGGAAGCGATTTCATAATCACAAAACTGCGTCTCTTTTGCGAGGACCTCCACGGGAAGGGGACTCACCTCTGCAAGGACAGACACGTAACTTCATCCCACGCGGATCTGTGACTGCTTACATAACAAATTAGGAAATGGGGCAGACGCGTGCAAAAGTTGGCTGCTGTCAGACTGTGAAGCGTCGAATGGTAGGATGAATGCTGAACTGGAAGAGATTTGGAAGGAGGGATCATGGTTTAATCGAGGTACTATCGCAGCGTTTGTCTGGCTGGAGTGAGGAAACGTCACTCCTGGTCGAGATTCGAATAGAGAACTTCCCTAATAGCGTTACCGCTGCGCCAACCCGCTCAGACCCTCCGCTGTAACCAGTTCACTGACAAACATTACGCAAACAGACCTGCCGACACGTATACACGCATGTCGCTTAAACCAGACAATGAAATTGTGCCATGTCGCGTTAAATGGTAACATCACCTCTAACCTAACCTAACCTGCCCACTGTTTCCATCCGTTTGGTGCGAACAGATTCAACAGCCAGCACGCAAGCCGTCTGGACACAGACACTGAACACTTCACTGGACCGGGCAGGTCGGTGTTCGATTCGAAACCCGACTGGGACACCGACTATCCGTCGGCAAGTTCCGGGATAGTACGTGCATGAGAGTGACTGTGTTGCAGGAGTGGAGTTGGTGGGGACGCAGAAGCGAGAGATGAGTGGCGTTCTTCTCAACTACTTCTACGCTGTTGGGGAGGCGGCCGTGGGTCTCGTGGCCTGGCTGACCAAGTCCTGGGTCGCCATTCAGCTGGCAGTATCTGCTCCGCCCGCCATGTTCATACTGTATTACTGGTAGGAGAGACAGCATCCGCTTCACATGCAACTTGCTGTTTAAAACCTTTACAAGTTCTAATTGCTAAAATCTCTCTGCATCACCGGTGCATGCGTACGTTGGCCATCTTCACGTGTCTTCCTCTATGTGATTATTGACTGTGGGAAAAAAAACGTAAATATTCGTTAAACATAAACAACTACATTGAGCAGAGTTCTTCTTTAGAAGCTAACAGTCGCTCAGCTAAGCAAGAAATTCCCCGCTTCTTACGGAATTATAAAGCCCACTCCGAGGTCTTGCGCAATATTTCGTTTTGCATGATCAGAAGTTGTTAGTCACCATCGTAACTCGCGAGCTGGAAGGCTACCCATTTTCAGCTGTCGGCGACTGCTTATTCAATAAACTCGTAGCTATCCTCCAATCTCTGGAGACCGCACTCTCCAACGGAAACCTGGGGACGCACGTAGCGAGCCTCACCAAGAGACTGACAGGTCTCACACGCCCCAGGTGTTTGTTCTAGTCGCGACGGGCTATGACAGACGCCCGCCTCGGAACCACTCAACTGAAACAAGTGAGAGATGTGTGATTAATATGACACTGATTTTCCTCAGGTGTATCCCCGAATCTATTCGGTGGCTGCTGGCAAAACGGAAGAACCGCGAAGCTGCCAAGATTGTCAAGATGGCCGCCCAAGTGAACGGCGCCGTACTGTCAGACCGTCTGCTTTCAGCGTTTGATGACGATAACACAAAACAGAGGAAGGTGAGCGGTATATCGGCCGGGCCGTTGCGTGGCACTGGGCAGACTTGTCTGTTCCTACGAGCACCGATTTTGTGTCAGCCTTCCCTACACATTCACGGACAGTATTGTCAATTTGCAACCATAATTTCGCACCGTCCCCATGTTTTGCAGCATCTCATATATACCTGCATGTATGCCTATGATGTATACATCTTCACATATTTCACACGTCTCGCTCCACTGCTTTATCAGTTATCGATATAAAATCGAAAGCGTGCAGCCGTCATGTTGCTGTCTTACATTCTAGAGAAAATTACCCGCATGAAGTTGCTTATGCCTCGAATCTTTATTGTCGTACATCACTTCAGGGCCCAGCATTCCCGCAAGAGGCGCTAGTGTAGCTCCCGCTTCACAATTCATGTTGCAAATTAAGAGGTGCCAGATTTGAGTGACTTGCGACGCAAAAACGTGGATACCAGATTTCGCGAAAATCGGCAGGTCTGTTCAAGAGTTGAAAGTGGAACGTGCACATATAGCACGGAGCTCTAAAAGTTTGTTGTTCAAACTTTAAGAAAGGAAATCGTGCTGAAAGCACACGTTTATTCTGAGAAGAGACAGTAGACAATGTCAGACGATAAAATCGTAGAACAAGCACGAGAACTGTGTCTAGAGTAGAACAAGCACGAGAACTGTGTCTAGAATAGAACAAGCACGAGAACTGTGTCTAGAGTAGAGCAAGCACGAGAACTGTGTCTAGAGTAGAACAAGCACGAGAACTGTCTAGAGTAGAACAAGAATAAGAACTGTGTCTAGAGTAGAACAAGCGCGAGAACTGTGTCTAGAGTAGAACAAGCACGAGAACTGTGTCTAGAGTAGAACAAGCACGAGAACTGTGTCTAGAGTAGAACAAGCGCGAGAACTGCGTCTAGAGTAGAACAAGCACGAGAACTGTGTCTAGAGTAGAACAAGCACGAGAACTGTGTCTAGAGTTGAACAAGCACGAGAACTGTGTCTAGAGTTGAACAAGCAGGAGAACTGTGTCTAGAGTAGAACAAGCACGAGAACTGTGTCTAGAGTAGAACAAGCACGAGAACTGTGTATAGAGTAGAACAAGCGCGAGAACTGTGTCTAGAGTAGAACAAGCACGAGAACTGTCTAGATTATGATGACCTCTCATACCAAATACGGGATATGGAATTAAATGTCAGTTTTACAACGCAGTAAAAATGGTATAATTTTCTGCAAGAAAATGCTATCAAACGAATGCATGGCATCACAGCAAACACTTTATAATGCGATGGTGAGGCCAGTTTGAGCGCCTCCTGTGTTACAGGTGAGACATGGCATCCGAATAACTCCTTAATTTGATAGTGTTTTTGTTTTATTTCGCAAAACAAATGTATGTATAATGGCCATCCGGCCCACAACAAAAATTTAAGCGAAAATAAATTTTCCTGCCATCTCTTGACAATTCAAAATAACAATTTATAGCACTTCAGCGATGCAGAACAGCAGTTACTGTGGCATTGGATCTGAATTATAGACGTAAATTAAACTGGGAACCGAAAGGGTTAAGGAAATGGAAGCCGAAAGCCCCTGATGTTCTGCTGCCTTGACTGGGTCGGGAACTAGACAAGACGACAGAGACAAAACTTATATATTTCTGAATGTAGGTCTAGGGACATCATGTTACGATGTACACGGACAGTGGAAAGTGCTTTGTCTCAGTTGCCAGTAGTGCGTACAGAAAGTGTTACTTCAGTAATTCATTCCAGGTTGAGGAGGCGGAGAGTATAGACGAAATCCAAGGAATATCGAAGACAGTAGTTCAGATCTGCAAGTCCAAGAAACTGCTACTGCGTTCTCTGAACTTGTTTTATAACTGGTAAGTGTAAAGTTGCATGTTGACAGTGAAGTAACTATCAAAGTCGCTACAAATTACATTGTCCCTTTAAAGAATAGTAATTACTGCTTTAACATTACGAAACTCTCATTTTGCCCAAACTGTGTATTTACGCGTTCCCGATTTTCACAGTAAATTGCAGTAACCTCTTGGTATTTGTAATGGAAATTTGTAAATATTTCTACTTTCCCGTTTCGGAAAAAGATGCTGCCTCCATTTTCAGGGTAAAAAGACACATATGTCGTCAGTCGCTGTCATAATCAAGGGCCGTTCTGTTGTTCATTAAGGGCTGCCAACGCGTTTGTCTACTACGGTCTGTCCGTGAACTCGACAAGTCTGAGTGGCAACAAGTACTTGAACTTCGCCCTCGTCTGTCTCGTGGAAATCCCCGGCTACACGCTTGCTTGGGTCGCCATGAACCGTTGGGGCAGGCGGAAGCCCCTAGCTGCCTCCCTTCTGCTCTGCACTGCTACCTGCCTGGCTGCACTGTTCGTCCCGCAAGGTATAGCGCCCGAGAACTTTGTGCACGCTGAAGGCAGGAAAACACGGCAACCCGTGGATGTAGCCCCACAAGGGCACAAGTAGCCAGCAACACCCTCATGTCCAAATGCAACATTTCCTTCAACTTTCATTTAATTTAATTCCGAATAAGAAATACAGTAACCCTCGCTAATCCAGATTTAAATATAACACGCATACTTTAAAAGACACATGATATTTCGGAAGGCAGATGAGTCATTTGTCTGTTCAGACAAAACTTGACAAGTTTCGTCAAGCCTGCAACATTACGCTCAAAAAGAAGTACAACTTCCGAACCTTCTATCGATGAATAAACGTAGTCTTTTTATGGTTTTTAAACAAGGGCTCTACAGTGATATTTCTTGCTATTTATTTTCATGAGCGCTACTCATATCATTAAATTTTCCATTTACTTGTATTCTAAGTTTCTCTCTTTCAGGCCTACCTTTGGCTTCACTAATCCGGACGACGTCCCCACCCCAATTTATCCGGATTAGCGAGGGTTTACTGTATAGAAACGCAAAGATGAATAAAGTTGTCCCTGTGTCTAATTAAACGCCATACCGTGTTGACGTATGGAGGAGTGGATGTACAGCCCCACATTACATGGAGGTCACCGGTTTCCTTTCCGCCCCATCCGCTTTACCCCCGGGGAAAGAGCCAACGATACCTACTGGATAGGAGGCCGGGTGAGCCCCATAACTGATATGAACGCCGTGGAAAAGAGAATTTTCTCTTGTCCTGCCGGCAATCGAACTCGGATTCCTCGGTTGTCCACCCCGTAGCCTACTCATTTTAACGACTGAGCTATACACAAGCATTCCGTAAGCAACCGGGTGCAGCGTCAGAGATGAGACCGACAGCTTAAGGCTCGGGAAAGTGATAATGTGCTGCCTGGTTAGAGCTACTGTACACCTCACGTGGCGGTAGAAGGGGAAGACCCTATTCCAGTACCAATTTGTCCACTATGAAGCATCGCCTGGAACTGAACCCGGGTTTGCACGATAAGAAGCCAGCGTCGAATCACCTGACCTATGTCACTGCATGAATTTACATTACGAAAAAAAAATCGCATTTCAGGTTGTCTGCTCTTAGCGTTCCTTTTCTGTGCAAGACCTCCTAAGTTCCTGTGGCGTGTGCCCTAGGTGCAACATTTTGAGGAAGTTCACGCCTCGGCCCCAGGCGCTGGCCCCCCCCCCCCACCTTAGTCCTAATGTTACGCAATAAACATGGCTACCATTGCGGATATTGTCCGCCGTCCTGAGTTTTTCCAAACACAAAGTTTCGGAAGCTTTACTCGTTTCCGTCATCAGGTGCAAGGAAGGAAAGTTTCCCAACTCAGCTGTGCCCCTCGAGCAGTGACGCTACTGACTGGAATACGGGAGGTACCCGGTTCGATTCACGGCTTTCCCCCAAAACCTCAAGGCATATGCCGGGATATTGCCCTACACTGCACATCCTGCCCAAACCATTATCCACGAGTCGCTTCCAACTTCGTTTCATGAAATGCAGACACTCGGAACCGACAGCTGGGCCCCTCGGGCTCAGTAGGGTTGGAACCTTCCCTCCTTCACACCTGAGTTTCCGCAGTGGTAACGCTCTGCATTCGTATTCGGGAGGTTCTCGGTTCGAATTCCAACCGGGACACCGCCTATCCTGGCTGAGGCTTGTTGTGCTTCTCCTCAGTCACTCCAGAAATTTCCGGGGCAATACCTCGATTAGGCCACGACCGCTTCCTTCCAGATCCCTTCCAGTTCACCGTATATCACGCATTATACCATCTGACGCTTTGTATCCCGACAGAAGTGTGGACTGACCTGGCCTCCAACATGACATGGCCGCTCTGCAATGTGCAAAGTAGGGTGCATTTACTGTTTCTGCGCATGCGCTGTTCTGCTTCAGATATGAACCGGGTGGTGGTACTACTGTTCCTGACAGGGAAACTTGGGATCACATCTTCGTTCGCCATCCTTGTGGTCTACACGACAGAACTGTACCCCACAGCGATGCGAAGTATTGGGGTGGGCGCCAGCTCCACTGTGGGCCGAGTGGGGGCCATGTTGGCGCCTTTCGCACCTCTTCTGGTGAGCACGACTGACTGCTTAGCTTAGGCAATATTTTATCTGTGGAAATGAGCACTGGCGAGCATTGCTGTGGTTCACTCTGCTCTTGAGATCGTTGTTTTCCGTGGAATTTCGGAAGAAACTACTCTTCCATCTTCATGATGCGCCTCTCCACTACTGTGAAGATGAAATGTCTGGTTCTTCCAAAATGCTGGTACCTATTTATCAAACTTCACGGCATGAGGACCCATATTCACGCTTGATCAGAAACCGTAATCTGCAGCCTTTTCGTCAGCATTTGATATGTTAACTGTACTGTGTGCTCTGTGCTGCACAGGGTGTGTACCTGCCATCTCTGTCGCTGCTGCTCTTTGCAAGCGTCTCCTTCATCGCCGGAGTGTTGGCTCTCCTGCTTCCGGAGACGCTCGGCGCCAGGCTGCCTGACACCGTGGAGGAGCTTGTGGCCTTGTGAGGATCTCATCGGGTTACAATGCACGAGTGATGAACCTGGGCCCTTAGAAGCGCTTTCCTTCATGAGTTTTATATATACGGACGCAATATTTCCTTCTAGAATGATCCTTATAAATAGCAGAGTTCACATGACCACGAAACGAACGAATTAGGAAGGGAAATCCCAAAGAGAGAAGTCCCCTCAAAACGTAGCATATGTAAGTAAGACAGCCGACTTTATACTGAGCTGGATTCTGTAGTACACAAATGTAAACTGGCCGCGAGGGTGACAAAAAAAAATACGATAAATATCACAAAATGGCGAGAAAAAGATCCGCTTCTGGTTTCGAAAGATGGCAGTTAATTAACACTAATTCAAGCGCTACTTACGTCCGTGTATATCGAAACACGTTTCACCCAGCGACTTAACTTTAACACTGGTGGGTACGCCCCTAAGCAGATATTACTCAACAGCAAACTTGGTGGTTGTGATGTAACATAGGAAGGATATTTAGACAAATAAATATGCTAATAAAAATGAGTTCATGTTTACAGATGTTATTTATTTTTCTATAACTTAGTATTGGTAATCACTAATGGTTCTAAAGGCCTGTATGGGCTGAAATTGGGGAGGTTGGAGGCTTACGGGAACGGAATGAAGGAAGTGGAGGCAGTAACCTCCCCACAGCGCCCTCCGGCGCAAAGCAACCAGCTTGCAGGTTTCACTTACTTCCACACAATTGCATGTAGTGTTCAGAACACGTCTTCCATCGCCAGCCTGAGTACCGTCCATGTAACAACAACATGTAAACATTCAGATGCTACTCCACAGAAAACCCAGCGCGTCTGCATGACAAAGAGCAGCTGGTTAACGCTAAGTATTCTGAGTTACCTCTGTGTTTTAAGGGTCAGTCTCAGATCAAACCCTTCTTGTGTATGCGTCATCATCGCAGTGACGTAGGCCGTTACGTCACCATTAGAAAGTATCTAACTTGTATTTTAAATATGCAATGGGAACCAAAATCGCTATTCCGGGAATCTCGTTGCAACACGGGGTTTCTGTTGCACGAGGTTGCCCTCTCAAGTATGGCGTACCGTCACAGTTGGTTCAGACAGACAATACGTAACCTGCATCATAAAAGCCGCGATCAGGCGCGACAGCGCAGCTGAACAAAAGGGTACGATTACAATTACGTTTTAGGGGCGCCATATTTTACACCTCATTTTGATGAATGCTTATTTAATATTTTTGTCGCAGTGTCTGAAATGTTTGTTATTAATTGTGATGAAGTTTTCGTAAACTAGGAGGGTTTTAACTGGGGGAGGGGGGGAGACGGAACTTCTCGTCGGGTGTGGGAGAGGGGGCACGTAGACTTACGCCTGCCCTGAGTAGCCTGTGGAATGTCATGGCTTCTGATCATTTGTGTACCGCTTCCTGTTGCTCGCGACATCAGAAACAGGAACCAATGTAACTTATCCATTCACAATTCCGTGGGCTTCGCCTGGGCTTGCAAGGGATGAGAACGGGGTTGGTCAGGGCACACGACCGCAGGCCACGTTGAACCACCAATCACACACGAGGAAGTCTTGATTGAAAAGTGTTCCATTTGGGCACAACATGGGCACGCCCAGACCGTCGTCAGAACATACAAAGAATACCTGAAACAGTACGTACCGCGTCATGAAGTTCATAGTGTTCAGCATCTTAACACTTACAGCAACAGTATGGCACTTGTTATTCATGTAAATAATACACAATACTTCAGTTCGTACCTCACAGGAAACACATTACGTCTCCGCTACAAAGCCCACCCGGTTAATGCGGTTTAGGGAAACAGTCGCTGTTTACTGTGAGAACCATACGGAACACACAAATAATATAGAGATTCAGTCCGTACCTCACAGAAAACACATTACGTCTCCACTACAGAGCCCAACCAGTTAATGCTGTTCAGGGAAACAGTCGCTGTTTATTGTGAGACTCATACGGAACACACAGATACACCTTGATGTGCGTATAACAATCACTGTGCTTTGGAGCCTTACAGTCACCTCACAGTTGCATTTGTCTGCGCTGACGCTTCTGGACACGATGGATCTCGAGGAGTAGCCCAGTTCAGCATGATCATCTTCAAGACCCCCAGTGTTGCTGATGATATCAGAGTTGAACGTTTGGAAACAACTGGTCCCCAAGATCGTTCAGTATATGGCAAATCAGGAAGAAGTCTGAAGTAGGACGAAGAAACAGTGCTACGCTCTATGAACGTGGGGTAGCTCCCACACAGCGTGGTGACTATGAATATTGCTGTCTTCTGGGGGGTGACACCGTGTACTCCGGTAGAAGTAAACCGCGGATACAGTAGCCTACTATTTTCAGAAACATCAGCGAATTCCTACCGGATCATGCGGCGTCACATCTAGAGGAGTGCGCTCTAAAAGGTACATCATATGCGCGACAATTCCGAGAACACGGAAGAAAGAAGGAAACAGAAAGGACGGGAAAACAAACGTCCATTCTATTTTAAACGCGAACAGTTACAAATCTAGGTTCTATTTGAGGCAGCTACGACTGCAAGGAACCAACTTACTTGACACCGGGTGCTGACGTCCGCAAAGTATCCACCATGACCTTTGACACATGAAAAATTTGTCTTCGGAGGTCGACTGTAAACAGGGTAATCTCTACCGGGCACACCTGGGATTGAACCGGTTTCCTCTGCGAAAAATGATAATATGTTTATACAAGAAATTTACTTACAACAATAATATTAAAATATATCCTGAAGACATGTGGTGGGAGAATGAGGACTGAATCCATTCGGCTAGGTGTAGGGCCCAATATTTTTTTTTATTGCTAGTGGGGTGGGACTAAGTCCCTTGTACTGCCGCCACTTCTGGCCTATTGTACCCGCCCCAGATGATAGGTGAGGGTGATTGTGGAGCAATTGGGAGAATGAAGATTGGCAGGGGAAACCGAAGTACTCGGAGAAAACCTGCCTCAGCGCCACTTTGTCCACCAAAAATCCCACTTGACCAGACCCGGGATCGAACCCGGGCCGCCGAGGTGGGAAGGCAGCGACTAACCGCTTGAGCTATGGCTCGGCCTAGGGCCCAGTAACTGACTCTAGAGAACACGGTAATAAACTCTAATTAGTTTCTCAATACTGACCCTGCCCCACTGAGTCGGTTAGTACAAACCTACATGTATAAATTATTCAGCCACCAAAAAGTTGAACCTGCAGCCTCTATCCACTGTGGAGGGTCTCCATTTAAGAGCTGACAGTTACTAAGCTAGTCAAGAAATTCCCTGTCTATGGAAGCCAAGAGACCGCCATCGCCCCTGAGTTCGGAACCCTTCTTCCTTCAATGAATTTCTAACACATATTACTCACACCTCCCAAGGGATACTTTCCGTTGAGGACTTCCGACAAAAGTCCCGTACGTGTTCCTCGTGTCCCCACGCACTGTCCCACACTCCTCTCCTCTCTGATATCTGACATCAGAGTGCACTCACCGCTGGTTTCCAAGATCATGGCCGGCTTCCGCAGCTGTCTCCGCTTATAGTAGGCTGTCTCAGCTGCTGTGAGCTGCAGCTCCTCGTACTCGTGGTCCCGATGTCGTTTCCCGTCGCCTCCCTCTGCCTGCACAACCAGAGCCACACGCGACGGGTAGACCGGCTCAGAAAGCTGCACTAGGCTCGCTACTGGGCTCCTGCTGGGCGCTTCACTCTCATAACTGTCATAAGCCGGACTATTTCCGGCGAGAAGTTCCTCGTTTCTGGAGGAGTTTCTCGTGAACTTCGCAAATGGCGGGGTAACGTCAGCAGGCGGCGGAGAAGTATCAGCATATTGTCGGAAACCGTCAACTGATTGGAAATCTTCTGTGGACTGAGGGGTGACTGTTGTAGGCTCGGATGCCTTCGGTAAGGAAGTTCCACGGAGACCACCCAGACTGCTGGCGGCAGGTTGCCGAGATATTGCAATGTGAACACGGGAGATATCAGTAAATGGAGAGGCAGGGACGTCTGTATAGGGATGCGAGATCGTCGTATATATTCGAGGGATATCGATATGAACAAGCGATATATCAGCATCCGCCGATTGGAGAGGAATATCAGTAGATATACGAGAAATGTTACTAGACAGAGGGTTGGCTCGGTCATGCACTTGAAGGGTAGCGTCAACAGGACGACGGGAATTATGAGTTCTTGATCGATTCCTTTGTCTTGAGGATTTGGGAACAGGCGTCTCCGTGGAAGTTGGAACATCCTGGGGTACATTCAAATGTTTGAAAGTGGAGACTGCAGGGGGCAACAGATACAGAGAAGGGGCCGTCGGAATATCGTGGGATTTCGATCTGTTAAAATCAAGTGTGATAGGCCTCGAATAATTTGGTTTCCTTTTTCCATACTCCCCAAAGACTAGCAGAGGATCTGAAATCTTAACCCTTTGACGGTAATACCGCCTCTGATCCGGCCTTCTTTGGGGCTGTTCTTTCTGCCTTTGTTCCACTTCCTCCTCTGGTTCGTTCAGTTTAATATCTCCTCCCCCCTCGGGGATGATGTTTCTCTCGTCCTGTCGCTGCTGCGAATGTTGTTCTGCCCGCATTTTCCTCCGCGGTTTGTGTCCTTCGTAAACAGAAGTCTCAGCGTCTTCAGATCTTGATCGTTTTGTGTGGTACGCAGGAACAGCCGAGACCTGTTCCATCAAGTCGACGAAAGAATTCATGTCCATTTCGTCATCCTGCTCGACTACCATGTTCAGAACTGGTGTCCGCTGTTGCGTCTCGGAGGGCGACAGCACCTCCATCTGCACATACCTCGCATTCGGAAGCATCCCGCTCTGCTTCCCTAACCGCCGTCTCTCTTCCTGCCTCAGGTAGCGCACGAAGGTCTCAGGATCGCGAATAGCAACAGCGAAAGATCGGACCGGGTCAGAAAAGTTGTCGTTCGGTCCACTGATGCTGTTATTAGTGCTCTCAACAGGTCTCATGACCCAGACGCGCTCTATGTGCGGGCGTCTGTATCTCCGTCCACGCCGTGCCCTCGCAGCCAGTTCAGAACGCGGTACCTGACCCCGATCTTCAGCCCTCATGACGCTTGCTGCCATCGCACAGACCCACCCTGGAACGAGGGTAAGCAACGTTAGCTGTTTCGATGCGTAGAGAGACCACAGATTGGCTCCCTCCACAACTCCCTAAAGCTGTTATGCTTCCGCCTTCAGCATACTTCCCAGGATTCCCTTCTAGTCCTCTAGTCTGGCTTTCCCCAAAGGGAAAGAAGCATTCTTCCAGGGCAGCAGAGAATGCTAAATGTCTAATTAATACACGTGTAAACTGACGAGTGAGGAGCATATTACGTTGCAAACGCAGACATACAATATAACAGAAAAAGTAAAGTAAAGTAAGTAAGTAAAAATATCCCTTTAACAGGCCGTGAAAGCCCACAGGGTTGTGAGATGTTAAGGGTCCTTCATTTCCCAGACAATTGGCTCATAGACGGAGGTGAGACTGTCAGCCTTACGCGCCGGCCGCCATTTACCCCCAGGAATATTCCAGGTATTCATTTCTGTTAGAGGCCGAGCAGACCCCAGGGACATCTCTACCTTTTTATATTAAAAGCGGTCGTCAGTAATACGTAAAGCCATGTTGAACTTTGATATACGAGAATGCGTAAAATTACGTCACAATATCCGCGTGTCTAATGATACTCGTATTTGAACTGGTTGATGGATTTCAGTGAACCTCCGCGTGCATGGGTTGTTAAAGATGTGCCAAGTATCTCTGCACTACTTCACTACCCCAGAGACAATACAAGCATCAGGACTAGAGCCACTGAACACAGGTTCGTTAAATTGTGAGCAGACAAAAATTAAAAACATAATTTTTGTTGTCTTCATTTTTGTAGAACAGAAAGTAAAAATTTGGCATCCATGAGAAACGGGCCTGTTCAACTGTCCGTTTGCTGGCAGTAAGCAGTGAAACAGCCTGTGCGTGTAGGCAACCGATAGCTTGTATGGGTCTAGGTGACAGTCGAAACTATAAATGTTATAAATTCACACGGCAGCGGTTAAATCGTTTGAACTTAACTTATCTGGAGAATTTAATATAATGAAACTTACGTCCGGAAGTGGAACAATAAAAATCTGCCTACGATTTTAAGTTCCCAGTTTGCGCTATGTACGTTCATTTTACAGACAGACCGAACTGAAACATGAGACAAAAATGGATTTTATTTGCAATGGTAATCATGGAGGACAGAAAGTCGTATAAATAATAAAAACCAGTTCGTACCACACAGAGAACGGCCAGTCCTGCTTACGGAAATGACCGCAGTTTATTGTAAGAGCCATACGGAACACACAAATAATATAGAGATTCAGTCCGTACCTCACAGGAAACACATTACGTCTCCGCTACAAAGCCCAACCGGTTAATGCTGTTTAGGGAAACAGTCGCTGTTTATTGTGAGAACATACGGAATATATAAATACAATGTGTGGGCACAATGCAGCGCTTTTCAATGTTAAATCAGGTGGTGCATATAGTTACCACTGTGCCTTAAACGATTACTCTGGGAAATCATGAAGACCGCATAATACGAGGCGAGTTCTGCAGAGCAGAGCTTTGTGTGTGTTCTTTACGACGATGCCAGTAGCTAAACGGCAAATGTATGTACTGAGTTGGAGAGGATTTGGAAGGAGTGGTCGTGGCCTAATAAAACCACTATCATGAGGAAAACCACGAAAAACACCGCCGTCCCGCCCGAGATTCGAATCGACACATGTGATTCAATAGCATTACTGCTCCGTATATTCGCAAAATGAAGTGTGGGCAGACACACGCGTCTGTATTGTGTAGAGCAGTGTATTGAGGCGCGCTACTTACACGACAGCAGGAGAGCGTCCGCGAGTCTCATGTCTGCACGCCGAGAGATCCCACTTGTTACTGCGCCCCCTCCGACAGGCGCTCACTTATGGATTATCTGCCATCATCCGCGATGAAGGAAAGTGAAAACGGGGTGAAGGACTTCATGCTGTAACTCTTACAGAAGGACGCGGTTGAATGACTGCACTCCCGCTCAACGCGTTCAGGACGTCCCGGGTTGAATTCTCCATCCTCACCGATGTTTTTCGCCGATTTACCGCAATTCCACAAACGCGACTCCCTTATATGAGGCGACGACCACTTCCTTCCACATCCTTACCAATTCGCTATTCATTAACCATGCCACAAGTCGGGGCTATATCACGAGCGGGGTCGACAGCATCAGGAAAACCAATTTTTCGTGTTCGTGGAGAGGGGTGAGTCGGGGTCCACTAGGTAAGTCGGCCACCAATTGTCCTATTGTACCAGCCCCGGACGACAGATGACTATGGAGCATTTAGTGGAATGAGAATTGGCAGGGGAAACCGTAGAAACCAGCCCCAGTGCCATTATGTCCATCACAAATCCAACATGGCCTGACCTGCGCTCGAACTTGGGCTGCCACAGTGGGAAGCCATGACACGATCTACATACAGTAACTCTAATTGTTACGATGAAGTTAATTCGGGTCTTTGGAGGTTCCACCGTGTGGACGTTTCTGAGATACTTCGACCCTGAAGATCGAGGCAGCCTGTACCTCGGAAAGTCAGGCAGTACACGCTACAACCAATCAAGAACTGATTGTACGCCAACTGTTAAGCAGCGTCAGTGTCTAAAGTCAGGGTTGCGACGAATCCGACTGACGCATTCTTATTCTGACAACGCAGGGCGTCGGCGCAGCAATTACACCTTAAATCATATGAAACGCTCCTTTGAGAGCAAAGACTCTCCATTTTTCTGTACACTGCATTTATGTGTTTCTCACACCGAAAGGCGATTATTTCCCTAAACAACATTAACCGGTTGGACTTTGTTATGGAGAGACAGCGTGTTTTCTGTGAGGGAGAAACCGAGTTCTTATACGGGCTTCAGGCTTCCAACATTTAAAAACGGAACGGACCAACATATACAGAAAACTACTCACGAAGTGCACAGAACTGCAAAGTATACGAAGTTACGTAACAGGAAACATCACATGCGATGCTGGCGTTCGGTCTGAGCAGCTTTCACCCTGACGTTACACTGTACAAGGTCGCGGAAGAGTCGAGTCATCTTACAATTGAGTTGCAAGTAATTCCCACACATCCGTCCTGGCACAAAGAACACGAAAATTACTTTACGGTGTAGATTCTTGACACAAAAATTTCGCTGATCAAACAATAAAGACAAGCCAAGCATTGCACTTAGTGAAAGAGATTTTCTAAACACTTTCTTAATTGGCGAATTCATTTAACGACGCTGCGAGTAGCTAAGACTCTACGGCGTCGAGTGGTAGGAGAGTTAATGAGAACAGAATTTGTAGGGTTGTGCAAAGAAGATGCTGTGGCCCAGTTTCAGGCACTATCCCAACGTTCACCTGGAGGGACTGAGGAAAAGCACGGCAATCCCCGTCGGTATTGTCGTTATCCAGGCCAAGATTCGAATCGGGTTCCTTCGGAATACGCGTCTGAGCCGATCTGCTTGAAATGGCCATTCCGAAACCGGGGAAAGGCCTGCACAAGTCCCTCCATACCCTACAAAACCTTGGCGGATAATCCAATATGAAAATATCAGAAAATAAAGCAATGACTTTTAAAGAAAAGCATAAAATGCAGTTCTTATAAAGATAAAAAAAGTCCCCATACTCAATTAACCATTACACCATGAAGACATAAGGGGGAGTGGCGGTACAGCTCCACGCATTCATAACCTTCGCACTAAACAGAGGTGAATGATTTACTTCGATCCCAAGTCGCTTTACCTCTCGAGAAAGAGCCCCCCGGTACCCACTGAACAGAGGGGCTGGTAGGCCTCGAGGACGCGATGACGAAGCAAAATTTCTTGCGCCTGCCGGGGATAGAACCCCGAACTGAATGAGTTATCCCGACTCCCAAGATGCATTTGCCAGCCTAGTTCCAGAACAATGTTCAGTACTTCTGAACTGGCATTTGTTGCGAAGCCGGCCACTGAGCAATAAAATGGAACAGCGAGGAAACAGACAGTTCGTGTGTTGTAAAGTGACGACAGTTCGCACGCTTTTCCTTGCAGATGGCAGTGAAACTGCATTGAGGAAATGAGATTTTTAAGAATGTCGAGGAATGTCCTGAAATGAGTGAAATTCACAAGTTCAATTTTGCTTAACTGTAGCAATTATTGCAAAACTAATGTAAGGTGTGTTTTGGGGGGGGGGGGGAAATACTTTCCAATCCGATAAATATATTTGGTGAGTTCCAATGGAGATATGCACAGACACCGCATACAGATGTTCGCATGACGTCCCTTATTTTTGTTCTATATTAAACACAATTCGAATGTACCATCAAATTTTAGTAAAGTTTCCTGGTACCAAATGTAATAACAATTCGTTCAGCCGTTCTCCAAACTTTACCTGCGGACAGGCAGGAAGCAATCAGGGCCTATTTTATGGAAGTCTTTCAGTATTTGCTTGGAGCACCTGAGGGCAAGCACGAAAGGCCTGTCAGTCGGTCTAGGCTGGTAATCGAACCCGAGGCCTACCGAACATGAAATATGAGTGCTAACCACTCAGCCACGACGTCTGGTGCTGGCACTACTTAAGACAGAGAGTTGAAACATACCATGCGTGGGCGAAGTCGAATTGAGTGATACTGAACTCCAGCTTCAGGAGAAAAAAAAACTGTGGTCTTCACTGAATGTGGGAGCGGACGGACAGGCATAAATCTTGGCCTTTTGAAGCGCATTAGTAACTGCATGTACCAGGTGATTTTATTTTAAAAATAATGCATTCTGCTCACACAGTTAATTTATGTGTTCCATACGATTCTTACAATTAACCGCAATTACTTCTCAAAATAGCATTAACAGGCTGGTCTTTGTGGAGACGGCGTGTTTCCTGTGAGGTACGAACTGACTCCGTATACATTATTTTGACGAATTTCAGACTTGCTAGACGGCTTTCAACCTTCCGTATGTATATGTATAATAAAATTGTGTAGGCAACAAGCAGAAGTTCTGAGAATGAACATGGAATATGTAAGTGGCTTAAACCTAGCGGCGGCCAAGCTTACTACCCTTCAAGGCATAAGATATGTAAGATAAACATGACGTAAAGCCTGGACTGACAGAGGACTTGTATATAGTGCACAAGGAAGAACTTTCAGCAACATGCTATATATGCGATACGTACACTTGACAAATGCCAAGTATATTCATAAGAGACAAACCCATGCTACCTAAGGACTATGACCGAAAGGATTCAGTTGGGGAAAAAATCTCTGGTCGTGATCCTCAGGGGGCTTGGCGCCAGTAACTCTTGACTTGCGTGCTTCTCATGTAGCCCTGCCGACTTAAATGCGACAGAATTAAGCCCCTTTACCATCTAGGTCACCAACTGGTTTTTCCAAATTGTACAATTTGACAATAATTCAGAAGATCAAAATTCCGCGGCCCCTCTCAAGCCACTACTTCGAACCATCCTAATGTCTTCACTTCCACACTGCCCTTATCAGAAGGACGACAGGGCCAGGAGTGGGAACCTTCTAATAAAACGAAGCCCTTCCTCCCGCCTACCTTGTAATAAGTGTCTCTCACATCTCCCACGAATTTTCACTTTCACCTGCTCTTCTGCTACACCTCTGCCTCTAAGGCGTGAACGAGGGCCCAGTCACGAGTGCGAACACATCCGGCAACAACAGGAAGTGCGTGACCGCTGCACGCGACAGCGTAAAGACCCTGACCCAGTGAAAAGTGTGCCTCCCTTGTCGCTACAGGAGCATCCGATTGAAACTTTATTCTGTGTGGGGTTACGTCACAGCGTCCGAGGGTATGATGATTCACAAATAGTTAATTGTAAAACATTTGGAAGGAACCGGTTGTGGTCTGATCAATCTTCAGAGTGGAAGAAAATGCTTCTTGTAAGGGTAAGGAGGGCCACGCTCCCCTGATGTACAGAGAACATAAGAAATACATACAAAATTTTGGTCAAGAAACTTGAGAGACCTACTTATGTCATCATCATCATCATCATCAGTAATCTGTCAGACGACAGGTCCACGGTCTCTCCCAAAACAATTCCTTACCCTCTTCTGTCCCCAAGGTCATCCAGCATCTTCTTACGTCTTCTTGTCACTTCTATCCGCCCTCTATCTTTCCTTCAATAACTTCTTTTAGAAGGCAGTTTCTGCATAAAACATGGCCAATCCAATTATCCTTCCATTTTCTTATTTCGTTTAGGATATTCCTCTGCTCACTGACTCTAATTAACACTTCTTCATTTCTCACATAATCAGTCCAACTGATCTTCTCCATTCTTCTCCAACACCACATTTCGAAACTTTCCGGATGTTTCTGATCTACTGCCCTAAGTGTCCATGTTTCAGCCCCATACAGAGCTATGCTCCAAATGTAGCATTTCACTAGTTTCTTCCTCAAATTTAAGTCCAATTTGCTGGTAAAAAGATTCTTCTTCTTGCTAAATGCAGCTTTTGCCATGGCAATCCTGGATTTAATTTCACCAGTACACCTTGCATCATCTGTTAAAAAGCTACCCAAATATTTGAAACATTTCACATTCTCCAGTTGTTTTTGGTCTATCTTTATTGTGACTGGGGTTGGTTGTCTTGAAATCTACTTATGTATGCGAGGATAATATTTACAAGGAAATTAAACAGAGTTGGACCGGGTTCGATCCTGGGTCTGGTCAAGTGGGATTTTTGGTGGACAAAGTTGCGACGAGGCAGGTTTCCCCTGCCAATCTTCATTCCACAAAATTCCCCATCATCATAATCACCTGGGGCAGGCTACAATAGGCCAATCACTGGCCGCCGGGCCGAGTGGGCCCAGTTGGACTCCACCCCCATTATGCCAATTAAAAAAAAAAGTTGGAGGGTGTGAACTTGTGTCATCTGGCTCAGGACATGATCCAGTGATCGTCCTCCGTGTTTGCCAGGTTTGGCTCCAGCACATTTCTGGTTGTTCCCAAAAGTTAAGTTGGCGATGAAAGGAGACCGTCACGACACCATCCAGGACATCCAAAGGGAATGTACCGCAGTTTGAAATGCGATTCCCCAAAAGGGGTACAGTGCCTGTTTTCAAAAACTTTTCAATCGATTCCACCTATGTACTGATTCCAAAGACTATTTTGAATAAAAAGAGTGAAATTTTGAAAATAATTCACGTCTTGTATTTTTAATGAACAGTCATAACAGAACCCAGACACACTGTGTATATGTCAGATTTGTTCTAAATAATACACATACATACATACATATTCAGGCCATACCTCAGAGGAAACAAGAGTCCAACTGGTTAATGCTGTTTACTGAGAGAATCATATGGAACACACCCATACAGTTTGTGTGAGCAGAATGCAGAGTTTGGTATGTTACAACAGACAGTACATATGTGTATAGTAACCATTGTGCTTTAAAGGGCTGAAACAAAGACAGAAGAGGAAAACATTATGGAAAACTCTGAAACCAGAAGACCCTGATACCTGCAAACACACAGGAAAACTGAGCAGGATGGTGTAGTGGTAATGCTCTAGAACTGTATTCAGCAAGTGTCTGATTCAAATCCTGGCTATCCTGACGTTCACGTGGGTTTCCTCAGTCCCTTGAGGCAACTGACAGTACAATGCCTAGAATGCTTCCTTCTGAATACTTTCCAATTCACCATTTCATTCATAACCCTACCATCTGACTCTTTAGATACTGAATGTTAGAAAATACCAAAAAAAATAAAGGAGTACAAAATAAAATAAGCATTTGTTCCTAAGGTGACACAGTACAGTAAAGGCAAACAGGCAGCCAGATGAGTCCAATGACACTTCTAGAGTAGGACAGTGCGCTATGCTGTACTGGTCAACTAAAGGCAGAAGGCAACAAGGGGGAAGCCACCAGCCAGTACAAGTTACCTGCATGAAATGTGAATCACTGGCCTCATCCAGCAGTTACCCCTGTCTCGTTTCTTCATCATTAGCACAGGGATCACAGCAAGACAACCCAGAGAAGCTGCATGTCACCATCTCTGCCTGCTGTTCTGTTCCCCTCCACCACCCTCTGGCATATGTAAACCACTCCAAAACATTTGTCGCTAGCAACGGCAATCACCACCACATTCAAATTTAAACAAAGGCAAAATAACTGCAGGGGAAAGCATTACACCCGATGGGCAGATGATCCATGGGGCTCCTTTCTGTGGCCTACACAACTGGTGCTGTCACACATTGCAGGTATTTGTACACTGTGATGCTGTGCGCCATGAGGAACTCGCTGCCTCCAATGTCAGGTTCAACCCTGGTTCCTACCTCACAGAGAATACAATGTCTCCATTACAAACATAAATTGGGCAATGCTGTTTAGGAATATACAGTAAATCTGTTTATTTTGAAACTATGCAAAGCATATTGTGACGTGTGGCGCTAGCTGGAGCCCCCCCGGAGCTGACGCACCGAGCGGAGCCGAAGTTAGCAGAGTCCCAGCGTCCTGGTAGCTATGCAACGCGAGTCAACAGTGGTGACGTAAGATGGCATGAGGTAACAGCGTTGCTAGGCTATACGCAGACACTGTTACGTGGCACGCAACGACACTGTTGACGCGGGCAACAGGTAACAGCGAACGGAATAAAAGCCGGCTGAGCAGCAAGCGAGAGCCGTGTGTTATCAACAGTTCTCAAGGCAGCAGCCTGCGAGTCGAGCTGAAATATAGCAGCCGTCACGGAAAGAAGTACCGGACGTCTGTGTAACTGAGAATTAATTGGGAGTGTGATACAGTTGGACTTATACAGCTCCCGTACTGTGAAAACGTGTTGACTACTGATGATAGAGTGAACTGATTTGTGAATAGGGTTATAAATCGTGAAACCCCGCAACAGTGTTAACAGATTAATGTGATTAGGGTTATAAAGTGTGAAACCCCGCAACTCTGTGATAAGTAATTGTAGCCGTTACTTGTAGGTTGTTGAATAAACCAATTAACAGTCCGAACGGCGTCTTCAGTAATGAAACACGTTACAATATAAATACACTTTTTCTACTCAGTTCCTTCAGAAAAATGCTGGAATAGTAGGTACAAACAAGTCATCACCACTTCCATTACAGAGCTGAAAATAAACATACTGAGGCTGAGAGAACGTAAAGTTTGAGATGCCACACGCACACAGGGGAGGGAATGCAATGTAAACATATCACTTTGTAATTTCTTTATTATGTTATGTCACAGTAATACAGCACAGGTCAATTAAAGGCGTTTTACTTTTTAAAGCAATTCATAATGTGGGGCAGTAAGCAGAAGTTTATTAAGCTTGCATGTAAATTTGCCTTACAAGTTTATTTTTAACTTGCTATATGATACTATCAATATACAGAACAGATACATCGACATGGACCAAGGCAAAAATTAGCAGACTAACAGAAGCAGAGAAGGAAAAACCACAAGACAGAGAATAAGAAGTTAAAAAAAAAGAATCGAAGAGATAATTTAAGTATACTTTCAAGTTACATAAATAAATAGCGGCCTCCATAGTCTAGAGGTAACGTTCCCACCTCATGACTCGTAGTACGCGGGTTCATATACCCGGCGGAGGTCGTCGAATTTTTAAGGGCGGAAAAATTCAGGGAACAAGTCCTCCGGGAGGGACTTGAAGCCGTGGGTCCCGTGTCGTAGCTGTATGGCACGTAAAAGAACCTCATACCTCCAAAGGAGGTCACTGAGCCAAAATTGCGGACGTCTGCCGCCCGACAGCAGTCTNAAAAGAGAGGGGGGGGGGGGGGGGGAGGTATGGGAATGTTTGGAATGAACAATGAAATCAGAAGAAAGTGGCCAAGAGGAAGGTCAACATTACGAAACATGTCACAAACGAGACAGGGCAAATATGGGAGAAGCATTGGGAAGATGGGGCAGAGGACCCACACAAAAGTGGAAATGCCTCAGGCAGAAGAACAGTGTGTCTGGATGGGTGTCTCCTACAGCCTTTCCAATTCATCATGCACAAATTCCCCTGCCAGTCAATAGTATATAACCCATGCTTCTGCTCTTAAATAAAAAAACACTCAACGGTATGTGCAGTAAAATGATCACACACTTCACAGTGTTCAGGATGTCCAATGCTGCATCTTATTAACAGAAAAGACTCTCACTGTATCGGTTACAGGCCTGAGTATGGTACAGCTTCCATGCAAACGGGAATGTAGTTACTTTGGGAATGTCTGCATTACTAAGGGCTGCTACTCTAGCACCGACACATGGACTTCCTTACTGGCAGAATTTCATATAATGCCATCTATCAAAAAATAAACTAAACTTTCAAAATCATTAAGTGCTAACCTAACTATAGGTTCTTATCCCCCCCACACACATACACACACACAAATTAAGACTGCCCTAGCATTTAAAAACAAAAGAGAGGAAGTGTTGGTTAATTTTTTCATGCTTGGTTTGATTAGTAATTCCTTAACCATTCTTTCTTTGATTTGGGCTATCTTCTCTTTCTTACACTAGATTAGATGCATCTACAAGAAAGATCTACAACCACCAACCCAGTAACTGGTCTGGTCTGTGTTTGGGTTGACACATAGAGGCTACAGCATGTCAGTACCAGAACACAGAGTCACATCGTGTTACCCACAGAAACACAAATACTGAGCAGCACAAACACATGTGTGTTCACTGCAGATGGCCTTTCCATTCCGACGGAACCAATTCATCGAGACGTTTGTCAAGAAAGTGAACCTTAGAGCCTAATTGGTGCAGGACATGCTCTACACTGGCCTGGTGGCGAGACCGCAGCTCTGGAATCAAGGATTCCACCCGTTCCACCTGAAACAAGTGACAAACATCACTTCATGTTGATTTCAGTCATTCCCTCCTTGGTACAAAGTGTTATGGAATGAATGTGGAACCCACAGGCTCATTACCACAATCAGCACAATACAAGACATCATTTAACCATTTACATGGGCCGCGCCATAGCTCAAGCGGTTAGTCGCTGGCTTCCCACCAAGGCGGCCCGGGTTCGATCCCAAGTCTGGTCAAGTGGGATTTGTGGTGGACAGAGTGACGCTGGGGCAGGTTTTCTCAGAGTACTTCGGTTTCCCCTGCCAATCTTCATTCCACCACAGTCACCCTCACCTATCATCTGGGGCTGGTACAATAGGCCAGAAGTGGCCGCAGTACAAGGGACTTAGTCCCAGCCAGTAGCAATAAAAAGAAGACATTTACATCACAGTGGTTAATACATTTTAATATTGAAACTCTGCATTTTGCCCCAAAAGAATATTTATGTGAGTCATACAATTCTCACAATAAACAGTGATTAATCCCTATACAATATTAACTGGTTGGGCTTTGTAGTGGAGACATAATGTGTTTCCTGTGAGGTATGAACTGAATGTATAAATATAATTTATACGAACTACAGGCATCACATAGCTACACCAGTTAGCAGCAGTTCCCTGCAGTCTTTGCTATCATCCTCACCAGAATGGGCAATGTTCGGTCAAAGGCACTGAGACAGAATCATATGGTCACAATGTGTCACCACCCCAAAATGCAGCTACAACTACTGCCCTATTTCTTCTCACATGCACACCAGAGGACAGGCCTAAAACCATTGCCTGGGTGTCTCACCCCCCCCCCAAGTGGTCTGTTTTAATGAGGCAACTTCACATGCACCTAGACACTAGCTTACAAGTTTCCTTACATTACAGAGGCATAATGTTCACTGTCGAGTGGGTAGGAGGTCTTCAGTCCACACAGTGCTCCACAGACTGGCTATCCTGACTGAAGCTTTTCATGGTATTCCTCAGTCCCTCCAGGCAAATTGTTATAAAGCACCTCAATTCCAATTCATCATTCATTAGCCATCCTAGCATTTGAATGTGCATAACAAGAGCCAAATATTGCAGGGGAAGTTCTACATGTTCTTACCCTTCTTTCCAAACATCTCAATTTACTGCGAACAGTTTCAATATAAGCTGGAGGGAGCGCAGAGCGTACAGATGCAGGTGCTGTAAAGGAAACGCAGCAGACTTAAGAACATGGCAGATGAAAGTTAGTGTTTACCTTAAGCTGGAGAAGGCAAACCAAGGAAGATGGAGATAGGTTTCACAAGCCTCAGAACACAATTCTCCATACCCTTTCTATTTGTTCACTAAGATACCCATGACAAAAGCAAAAGACAAACTTTGGTGATATCAAATGCAATCACACTGAAATAAATTGACAAAATAAACAAATAAATAAATAAATGTGCACCCCAATAAAGTACGTGTGTTTTTCTAATGTATTTTTTGTTTATCTGTACTCCTTTACGGTGCTAATGTTCATTTATTATACATACAACTCACTTTACAAGACTGTTCAGACAGGTACTGGAAGATATCATAAGGGAGGCAAGGAAGTGAAGAAGAAAGATTGCGGGAAGAAAGAAAAGACTGAAGACTTTTTGTCCTCTGAAACATCGAAAACTGCTTATTACAAGAGGAAGGCAGGTGAAAGTTCATGAACACAAATTCAAAGAATGCATCACCACTATGTTTCTGTGTTGCAATCAATTGTAAACCAGGGGCACGCAGTAGCATAGTTGGTTGAGGCACTATGTTACAAGCCAGAAGGTCACGGGTTCAAGTCCCAATGAGGTCACTGGATTTTTTCAACTGACCTAATCCTTCCAGCTGCACTATAGCCCTGGGGTCGATTCAACCTCTAACACAAATGAGTACCAGGAATATTCTGGGAATATTCTTGGGGGTAAAGGACGGCCGGTGCATGGGGCTGACAACCTTGCTGCCATCTGTGAGCCGATTGTCTATAAAATGTGGGAACCTCAATATCTCACAACCCTATGGGCCTCCACAGTCTGTTACAGGGATACCTTTACTTTTTACTTACTTACTCCATTGTAAACCCCTTTCCAACAATTTAAGAGACAATAATTTGCTTTTCAAAATGATTAACCAAACTTACACAAACTGACACCACCACATTCTGTCATACCAATACATGTCATAACCAAATTTCAGCACACCAATCGTTTATTTCATGTTCTACAACCACTTCATAAGACAGACAGACATGAGCATTCCCTTCAGAATGCAATAAAATAAAGAGAGACAGTACAACTTTACAGCACAGGATGAGTTATGAAATAACATTATTACAAATCACTAAATTAAATAAAATCCTTACTGGTTTGGTGAATCCTTGCAATATCCAATATGAATGGCCTGAAAAAGAAAAATAAGAGATTTACTCCCCATTTTGGCATTTTGAAGGGCGTTCAACAAGTTCAATAATCATCCAGATATGTGTTACACTCATACCTCTTACTTTAACACAGCTGTCCGACCCAGTAACAGAGAAACCCTTTACTTCTCCACACAATCACCGGTGTGAGTGAGTCATGCACCAGTGTGATTCCAGCGGAGAAGAAATAAGGGCTCACGTTTGCTTCCTTCAGGTGCAGCAGTGTTGTACAGAAGTCTAGCGATCCAGGAGCTGAAGCTGAGGAATGCCCTTTGTGTGTGAAATTGCCATCAAGAACTTTCCCTGCACAAACTTCCCCATTCTCCAAGCAGCCTGAACCTTGTGCCCACTGTTTCCCATATCTGAAGGAGCACTTCAGGTGTGATGTGCTGATGAGGGGAACGCCAAGGTGTGCTGGTGTGTGCACCACTGAGCCCTTACCTCTTCTCTGTGGGAATGAAACACGTGGTGCATCGTTGGGACAAATGTTTCAATAAGTCTTTTAATTACATAGGGAAATAGAGGGTACCTGTTATTCTTTGTTGTTTCAGGATCTATGTCACTGTAATTAATATGAATGTAACACGCCCCAGAATGATAGAGCCTACGTATACTATATGTTTGTGCCACATACAATTAATACCTAAGATGGTCATCTATGAGATATTTGATCATTTGTCATGAAATGACCCAAAGACCACAGTTATGCTTGAACTTACTCTGCATCTGAATTGCCAGCAAGCAAGCATGACAGAGGCAGCAAAGTTCCATCACTGCTTCTCAGTTTCATAACGACACCTCCATCCTCTGGAAGTCCAAGCCATGCTCGAACACGACACCTGAGGTCAGTGAAACTGGAGTCACGTTGCAATTCTAAAGGGAGAGGTGGTGATTCTGACACATCATCTGAACTTGAATCTGAAAATTTAAGTGCCCGACTTCACATAATTCTTCCCGGACTTCAACCTGTCTAGTGAACTTTTTGTTTTTGTTACACCTTGTTTAGCAGTACTTACACAACTACGGACGCATCCTTCATTACAAAATTCTGCCCATAAGTAATAAACCCAATACTTATTTCTAACAATCCCCACAAATAAATAATAAAACACTTCACATATCACTCTTAACAAGAAACACATTAATCTTCCAAGCCCAGGGTGTGATGCTCCATCCAGTAACAACACAGCCTCCTTCAAAGGAGATCAGGGGTTACTGTGAGCTCTAACTCAACAATTTTACAATTCAGTGAACCAATCATTTCTTAGATATGTGCACAAATCTCTGCACTGTATCCATGTTTGTAATTTAGGAGTTGTAGGTACATTTACTTACCATCATACAAAATTTGCATGCCTAACCCCAATTATTCAATTGTTATCACCATCAAACGCATATCTAAATTATGATGTAATGCTAACATGTTGCTATTCTGTATTCTACACAAAATCTATAAAAATGAATTACACATTTTGTGAAATGTGTATTACTGTTCCATGAAGAATTCCAGAAACTCATAGTAAGTACTACAAGTATTATATCTACAAAGTTGATACTGTATTTCTCTACATATGAAAGTGACGCTGCTCATTGCACACAAACATGCAAAAATGCAGCTTTCCCCAAAGAATTTCATGACTCTGAGCACCAGTCCTGGATAAACGTAAAAGGGGAACGGTCACTATGCTCAAATTATTAAGCACAACACCATAACAACGCACTGGTGGTGGGGTTAAGAGGAGACAAAATCTATCACAATGGGTCCCAGCTTATTGACCACTTTCATACTGCCATGACCCATCATAACTGCTTGTTAAATTCCATCATGTTTGCACCCCACACACAACAGGAAAATCGGAACTAAATGTTATGACATGCCCAAACCGTTTCTCACTTCATAATTATTACGACCATTATTTAAACATGTAAACTACACTCTTAACAAAAAACTCGTCTACTCTGGAATAAACAAAAATGCACTTCACAGGTTGGCTGTGAAGTGTTTTACTAAAATTACTACAAAAACTGACAACAGCATTTATTATATTACAATTAACCACCATGCATTTCATGAAATTTATTGTTACTGCAGTTGTTTCATATCTTACCCAGCTGATCGAATCTTCTGACAGCGATCCAAGAAATAACGGATTCTACGCCCATTTCTTATTTTACAAGACTGAAAGTCTTCGCAGATTCTTCGTACTAAGCGAAGCGACGGACCTAAACGTTTCTCAACATGTCGCGTCTTCAAAACATTCAAAACAAACTGAAAATGACGAACATCTGATATCCGCACAGAACGCAACTGTCGCGTCAGAGCTCTTCGGAAGTTCCCTCAAACAGATGAAATAAGAGTTCAACATAACAATGGCTCTACAAACCCAACAGACATCCTGACCGACACTTCCAAATCATTATAAACTTCTTACGCTACACAACAAAAACTACGTCATATATGCATGCATAGATACCTCTATTCCCTCTATTCTCTATATGTTAACGCTTGTCTCCTTCATTCATTTTCTTTGCACCAGATAGCGACAGCTGACAGCCCTCCATAATATTGATTGATATTAATTCTCGCATACGATCACCAGGTTCGGTCAATTTCGATACTTGCGGGGTACTCAATTTTGGATTTATTTATATATATAAAACGCTTCCATCATCAGGGACGTAGAATAAGCCGAATAAGCTGTCCAATATACAAGCAATCTGTGCTTGCCACCTGCTCTCACGCTATTTTTCTCGGCTTATTCTCCGACCCTGATAATGGAGGCGACCCCCTTGAAACTTCGGTTGACTTTCAACGGACTACACGGCTTTATGACCCGCTTTTCATAATCGTGATTCATATCCTACGTAGGCTCGGTAGTTCATGACTTAGTAGAAAAACGGTCTAATTAACTCACGTCTATACTTCATTTGCAGGTAGCGGCCTGGTGACAGGCTGATCCCCTGACCAAGGAATATTTATATGATAAAGAAGCCGAAGTGAAACGAAGCGTTTTACAGATGTCCTGTCCTATGCTCCAGTGGGAGCAACAGGAAATGTTGCTCCCACTGGAGAATGACTATGGAATCAATGTAAACACTCATCAGGCAAACAGAAGATCCACTAAATAATTCACAACACAATGACTGCTCCCATTAAGCATGTTCGGCCGTGCTGCATAAATAACTTCACACCAGCAGTTACCTAAATTAGTATCTAATATTCGTATGCTAACATACTAACACATTTAAAGCAACAAGCACTGCGTTTCTCAAACGCAATATTGTGGCATCATGTCATGGCTTCCCCAGTCTGAGGGCCAATAAGAAGTGAATACACTACTGCACATAGCGCATATTTTGTTTATATGCACTCCAATGATACTCTGAATAGACTATAGTCCAATGAAATGATAAATATTTGAATTCACTCGTCATTCAACAGTTCACCATGGCACCCATTTTTGTACAAGACATGTTTCTGCTCTTACTTTGGTTCCGCCACAAATACAAAACACTATAATTACAATGAAAGAGCTCTGAGGGGACTTATATTTGTATTTTATTGTGTGTGTGTGTGTGTGTGTGTGTGCACATGCCCATGTTTATCATCACTGTAGCTGGGATAGTTCAGCCCATGCAGTGAAGTGATACAAGAAATTGGGTTACATTTCCCAGCACAAGTAGATTATTCTTCTCCATCATGTCCAGTATGGCTCTCAGGCCCACACGGCCCATTTGTTAGACACTTGGAAATATTTCCCTTGAGGTGAAGCAGTCACAGTGTGAAAATGACCACTCACCTCAACCAAGTACTTAAGAATGCACAGAGCTATAACTCTATTAACCCCTACATCTCCCATAATTAAGCACGGGGAAAAATTTACTCCTTTACCAATTATTTCATCAATGAAAAATAAAACCAGGTTTAAAAGTCTTATGAATGCAATGAACATCATCACTCTCCTGTCTGAACCCTAGCAGTTGAAAACAGGGGCAGGGCCAGCTGGCATTAATTCTTGGATGTAATCTGCTAGCAGGGACCAAGAAACATTCATCATTCCTGTGGCATCCATAATTATATTGGCATAATTATTACCATCAAGTGCATCAACTACAAACATTAGGTCACGTAAATGCAATATTCTCTTTATTGGTAACCACTAAAGCAAATGCACCAGTGAACCTTGTTTTCATGTGACAAATTTATTATCATATTTCAGACATATAAAACTTACATTTATATATTACGTGATGATTGTGGAAGTCACCTTGCAAGGTAAAATATTTCCCGCCATTCCAAAGCCAATATGATCCCAGAAGCACCTTCTGACTCAAGTTTTCAGAGTGTTAATATTTTCCTTAACCATTAATGCCTGCAGCTTTATCTACAAGGCTCCTTCAGGCAAAATGTAATAGTTCCACATATATTTGGTAGAGAGGAGAAAAAGTTAAGACAGAACAGTATCTGAGCACTGCTCGGCACTCCACAACAGGTGGTGACTACTTCATGATGAGCAGCGTTCTTCATATCACGCTGAGAGTTTAAATGTGATTAGGAGGGTGGAATCACTGTTGCTTTCGCACAGCATGAAGAGCATAGTTCATGCTGGTGTTTGATGACCAATGCCATTCATTTGACAGCAAATTATACAGCATCCCATGGATTAATTTTGTGGTACAGCCATCTGAAATTATATAAACATCATAGAAGAGGCTGCTGTCTTCTGGGTTGTAATGCTGGGCAGTTTCATTGATAGGTACCAACACTTCAGAGGAATTCACTACCTCTGTCTTCAGGGTAGAAGAGTGAACATAGAAGCATCAAGTTCCTCTGAAATACTGGTAAGAACTACTCAAGCATTATATCACAGAAGACTGTAAGGTTAATATTCATCACTGTGAGAACCTCAAATCGTACATTATGGAAGAGATCTCTCAATAATGTATAACAGTATGGCTATGAACAAATGACTGCAGCAATTAATGCCTCACTCATTACACTGCATAAAGACGAAGATCTTACTTTATAAAGCATTCACATAGCAAGTGGTCTTTTAAGAGTACATCAGTAATTTGTCTTTAAGGATTTAATCTACCTCATACAAAGCTAATTTGTAGTCTGCTTATGTAGTCATAAAATGGGGTTTATTTTCATTAGAAACTAATTATCTTTGTTGGGTTTGAGTTTCTCACAGTGGTTGTACTAAAAGAGTTCTATCTGCTGCAACAGATTGCCATGTAATCTTCAATTTATATCTGCACACAATGGATACAAATACTACTTGTGTTGGGATAGTAGAAATTCAAGAATTTCTCTTCTGAATAAATAAATAACAATAACCTGACTATAAAGAGCTCTATCTCAAGGCAGAACTTGTCACAAACACCATTGTAATAACCACAAGTGCTACCACCCGACTGCAGGCAAGGAAATGTAATGAAGCAGCATTTCAATCTGTTGTCACTAGGATGAAACACAAATATTCCAAAGCAGACAGAGAACATCAGTTGGCATACTGCCCAGGCCTATAAATGATGGATGAATCAATGATGCACTTTGCTATCACAGTTTCTGAGTAACCTGTCAAGTGGTGGCCACATCATGGTGACTTTAAAGAACTATCCAAGCTTTTACAAGTTCTTTATTAAGACCGTCATAAAGCGGCCTCCATAGTTTAGGGGTAACGTACCCACCTCATGACTCAAGGTACGCGGGTTCAAACCCGGCGGAGGTCATGGAATTTTTAAGGGCGGAAAAATTCAGGGAACAAGTCCTCCAGGAGGGACTTTAAGCCGTGGGTCCTGTGTCGTAGCTTTACAGCATGTAAAAGAACCTCATGTCTCCAAAGGAGGCCACTGAGCTAAATTAAGGACATTTCCCGCCCAACAGTAGTCTCTAACACCTCTGGTAGATGGGGGAAGCATCGAGATACCTCTGAGCCAGTAGAGGCCGACCTCGCTGGCTGAGTAGGGACTGATGGTAAGCACCAGTACCGGTAGGGTATAGAGGCTGGTAGAAGATCACAGGGGGACGCACAATAGATCAAACTGGTCGCGGTGCATGGGGAAACCCACCCCCTCCAATAACAACAATAAAAAACAAGACCGTCACAACACAATTATATCAAGGTCAGTGCCTGGTTTCGACTCTGCTACATGTTTCGGCTATTAATAGCCATCATCAGGCAAATACATGGCTAACATATACACCACTGAACTGCAGTATTAATAAAATTGGATGCAATAATATTAATTATATTAAAATACTTGACATATATTGTTGTTTAGAGTCCCTATAGAACGGACAGTACTTTGTAAGATGAGGCACCGACTAAATAATTAACATTAATATTACTACATCTACAACACGAGACTCCTATAACAGTTCTTATAAACAAAATATAGAATACTCTAATTTGTCCGTGGGAACGAAACAAAATCACAAAAACCAACGACTGACTCGATGATGTAAAGCATCAATCGAAGAATTTTATTCTTGTTTTATATTATAACTTTTGTTTTATATTATCTAATTTGTTGTATTTTTACATCAAGTATTTTAATATAATTAATATTATTGTATCCAATTTTATTAATACTGCAGTTCAGTGGTGTATATATGTTAGCCGTGTATTTGCCTGATGATGGCCATTAATAACCGAAACATGTAGCACAGCCAAAACTAGGCACTGACATTGATATAGTTGCGTTGTGACGGTCTTAGTAAAGAAGTTATATATTATAACACAACAGGATGAATGAAATGATTATTATCCAAGTATTGTCTAGGGGACTGAGAAATGCTACAAAATTCTAAATCACAAACTCTCCTTCTAATTACTACTACAACAGACCAGGTCATGTGGTAGTGCAGTTGGTTTAGGCACTATACTATGAGCTGGAAGGTCCTGGCTTCGGTTCCTGATGAGGCCACTGGATTTTTCAATTGACCTAATCCTTCCAGCCACACTATGACCGTGCGGTCAACTTTGCCTCTAACAAAAATGAGTTCCAGGAATCAACCGTGGGGGTAAAGGGCAGCCAGTGCATAAGCCTGACAACCTCACCACCATCTGTGAGCTGATTGTCTAGAAAATGTGGGAGCCTCAACATCTCACAATCTTATGGGCCTCCATGGCCTGTTAGGGGAAGAGCTTTACCTTTTTTTTTTCACTATAGCAGAAAATCTCAGCTAGTGAAAATTAAAAAGTTACACGCGAACGCTTTCACACATGCCTTCTTATTGCCAGAATCAAGTGAACAGACACTTTGATACAAAAATGAAGAAGGCAGATTCAGTTTGGAAACATTTTAATTTCTACAGCTTATATGGAGTTATTCTGAAATTATTTATGAAGTTGGAATTCTCTTGCTGACACATCGGCCACCAGCCACCAGCCAACAACACAACCCTGACATCACAGCATACTCACATTTCTCAAGTAAAGCCTGTGTCTCATGCGGCTTAATACATTTTTCCAATTGATGCGTTCCCCGCGGTATAATTCCCAGAACATATTCAGCCAACATAATGCCAAAGGCCCATAATACAACTGTTCGGTTCAAAGTCGTGATGAAGACCGACCCACCAGGCTGAAAAAATAACAAGATACAGCAACACAAATTCAGAATACATACTACAGATGCTATGGATGGAAATACTTCAGATCACTAAATAAACGCAATGGAGCAAAACGCCAATAAAAAGTATGTACTAAATTGCTGTAAGATCAAGGTGCTGCTACTGTCCCAGGCAGATGTCTCACTTGTTTGGCAATTAAGAGAAGGAATAGAGTGTATTTTTGTTATTGCTTGCTGTGATAGGCATCTTTTTCCATGAATAGATATGAGTGGACAACTATATTTGAAGACTATACATATTTTCTTCCTTAAGTGTAAGTGCAGTTCTTACAGTGTACCAATGAGACAATTCAGTATATTGACTATAAGTTGTTAATGATGTAACTAGATCTAAATGTCAGGTTATTTAGTTAATTCATGTAAACGACAGTTCACTTCTTTTGACACTCTATTCCCAGTTACAGATTACTTTCAAAAAATAACTTTCTTATCCTGTGACATGCCAAGCATCAGGTCAAAGACACACCGAGGATGCGACAACATGCTGCTAAAACACATCACAGAAATTAATACTGAAATATAACAATGACTTACCTTCAATGTTGATATACATGCTTCCAAAAATAAATCCTTGTGAGTGACATGTTCCAGCACTTCTGTTGCTACAACTGCATCATAAAAATCCTTATGCTCCTTTGCATGTTCTTCTACTGTTCTACATGTATACGTAATGGAGTTTGATACACTGGGATCCTGCTGTGCATGTGAAGATGCTATGTCAATCACATTCTGACTTGCATCAATTCCAGTTATATCAGCACCAATTCTTGCAAGTGGCTGCAAAATTGATGACTTAGTATGATTATGCAGCTAATTTAACAGCAAATCAAATGATCAGTTATGTCTGTTTTCAAATGTGCCTGCCACAACACATGTTAACGGCAGAATGCCAGCACCTGAATGAAAGAGGTGGGTAGGCCGCTACTGAACCTACTGTGTTGTGATATTAAACATTTCACATTCAGTCACTGCTATGAGCAAGTCATGCAAGCATACTCATTCCTGGAGGAAAGAAAAGCATCTTCCTTGCACTGTATGCCAACATCATTATCTGGACCTGCCCATCACAGTTTGCCATACAGCCAGTAGCAAATATTGAGCAATACCGATCATGTTCAAATGTTTGTAGTCCACCTGTCACTATCATAATACAAGGAGTGTTCCGTATATAATGCCTATTTTTTTTAATGAAAACTACAATAGATACAAAAAGCATAATAATGCAGTTAAATAGAGCAAGATTTCAGCTACTTACACTTATTTTTCCACATAATCACCACCATTCATTATGCACTTTTGCCAGCAGTGAACAAGAGCCTGTATGCCACGCCCATAAAAGTCTGTGCCAGCAGAGGCTAGCCACTTTCTTACAGCTGCAATGACAGCATCGTTATCTGGAAAATGTTGCCCACATAGTCCATCTTTCATAGGTCCAAAGAGATGGAAGCCTGAAGGTGCTAAATCAGGGCTATAAGGTGGATGTGGTAGGACAGTCTCGCCACACTTTGCAATGTGCGTGGTGGTTGCCAAACTGGTGTGCGGTCTAGCATTATCATGTTGCAAGTGAAAGGTTGTCTGCTTCTCTGGCTTGACTCAGGAAACACTGGCTTTCAGCTTAGACAGCATCGTCTTGTAGCGTTCAGAATTGACAGTCTCACCAGGCTCCAGGAAATCCAAGAAAATCACACCCTGTCTATCCCAAAAGACCGTGCACATCATTTTCCCTGCCGATGGCTGTGTCTTGAACTTCTTTTTTCCTGGGGAATCCAGATGTTGCCACTCCATGGACTGTCTTTTGGATTCCGGCTCATAGTGGTGACAACATGTCTCATCTCCGGTGATGATGCTGTCCAGAAACTTGTCACCTTCAGCCTCAAACTGGTGCAACACGTCCTGACAAGACTTCCATTCGATGAGTTTTGTGGTCCTGCGTAAGCATCCTCGGGACCCACCTGGACCAAACTTTGCAATAATCCAGCTTCCCCAACATTGATTCCAATGCATTACAGCCGATATTAAGCCATGCACACACTTCCCTGGTCGTTATCCGCCGATCTGTATGGATGAGCTGATTGAGGTGCTGTTCATTGTGAGGAGTGGCAGCTGAGCAGGGATGCCCAGCGCGTGGCTTGTCATGCACTTCACTTTCACCACTGTTGAAACGCACTACCCACCGCCTCACTGTGCTGACATCCACTGGATCATCTCCGTACACCTTTAGCAAGTGTCGATGGATGTCAATGGGTGAAATTTGTTCGGCAGTGAGGAATTCAATAACACAGCTCTGTTTTGTACGCACTTCTATGCCAGACGCCATTTTGGTAGACTGCTCTGCTGTCGCTGTATGTCACACGACAACCAAACTAACAGTACATTGGCAGGAAGGTTCAACCTTTACTACAACACCACCAACATCCAGCTCAGATGTTACAGATTAACACAGAAAAATAGGAGGCATTATATATGGAGCGCCTTTCGTATTATATTTTAGCACCCTGTCACATTGATGTATCACTCACTCATTCACCTCTGTCTTCAATGAAACTTAAAAATGACTACGGTCTCAGTTTAATTTAAAATAACATTAAAATCACATCAACTGGTACATGTTTTGGGCTTACTTGGCCATCTCCAAGCTGCTGTTTACTCTTTGAAACCATCGCACTGCACTAGATCTTAAGTCAATATATTTCCATGCTACTGCATATCGTTGCTCCCATTATCACTGTCACTATCATGTCATAGAGCATTAAGACCACTGGATACATATGAACTATAGGAAAGAAATGGTACTTGGAAGGGACGAGACCAAATTGGTTTTTGAATTGCAGCAGAAACTTTTGAAACCTACTATATAAGTTGATATGTGTGACTTGACAAAGAGTACATACATTAATTGTGGAACATCACAGTACACTATACTGAAATATGGCACACCAGACTTTACCATTTGAAAATGTGCAGTAAAACATCTGCACAATCAGAAAAAAAAACCTTTATAGGGACAGAAATGTTTTATGAAATCTAGTTCTGCTTAACTTTGTACAAATTAACACATACTTCAGTCAATATACCTCCACCACAACCAACTTCTAAGATCTTCATTCCATGCAGAGGCTTAGGACTTTGCCATTTTGATAAATCAATTTGTCCCACATTACGAAGCCCATCTCGGATAAGAGGCACCCTGAAACAAGATGATTTCTGTGTAATTTTCATCGCTAATTCTTATGTGTGGAAAACATGAAGGAAAAAAACGTAATTATGGGGCTCCTTTCACTGTACATTAAAACACACAAGGAGTACAATAAAGAAAAGACACTGATATGCATTTCTGAATTGAACTGTAAGGGTGCGACTGCATTGTGTGTACTCCACTGTCTTGTGTAAATGAATCTATGGCAGCTGTCACATAGTGAAATGGCTCATATATTGAAAGAAGAATGTGTGCATATAAAGATCTGTGTGACACCTGGAAAATGTGTGGAGCAATGCCTGCCTCCATGCTACCTTATGTACAGTTATTGGCATGGTGGTTACGTGAAGGGGATTTCACAATTTCACATTTAAAATATCTAAAAGTGACAATAATAAATCATTCTGGCGATCAGTCAAGAGACTGAAATTTCCGAAATACGATGATTTAACTACTGTTATATTCATATATTCTCCTCACATTTGTAACAATCTTATGGCCGTAAATTTCGCATGAGCCACAAGCCTTATCGTCAAGCATTCCTAACCTACCTTCAAACATTAAGAGAACAAAACAGGCTTACCTTATCACCAAACAAAAACAAACTTTATATACATATATACATATGTGTGTAATAAGGAGTTAATATTCATTCTTTTTATTTTTACTTTTTTCAGATAATTATTTTACATATCCATTTTATCTGTACATCATTATGGCTCATTATAAGTGACATCCAAGAAAAGCAGCAGTCACCTCAATTTGTTTAAGGCATGAAGAGCCTTCATCTCTCCCTGCTCATCCCACCAACCGCTGGACAGTTTGCTGAAGTGTGCAACATCTCGTTCATCAACGGTTGACTGTTCATGCTGTTGCACTTTCTGCTTAAGGCACGCAGTTGATCTGTAAAATTTACTCCAAATTTCAACAATGAAATTACCTGATGTATGCATACCTTCTGAACAACCTAACTGACAAAGTGAAATCCAGACACAACTTACAGTTCTCATACAATGCATAAAATAATGTCTTATATTGCTACAAATTTATATGCGAAACAGTTGAAAAAAGGGTTCATATAATAATTAGGAATGGCTTTCTGGAGAATGCCTGGCACAAGGATTGTTCATTATGGTAACCAAGTCAGACTTTAATGTTAAGAACTCAACAAATATTTATATATATATAAGTTGGTACTACCACAGAAGGTAAGTTATCCCTGTGCTTAATTAATTAAACATCACACTATGTAGATGTGTGGGGGAATGGAGGTACAGATCACTATTCTGAAGGTGATGGTCAGCCTCATGCTCAGGACACAGTCCTTAGTACCCACTGCACACAAGGCTCAGTGGGCTCCAGAGTCAGTCTGGATGCTATGAAGAAGAAACCTCGTTCCTCAGTCATGTGAGTAGGCTAGTAATTAAATGTAACACCTAAGTGAAGATTGAAAGGCTGGTAGCATTAGCAAGAGTTCTTTAATCTTCTAATAACCTCACTGAGGAAACTCCAGTCATTAACCACACATCATAAGGACCACTGAAGTATACATATATTCATGTCAAGGAAGTGAAATTCATATGCACTGTACATTAAAAAAATCCTTTAGATATTGAGTCGTCAAGTATTCAAAGAGGATATACAGGACCAAATTTCTCGCCAGTACCTAAACTGACTATTTCAAAAGCAGCATCATTCATGTAAAATGACTGATTATACACACATTAATCAATTCACTCAAATTCAGTGCAATAACCTTAATAATATAATTAATTTTATTTCACAAAAGCAGAACAAGGAATTACAAAATCGTTAATTACATGGGAAAACAAGTATGAGATGAAAAATGTATGCTTAGAGAGACTTTGTGCAAGCAATGCTGCGGCCATCATATCAAGTTTCCATCAAATCATCTCAGTTTCTTATATAAAATGCACTTCACAGCCGGAAATAACCAAGGTTATGCATACAATATATACCTTACAAATCACAACACTTTGTATTTGAAGAAAACTGTCCACATACCTGAACTTGCAGAACAATGCAGGTATCTGACACATTCTACCTTGTAGTATTCTGGAAAAGTCATGAGCATTCATTTTTGGATTACCTGCAAAATATTTGCTTCAGTTTAGTGTTTTGTGCATCATCCATTCAGATCAAAGAGGTGACAGGCAATGGGAAAGATCAAAAATACATGCAGAACTCTGGTCAGAAAACCAGAAAGGAAGATACAACTTGGAAGACCTAGGCATAGATGACAAAACATAAAAAAGGATATTAAAGAATGAGTGGAGAGGGGGCCAGATTCATTTGCCTCAGAATGGATCGCAGTGGCTCTTATGACCACACTAATGAAAACTGCCATTCCTCACAAGCTGGCAAATTTCTTGAGTAGATGGGTAACAATTAGCTTCTCAAGGTCTCCATGATTTATTCTGACAGTCTTACAGTGCATACATTTATTCACCTTACTCTTCTCTCTTGCACTACATGTTTCAGCACTAAAGTGCCATCTTCAGGCGCTTTTCTATGTACGTCAAACTACTTCATTGCATGCCCTGTTGTCTTTATACTAAAATGACCAAAATATATATTCGTCATATATAATGATACATTTTAAATATTAAAACTGTTCAGGATTTGTCATCCTTATGTCGTATCTCAATACACGAGTCACACCCATCTTCTTCTTGCATTAAATCTTGACAAAACAAAAATTATAAAGTTTACACCAACAATTCATACTGATTATCCACTAACAACTATGCTTCTTAACACAATACTCAAAACAGCTGAAGCTACAACATTTCTGGGTTTACAGATTGATAATCATCTGACTTGTAAGGTGCATGTAAATCAGTTACTTCATAAATTGAGTAAGGTTGGATTCCAAATGCGAAAATTATCTTATTTTCTAAACAAAAATAACTTAAAATCTGTTCATTATGCATATTATCATTCTTTAATGAAATATGGCATAATATACTGGGGTAATACCCCTGATTGTCTTCAAGTTTTTTGTATGCAAAGAAAACAATAAGAATAATGATGAGAGTTGGACCAACTCACTCATGTCGTGATCTGTTTAAGAAGCTGGGAATATTGCCAATTCCCTGTGTATACTTGTTATCACTATTGACTTTTGTTGTAAAAAACCGTGACAAGTTTTTGATAAATAATATATACACGATTGGCACCAGGAATAATAATCTTTTTCACATGCCTGCTTCTCGTTTGTTGTTGTATCAGAGGGGTGTGTATCACTCAGGTGTTAGGTGCTTTAGCATGTTACCAGACAGTATCTCAATGTTACGAACGGATAAGGATCAATTTAGGGTTGCTTTAAAAAGATACTTATTAAGAAATTCCTTTTACTCCATTGAGGAATTTGTTGACCATGTAAGAAGCATAAAGATAAATGTACAGTTAAAACATATTGTGGGTCCTGTCTTTGTTCTGAGTCAAGAGGGCCATTCTCAATTGTTTTAACATCTAATATTTAAACTAAGAATTGGAAGGTTGAGTTGTATCAATTCTAGTTGAGTGATGTTGTCAACAGAGGTAATATTTTCCCTTCTAATTTGTTATAATTGGATTGACAACTTGCACTTTTTTGCAAAAGGCCTTATTTATTATTTTATATTTTTATATGTTTTATTTACTGACAACTTGTATTGTTTTCCAAGAGGCTTGATTTATTGTTAGTTTGTACTTTAGATTTTACATATTACATTTAATGTGTATCTGTATTTTATTGCATGTGACTGTCTCTGACATGATATATGACAATTTTTATATCCAGCCCTACGGGGTGACTGTTGGATCAAAGAAATGTATTTTAATAATAATAATAATAATAATAATAATAATAATAAAAGAATTTTATTTCATTGTAATTGAAAAGAAGACTACAATGTGTGTTTTTTAAAATGAATTGGAACAGTGAAACAGAGTAGCAGTTTTAACACAATTTTGACACAATCTTAATTGAATATCTATAAAAAATACTTTAAGATGGCCGTTTGAGGCCGAAACATGTAGTGTTAGAGAGTGTACTGAAGTGAAAAATAAAGTGTTGCAATTTAGACGGATTATAGACAAATGGATGCTAATGAGAACAATTGCAACAGGATGCTGAAATACAGAATGACACAAGCTATTAGTTCCTTAACCCAATGAACCCAATGAATTTAACTGCTCACTTATTATACACAAATGTACATTATCAGAATAAATACACCATTTTGATTAGTAAGAGAAGCAAGCATAATACTGTGAAATGTCTCTATTATCACGAAATTCACTGGCTTTTAACTACTTATGCAAAAAGAAATGTGTCATAAACAGAAGAAATCCAAAATTAAATTACAGGCCTCCCATCTGGCAGCCATGTTAAATTATATCTACCAACGCCCTATACCCATGTTTCATGCTTAGGAACTCTATAAACTGAAACAGAAACAAACTGTTTGGCTGCAAATTAATACAAAGCGTGTATTCTGCAATATGTGGCACCACATACTTAAACATTACTAAACAAGACTAAAAAATTTTAAAAACTAAGGTAACCTCATACTCGAAAATTCTTTGAACCAAACTAACAGAAGTATTAGAGTGCCTAATACTGACAACTAATTCAAAGAATTTGTAATACTGTAAATTGAAATTGTCCCCAATGATGACTGAATTCTGCTCAAGATGAATTAACGTACAGTTGACGCAGTTGACCCTTCAACTTCGAATGGGTTGATGTTCAAACAACTTGAAATGCGAATAAAAATTTCGAAGAGAAACCGGTTTTGAAACTCGAACAAAAACTTGACAGTCGAACAACGAATCACGTGATCGTCACGTTGTCGCCTTCTCCATCACTCACTCACTCACTCACTATCTCTTTCTCTTTACTTGGGCGCACGCGCAGTTTTCGGTAGGATTTGGTGATTATTGTTTGGTGAAGTTCTGGTAAGTTTAGTTTTTTAAGCGTTTTATTCATTTCTTTGCGTTATTTTTATATTATCTTAATAATACCGATTTATAGTAACACCAAACAAATTTACTAGAGGCGAGAAGCCTATGAGAAAAATCATAATTTCTACGATAGAAATTCGAAAGAAACCAGTTATTGGAATTCCTCCTCTCAATTCTTCCTAGTACTTCATTATCCCTACCTGTGTCTCTTCCCGCCAAAATTTAAACGATACTGATAAAATATGTTAAACGACGAAACATTAAGAATAGATGTAAGAAAAGGACAAAAGTCTATTTAAAAATTTACAGAAATGTGTTCCGTACAAGAAATACCGACCACAAATTCACGAAGCTGGAACCACGGATCTTCCACCAAAGAGAATAATGCAGTCACCACGGATCACAAAGTGGCACGCACAATGACTATTTTATATATATATCAGATATTCCGAATATTTAAAAGAAATCAAATAAATTTGTGTTTGTAATTAAGCACTGTGCCATGGTGACGTATGGTGAAGTGGAAGTATAGCTCCGGCATTCTTAATGTCACTAGGTAGAGAGGAGTTGTAGGTTTCACGCCCTGACTGCTTGGGAAACAGCCTCTGGTACCCATTTTGTAGGAGGCTGGGTGGGCCCCAGTGCTGGTCTGGACGCTGCAGGGAAAAGAAAAATTGAATCCAACCTCAGCTGTCCAGCCCATAGCCCATTACTATTTTGACCAAACCATCAGGGCTCCTCATTTGTGATGGTAATGGGTGATTATCTCCAGAAGGTCATTTGTGGTATTTGTGCCTTATATAACAGTGTGGCAACGAGTTTGCATAGTTGATAGAGCCATTATACTACAAACCAGAAGGTTGCAGGTTCAATTTCCAATGAGATAGGATTTTTCAATTTACCCAATCCATCCAGCCATAGTATGTCCCTTGGGTCGACTCAGCCTTTAACAGAAATGAGCACCAGGATTCTTCTGGGGGTAAAGGGCAGCTGGTGCATAAGGCTGACAACTTCATCACTGTGAGCCAGCTGTCTACAAAATGTGGGAGCCTCCGTGGATTGTTATAGGGATAGCGTTACTTTTATTTTATTAAACAATGCTGCCAGTAACACAGACTACATACCATGAACTGATGGGATGGATAGTGAATTGTAAAGTAGATGCTGGGAAGTGGCCATGACATAATTTGAGGTATTATCCAGTTTGTTTAAGGTCTTTCATTCTGGTCCGTCACACTAACAANATTTTAACTATTTGTAATTATTTTAATTAACTGGAACGTGGCTATCTTGGACAAAGTGAAGTTTTGTGTGTTGGTGATTTCTTTTTCTACTATAAATGCCTCTGATGATGGCTCCGTGGTGAGCCGAAACATGTAAGGCAGGTGGTGACGAGGTGGAAAACTTAAAAAAGTGTCACATTTGACGGAAGGAACTTGATTGTTAAATTATCCAGTTTGTTTGTTGGAAGAGTCTGAGGGAAGCCATGAAATCTGCCAGCATAGCTGGTCTCCAGTGCAAAATTTTACCAAGGTCTTAAGAAATGTGAAGTAGGAGGGCTGCCTACCGCAGGTTGAATTAGAATTCTTCCATTTTAATGACTTGATTATATCTTTAATTTCTCTTTTAGTTACTGGGGTCATATTTATGTTTGGAAACGGTTGTTCATACACCTCAAAAAGGTAACTTAAGGAGTTAGATACATTAGTAGGTTTGTTAGATTGCATTATAAAATAATTAATAAAAATATTGGCCATAGTTTGTGGTTTATTATATTATTTCCCATCAATACTTACTTACTTATGGAGCAGACCCCTTCTGGAGGAGTCGCCAATTCTGCAGCTACTCAAGAAAATCCTAGCATTTTATGGGACCCGAAGGTTCATTATTGTGTTCACAAGAGACCTCCACTGGTCCCTATCCTGAGTCAGATCTATCCAATCCATACCATCCCATCCTATCTCTCTAAGATCCATTCTAATATTGTCCACCCACCTATGCCTTGATCTTCCCTGTGGTCTCTTTTCTTCTGGCTTTCCCACCAATATCCTATACAAATTTCTCGTTTTCCCCATTCGTGCTACATGACCTTCCCACCTCATCCTCCTTGACTTGATCATTCTAATTATGCTTGGAGAAGAGTACAAATTATGAAGCTCCTCATTATGCAGTGTTCTCCAATTTCAGTACTTACTGATGAGATTATATTTTTGCATGACTTGATATTAGTTATAGATCTAATGATACCCCAAGTAGTTTTAATTTTTTTAGAATTTATAATAAGCCGACTATAATGATGCTTATCTGCTAACTTTATGATATCAGATAAAATTTTACGATATTTCTTGTAGTATCTTACTAATTCAGGATTGTCAGTGTTTCTGCTGAGCACATACAGTTCTCTTTTACGTTCACATGATGTTTTTTGATTCCAGTTGTTAACCAGGTTTTATTTTTTTGTTTAGAGAAGTGTTTTTATAAGGAAAACTATGATTAAATATTATCAAATAGGTATTAAGAAAATTATTAAACATTAGATTCACGTCATCCTCTATAGTAAATACATCAGCCCAAGTTTCCCAGTTAAGATTTAGATTTCATTCTAATTTCATAAATTCATTTATGTCTCTTGTACCAACAGAATAATTAGGTGAATTCAGCAATTTAAGATTATTCAATGTAAGAATATGAGCATTGTGGTCTGATAATCCATTTGACAATGAATTTATTGAATAAATTTCATTTCTATATTTATCAATAAATATATTGTCAATAGTCATAGCCGAGAAACTGGTAACTCTAGTGGGAAAGTCATGATACTACATAAATTGTATGAAGCTAACAGAGAATCCAATTTTTGCTTTTTAGTATCGCCATCATCTAAATAGTTAACATTTATATCTCCACATATAATAATATTTGACATATTTGTGTAAGAATGGATTCTAGATTACTTTAAAAGTATAAAAAATATCCTGTTGGAGATGTATATACAGTTAAAATATAGATATTAGAAGAAATATTATGTAGCTTTATTGCACAAACTTCAATTTCCTGGTCAATACAAAATTCATCCAGATCAATGGGTGTAAACTGTAAGTTTTGATGAACAAAAATACTTACACCACCATTCTTTCTGAATTTACGGCAAAAATAAGATCGTAAGTTATAACATTTTATGACTATACGCGTAATTTTAGGCTTAGTTGGGTGGTCTTCTGTGAAGCAGAGCACGTGGGGTAATTCAGATTCCCATTGGCTAAGTAATTCCTCAATTTTATTATTTATTCCTCTTATATTCTGATGGTAAATCAATAGACTAGAAAATTTTTTGGAGGCATTTCTTTTTATATGATCTTGATTTGTCTTATTTAAGCTAATATTATTATTCATTTTATTTCTTATTAAGTTTGATTTGGGTGGACTAAGTGGATCGTTACTGACTTTAAAATTTATATTTGCCATAAAAGATCGTTTGTCCTTGTCCTAGGAAGTTTCTTGATTCTCTTTGAAGTCCTATTAGATCAGTTATCATTACATGATACGAACATATGAGTATTCTTAACCTGGACAGCAGCAGTTTCAATAGATGTGTCTGTTACAAGAGGGTCATTAAGAACTGATGTGTTAGATGGCCAGCCCAATACAACGGGAGAGTTTCTCTTTTTTTCAAACAATAACTGTACTGCTTTGAAAGATGAGCTTTTCCACGCTTACTGAAATGTAATCCATGCTTCATAAAATAACTTTGATTTGTATTAGATTCTATAAATTTAATATGATTAAAGACCTGAGCTATCTTATGTAACTTACTATTATATTTCCTTATTTCGTTATTTATATGTGAGTAATTTTGTAAATCATAACATTGAGGAATACTTAGAAGAATGATATTCGTATGATTATTTGATGTAACAAAATTAGTAATTAGTTTGATAGCTGTTTTACATTTACACTTATCAAGATCATTAGAGTCACCACCAAGTACTAGTATGTCCATAGATGTTAATGTTACAACTTCATTATTCATAGATTGAGTTAACTGACTGAGATCAGCACCCGGTTTCACCACATTGAGAACTTCACACTTTTCTCTCAAGTAGGTTCTCACATTTTAAGCAGCTCCTCTAAGAAAACTATCACCCAACATTATTAATTTGTGAGCCTTTTTACAGCAGCTCAGATTCACCTTAGGTGGAATTCTAATTACTAAGTCATGAGGCATAGTGTTATTACTACTAGCACAAACATCTCTTATATTTTGCACATTGCATATCACTTTTCCATTCGCTGTTACTGGAATAATCTGTACTAATGTCTGATTATTGAAGTTACTTTTCACTTGTTGAGATCCCTCTTGATGTTCATACAATAAAGACATTTGAAAATTGTTGGATGGAACTTTTTGAGCCTCATCAATATGTAATTTATCTCATAATCTTTTAGAAAAACAGTCATAGTTGTTTCTAAGAGTGGAATACTAGGTTCCTTTACTGGATCTTTATTCGCTGCTGCTTACGATGTGGCCATGGCATCAACACTTCCAATGTCATCTTGTAGGTTAGTCAGCGGATGATAGCAATTTTCGGTTGACAAGTTGGATCTGCTGGAATCATTCTTACTGTCACACTTAACATTCAGAAGTATGCTGTTATAGTGGCACACTACAAACATATTTAAGCCCGTTCTGTTGCTTGCCATGATTGTAAGATTGACTTCATAGCATAATTTTACAACTTTTACTAGGATGATCACAAAATATTTATTTTTTCTGACATGAGGGCAATGTGAGTGGCTGTCTAGTCCTGTAGGTTGTCCTGTTTTGTTATCATGTTCCAGGTGCCTGAAATATTTTAAACTCTGATAAATTGAACATGTGGGATTTCTTGAATGGAAGATCAGCCAACTGTGAGGTCCCTACCAATACACAACAAAATGCAGCTTTGAAAATTATAGAAAATATGTGGATGGCTTGAATGTGGCAGTGTTGCATTCTTTATAGTTACTTGGTAATGTGCATTTCGACTGACAATGGCTCTCAATTTATGTTTTCAGTTGCATCTCGTCTGATTCTTACCTTTTTTATGCAGTGTACACCAGAGTGCGGTTTTCTCCTTGAGTCTTACCAGACATTGAATGTTGCAATACCATGATCAGTTCTGTCTCCTTGGATGTGATGCCCTTTAGTCTGGTGAACGTTTAATGACATTTCAGAGCAATGTGGTGCCGTGATCTTCAGAGTCAGAGAATAAATCCAACAAGTAAACAGTTGCTTGCAGGAATAAGATTTTTTTGGCTCAGAACTGGATCAAGTGGCATGATTTGGTTGACCCTTGATAATGATCATGAAACTTCACATTCTGTTGCAGGGAACACCTGTCATTGCTATAAATATTTCTGGGGTTTCTGCTTGTACCAATAGCTGGCATTTAGTCCATCCTGAGATAGCCCTTATACATAGGAACATGTGTGCACTGTACTGACATTTAAGCTTACCTGCAGAGGGCTACATGGTAGCGTAGTTGGTTGAGGGGCTATGCTACAAGCCGGAAGGTTGTGGGTTCAAGTCCCAATGAGGTCATTGGATTTTTTCCATTGACCTAATCCTTCCAGCCACACTATGGCCCTGGGGTTCACACAGCCTCTAACAGAAATGAGTACCAGGAATTAATTAAATAATTTTCCTGGGGAGTAAAGTGCGGCCGGCGCGTAAGGCTGACAACCTTACCGCCATCTTTGAGCCGATTGTCTAGATAATGTGGGACCCTCAGTGTCTCATATCCGTATGGGCCTTCACGGCCTGTTACAGGGAGCTTTACTTTTTTTACTTTTTTACAGAGGGCTAACCACAACTAGAAACAGGGTTAGATGCAGGTAGACTTCCTGTGTAGTTCAAGGATTTCTCTTAGAGAATTTGTTTTCAGTGTCTAAATCCATTCCCAACCATGAGATGTGTAGGAATGACTCCCTTATAGCTAGCAACAAGAGTCAGACGCTATATATGCGGCAGAATTTATGATAATCATCCCTGGGCTTACAAACTGATGCTTGAGCAACTGCCTATTGCTGAAAAACCTTCTCCACCGCTGGGGCCACCCACCAATGAACAGTTATAAGGACAATGAATGCAATGCGTGTGAATGCTCATACCTTGTTGACTTCATATGCAGTGTAGAACTGAAATGGTGTGTATACAGACAAGCAAACTTCATGAAAAAGAGAAGTCAGGAAACCACTGATAGTAACATGGAGTCATAAAAGAGTTCATTTGAGAAGAAACTTCTTTGCCTGAATTTAATTAGTTCAGTAAAGGTATCCCTGTAACAGGCCGTAGAGGCCCATAGAGTTGTGAGATGTTGAGGTTCCCACATTTTCTAGACAATCAGCTCATAGATGGCAGCAAGATTGTCAGCCTTATGCGCCGGCCGCCCTTTACACCCAAGAATATTCCAAGAACATTCCTGGTACTCATTACATATTTCTGTTAGAGGCTGAGTCGACCCCAGGGCCATAGTGCAGCTGGAAGGATTAGGCCAATTGAAAAAATCCAATGACCTCATCAGGACTTGAACCCACGACCTTCCGGCTTGTAGCATAGTGCCTCATCCAACTACGCTACCGCGTACTCACAATTAGTTCAGTACATATGTTTTATTTGCAAGTGTGATGAGAATGTGTTCCAGCTTATCAAACACTGTATCATCAATTGCATTTTCTTTGTTTTAATATGTGTTAATATATGAGGTTAAGCATTACACTTTCAACAAGCTGCATCATACGAGTATTTGATTTAAAAAAGGCACAGGTCAGACACATGGCATAATCCACCACAGAACTGATGCTGCTTACAGGAATTTTCAGGCGATACACAGGATTCAGGAAGTATGGATTCATGCTTTTTGTTATGTTAGGTCATTTGCTTTGATGAGCTTCATAACTTGTACTCTTCTCCAAGTATAATTAGAATTATCAAGTCAAGGAGGATGAGGTGGGCAGATCATGTAGCATGAATGGGAGAGATGAGGAATTTGTATAGGATATTGGTGGGAAAGCCAGAAGGAAAGAGACCACAGGGAAGAGCAAGGCGTAGGTGGGTGGATAATATTAGAATGGATCATAGAGAGATAGGATGGGATGGTATGGATTGGATAGATCTGGCTCAGGATAGGGACCAGTGTAGGGCTCTTGTGAACACAGTAATGAACCTTCGGGTTCAATAAAATGCTGGGAAATTCTTGAGTAGCTGTAGAATTGGCGGCTCCTCCAGAAGGGCTCAGCTCCATGAGTAAGTAAGTAGTAAGGTCATTTGCTTAAAGCACTCCAAAATTCATCAGAGTATGTTTAGGTTATATTTCATGGGAATTCAGATGTTTTTTTTTTCATATGAAAACAAAAATATATCTTTATTAGTGGAAAGAAGTGGTTATTTGCTATAGAAGGTAATTTTACATTGCTGAAATTTGGAAAAGCAAAGTAACATTCCTTTCTAAAACCCTTTTTACAGTTTGCTCTGCTTAGCACAAGTTCAATTCAAAACAGCTATTTTACAACTGAAAATAAATCATTCATACAGATGAAGGTGGTTAATATAAATACAGTTTTTGCACTTTTCTGTGTAAGAAACAAAGCACATTCAAACACTTCTTAGTTACAAAGCATTTACAATAAGTGAAACACATTTATGCACTTTTTCCTGACAAGTTTTAATTTTCGGCATACACAGTGAATATATTTATCATTTGCTTGAAAAGCTTTTACTGACTAGATATTACACTCAGTGAATTCTTCATTACAGAAATAACATGAATTGTTATATCTACATGATTCTTCACTCCTTAATTCAGGTAATAAATGAGGAAGAAACAATAGCAGTGTGTGAACAAAATGAGAACTTAAAAATAGCTGTAAATAAATCAGAGAAATGACAATGATTATGTATCTAACCTACTGCAGACAAAATAAAAATAATTTCATTTATATTCTGAACACATTGGTTTGAAGAAATTGCAGACAGAGACATTTTCACATTGGAACAGCACATTTAAAATTCATCTAATGACACTTTACCAGAGAGTTTGTGTGTAATTACATTTAATGGACGCAGCAATTGATCTTGTTGTGTTTCCTTTAGTATTCAGACTCACCCAGAACTTGGTTCATTAAGCGTTTGAAACTTCCACTTTGGTGAATATATTCATCAGAATTACCGATTGAATTTACCTGAAAGCAAGGAATTACCAATGACAGTTCATCTTTTTAAACACTGTAAGTATATAAGGATGAAGGGTTCACATTTCTTGTGTAAAGTATTTCACAGTGTTCTGAATAATGTTGGGGATTTTAGGTCGTGTGTGTTCAACTCAACAAGTATCATACACATGTACTTCACTTCTAAAAAACATAAGATTATGTACATGGGTAATATCTCTGTCACCGAGTTTATAAACAAGTATAATTCTTGTAATGTGATTTGTTAGTGGTGCTAGCATAATTAGGACCCAGTATACAGGCTAAAGCAAATTGTCATCTTTTTTAATAAAATATAAAGAATTATGAGTAAAAAATACTGCTGCTATTTCCATACACGTTAAGAAGTCAAACAAACATACATTACATATACTCACTCAAAAAATATAAAAATCGAAACCCTCAGGATTTGGTTTAAAATTAATTTGTATGATCTGTTCTTGAAAAGTTGCACTTCTTTGCTTTATTGCACTACAATAGTTGCATCCCCAAGTATGACAATTTTTTTGCGTGTTCTTCTGTCTATATATGTGCCCTGTAACTATGTTATATGGTATATCATCATATTATACTCAGCATAAAACTATGAAATGGAGTCATAAGATCAGCAGTGAAATGGTTACTGGTACATTTCTTGCAGCAGGTGCAAAGTGGATTTGGGTTTCCAGTTGCTATGAAGGTGAAAGATATTTCAATAGAAATACTTACAGTATAAGCAGGTCCAGATGCGGCCTTCTGAAATGCAAAAGAATATGCAATTTAATTACAAATTATATTTCCAGAAACCTGTACTTAAATTGGGGGGGTAAAGTTTAGAATTTCAGTTACAATCTTCTCTCAAGGATCTGGTGATGTAGTAAGGCTGTTTCCAGGTTTGTTATGAATAATATTATTATTCTTAGTTTTGTATTATTTGTGAATTTTTTGTAAAATTAGAGTATCTGAAAAATAAACAAATGTGTGTGTGTGTATGTACACATGCAGGCGCACACATGCACACACATATTGTACATGTGAACTCATATTTATGTTGTAAGATTTGAGGCTTTCACGGCGGTGACTNAAGATAATAAGGGAATTAAATTACATCAAACTATAAAGCATATTTTCATTTTGGTCTATGTCTTACACTCATTTCCATCTATTTTTATATTTTAAGAGGAAAAGATCTTGGTACAGAGTACATTTGCATATTTCATTGCTCTTATGTGAGTCTTCTTGCAGTCAGCATCAGCACATCCTTATCTGCATGTCATTGTGAAGAGCAGTGTCTCTGGGATATGAGGCCATGTAGTATGGTATCTTCATAATCACACTCATGCAATCCTCAAATCCTCTGTTACATCCTTGTATCCCACGATAACCTAATTCAGTTGCTTACTGCAATTCTCTGGCATGCATCATTCCTTTGTAAACTGAATGGGTTCTCAGCACTGAGAAGCATCTTGAAGTTCACTATGTATCTCCTATCTTTCTGATATATCACAGCAATAACTGACAATTTGTTGTATGCCTCCTTTTATGTGCAGAAATATTCTGTGACTCTTTAGTGAACTTGTATATTTTTTCACTTCAAACATTTATTAAACATTGTATTTCTGTTAATAGAAAGGCTCATTTTTAACTTGTAATGGTCCTCTAGCTTTTCTCAGCTTTCAGTGTTTTTATTTAGCACATTGTAACTTTTACCTGAATCTAATTTCTTCTGTACATATTTGAGATTTACTTTTAGTTCTTTTCAAGTTCCTCCAGGAGCTCCATCCTGTCTTCACAAGCAGATTCTTATGAGGTCACCAAATATTTTTCAAATGTGTGTAAGTACTTAATAATATAATTTAAATTTATAACATTCTTCAGGTCCTGAAGACTGAGTTATGACCCATAAAGCTAAAAGGTGAAGTTGTCCTTATGTTTAACTAATCAAGCATAACGCCATGAAGGCATATGGGGGAATGGATATAGAGAGCCACATTTTCTTGACCTCAGCACTACCTGGAGGTGAGTACTCAGGTTCATGCCCTGACTGCTTCACCCCCAGGGAAAGAGACCCTAGTACCCATTGGATAGAAGTCTGGGTGGGCCCCAGAACTGGTCTGGATGACATGGAGAAGTGAAAAAAATTCTTGTCCCCACTAAGACTCGAACTCCAACCCCTTGGTCGTCCAGCTATACTGACTGTGCTATCCAAGCTCCCTGAGTATGACCCATACATTTATTAATTTGTTTTTTTTTTCTTAAGCAGCTTATGAAACAGAATATCAGTATTTTCCTGCCGAATGCAACTAACTGTACTAAAATTGAGCCCAGTGGTATCAGTAAACTTCTGAACCTGCAAGAACTAGAACTGAACATATACATGCCTGGCCCAGTAACACTATGCCAACGAAACATCACATAATGTAGACATGAGGAAATGGAAGCCAAGCACTGAAATGCAGATATCAGTTTACATCATCATGAAATTTCTGAAGCTTTGAATGTGATTATTTTACTGTTATGTTCTCTAAAACCTTGATATGTACAAAGGAGTTTTATAATTTTAGTTCAGATTTTGGTCTTACTCTTTCTAATTCATATGTAGATCTGCTGTATCTTTCCTTCTTGACTGAATTTGCTGTGTGTGTGTGCGTGTGTGCGTGCGCGCGCGCGTGTACCAGGCTGTGAAGGCCCATAGGGTTGTGAGACGTTGAGGGTCCCGCATTATCTAGACAATCGGCTCAATGATGGCGGTAAGGTTGTCAGCCTTACGCGCCGCCCGCGCTTTACTCCCTAGGAAGATTATTTAATTAATTCCTGGTACTCATTTCTGTTAGAAGCTGAGTAAACCCCAGGGCCATGGTATGGCTGGAAGGATTAGGAAAATTGAAAACATCCAATAACCTCATTGGGACTCGAACCTGCAACCTTCTGGCTTGTAGAATAGTGCCTCAACCAACTGCACTACCATTAATGCTGCTATATGTAATGTTATTTGTCAAAGAAACAGTACATGTTATCTGTATTTGATGGAGAAATATTACTTACATGTTGGTATGGCTGGGGACCAGGTGCTCTCTGAAGAAAAGAAAAAATTCATACATGAAAATGTTTTACAACCAAAGTCTTGTCTTACGCATACTATAGAGCAGCATCCTATTGCACATCACTTAATATCAAATGTCACTGGTCCCCCTGTCTCATGTGCAACATGTCTTTCTATAAAACTTTCTAGAAACTTTAAATTTTTGCACATCATATAATTTTAACTTTTTAAACGTTTTTCTCTACCTGTTCCAACAAATATGGTCATCATCAGGTGTCTAAATTAGTTGAGGAAACTGCTGTGCTTCTGTTATTTTAATGTATGGTCCCCTCTATGCACATGTGTATTCCAAGTGATGGGTCACTCTTCCTGTTGTGTTGTGCTATGTGTCTTTTTTACAAATTCACATGTAGTATCCCTGCCCCAACCCCTCCCATATATACACAAAATCTACTCTACACACATCGCACTTCCTACCTCATTCCCCCCTCCCCCCAATTCCACCAAGGTAGACAAGAATAGGTTTTAAAATACCCGTTTAATTCATACTATAATAATACCTACATTAATTTTAATTGAATTATAGTTTACTATGTCATATTTTGAGGAATGGTTTGCATAAGATGAGACAATTAACAAACAGTGTATGCATTATGTAGCAGTCCAGTGATGTATGTTGGCAATATTTTAGCATTTTAAACGCCTGATGATGACCATAAATGGCTGAAACATATAGCAAGTTCACTTAGTGAATATGTACTGATTTCACTGATAACATTCAAGTCTACGGTTGTTTATTTATAAGTTGTGTTATGACAGACACACTGATATACATAGCATATACACATATGAAGATAATGCAGTAATATCTCAGGCATCTTCTATAGCCTTAGCACAGACACAAAGTTCACAAGTGAGTGTGTTGGAAAATACACTAAAAGGTGGAAAATTTGCTGCAGAATATTTTGCTGTAGCTGAAAGATTTCTTAGATACAGATATTAAGTTTTTTTTAAGAATGGAACCAACATCAAACAAGTAACCTAATGGGATGCCTCTCGGAGCTGATCCATTCACTGCAGTGAGTCTGTAAAATTTTAGTGAGCCACAAGACTGCCATTTTGTGTCAATTCCTAATTAACGTCTTGTTTATGATTGTAATAAATATGTTACCTTGAGCTGTGCACTTGGTGAGAATACTCGAGTTTGAGCAGGAGCTGTCACCTCTTGGATTGAGTCTCCCAGTTCTGCTTCTTGAAGTGCTTTGAACGTCTCTGACTTGGCAGGGTCATAGCTAAGTGTCTTCCTCAAGCTGTGCGTTAATTGGTTTTGTGGGAATGGAATTTGGGTGATGTCAAGATTGAGAAAACAGCAAATGAGGCAATATAATTTTGTGTGTAACAGTCATATTGTTAATGAGAAAGCAATTACATTTAGAGTTTCAGTTGTGTTGTTTTGAGATTCAAGGGAACATAAGTGACATTCATTACATATTAGTTATTAAAATTTTGATTATTGTAAATTTGAATGAAGCATTTAATTGTTACAGAATTCTCATAAAATTCAGAAAAATCAAAACAATTTGAAAATGTATATTTTTTTTGTATTGCAAATAAAATTATTGGTTTGTTAGAATTCCATGGAGTGATTAATATTGCCGGGTATGAGGAGGTTGATCATGGTGTGGTTTTTGTTGTTGTTGTATTTGCATTTTTTGTTTCAGGAAAGAAAGATCAATGAAAATACTACCATTAGAAATGCAGAAAATGTTCCACTTAACATAAGATCTATTGTATATGTTTATACATGTTTGAATTAAATCAGAATTGGATTTCATTAGTTTTAATTTCTCTCCTTAACCGTAACAAATTAAACAAAATCTGTCCAAATTTTCACTTCACTTGCATGACTAGAATATTTATAAATGACATTGCTACCATTGTAAATAAAAGAACACAGAATTTAACCAATTTTCTTATTTGGCTTCACATTAAACAACATTTTTTTTTTATTTATGAAACCTTAAGCGTCAAGAAATTTACACTCACTCTATCAGAGAATCCCAAAAATAAAAAGAAAGTGTTGATTCTTGACGTGAGAGAAAGAACATACACTTAACATATACTTAAATTAGAAACAAGTTGGTTAATTCTGTATAAGACTGTTCAGCTTTCATATTATACAACAAATTTTAATGAAGTGAGCGCTGAAATAGTTGTCCTATATAGAAAAGTGCTTCTGCTAAGCATTGTGTCATAATGGCACATATTTGTGGAGAGTAAAGTTCCACATATTTTTTAGCACTAGATAGAGCTGGTGGTCAGCTTCATGCTCTGGATGGTTTGGTCACTCTCTTTCTTTGGTTTGCCTCTTATGCTGAATACATGGAATCAGTGTTGAACAAGGTCTTTATAAGTTTTCTCTACTTTAACAGAAATAGGAGTCGGTATCGTGACATGTTATGGGCTGGACAGCCAGGATTCAGTTCCCAGCAGGGGAAAGAGATTCTTCTCCGTTCCACAGCCTCCATATCGGCTCTGGGGCCCGTGCAGTCTCCTATACATTTGGTTCCATGGGTTCTTTCCCTGGGGGTAAAGCAGGAGGCTTACAGCTGACCACTCACCCCATTCTAGTGCCGAGGTCAAGAATGAAAGTGGTAAACCTCCACTCCCCATGTGTCTCCATGGTATGGTGACTAATTAAGCAAGGGGACAACTTTACCTTTAGCTGTATCTTTTTTGTTTTCTTGGCACTACAGCCCCAGTGGGCCTAGGCCTACCTCCATGAACTTCTCCAAGCTTTATCTTTAGCAGAAGTAATTTTCAGACATTGTTATTAGTATTAGAGTAACAGATGCAGTTAGTAACCTTAAAATATTTCACAGTAAAATAATATGCAATACACTGAATTTTAGCATGTATGCATACTGCAGTGAGATTTAGAGTTTCTAGCGAATTTAGAGAGATAACATGCTTCAAGAATGAGTTTTAAATTCATTATATTTTCAAACAGCACACTCACTATCAACACAGAATTGCCATAAACTGGCAACTCTCTAGTCTATCTATCTGACATTCTTCTTTTGTGGCCCATGAGATGGCAGTAAGCTACAGAGTAATTTGAGAATATTTTATGTGTCAAACAACATGTCCAATTGTAATTCTCTACAGCTATGGATGAAATAAATAATGATAATGTACTCTTCTCCAAGTATAATTAGAGTGATCAAGTCGAGGAGGATGAGCTGGGCAGGTCATGTAGCACAAATGGGGGAGACGAGGAATGCATATAGGATATTGGTGGGAAAGCCAGAAGGAAGGAGACCACAGGGAAGACCAAGGTGTAGGTGGGTGGACAATATTAGAATGGATCTTAGAGAGATGGGATGGGATGGTATGGATTGAATAGATCTGGCTCAGGATAGGGACCAGTGGAGGGCTCTTGTGAGCACTGTGATGAACCTTTGGGTTCCATAAAATGCTGGGAAATTCTAGAGTAGCTGCAGAATTGGCGGCTCCTCAAGAAGGGCTCAGCTCCATGAGTAAGTAAGTAAGTAAATAATAATAATAATAATAATAATAATAATAATAATACAGCTTCTGATGGTGGATTTTAGAAAGCTATGTCTCTTAATGCTAGTTCTAGTACAGAAGTAAATGTAATCAGATACCTACTATGGAAAATTTTACATATCTATTTTAGTTTTACAATTTCTACATTTTCCCTGTGCTTAACTAATTAAGCACTACGCCATGAAGTCATATGGGAGAGTGGATGCATAGATCCGCATTTTACTAACCTTAGCAGTAGCTGGAGGCGAGTGGTCAGCTTCATGCCCCAGCCACTTTACCCCCCTGGGAAAAGAGCCCCCAGAACCCATTGGATAGGAGGTTGTGTAGACCCCAGAGCCAGTAGCTAGCTGCTGTACCGACTATGCTATGCTCTTAGTTATATAATTATTAATTTTAAATAATTATTAAAAGTTTCGAAATTCTTAATATTTTACTGTATTAATGTAAATGCAAGACTGGATGGCAATCAAATTTTAATTTTTCCAAGGGGTGTTGTTTCTTGCAGCTTTTCATGTGTTAAATCCAGTCTTATCTCCTCATGGTGCCACAAATCAATCTTTGGAGGCTAGTCATGATGACAAAATACGTCACTGCGTAAATTACATTATGTGGATCGTGGCAGTATTGTCAGTACATGTGATAATAGTTAAGCCCTTGATACTGAGACAGTTGTAGATAACCAGTTCAAAATTAATCAATTCAAAATGCATTAATTAGCGAACTGAATTTTAATAATACAAACTTTAAAAACATTCTTAAACTCTTCAGTGAACAGACCACTGAATATTAATATATGCATTCCCTCTGAATATGCAGATCAGAGTGTAATGTTTAAAGCAAATTATTAAGCACTGAGCAGTGTATACAGATTTACTTTATATATACAGCACCATTTTCTTCTTCACAGATAATAATTATACAACTTATGTGCTTTGATATCATTAGATCATGCAGTATATATCATATGAATGATACTGAATTTGAATTTCATTGTAACGTCTTTATTAAAACACAACAGGGTGCATGAAATGAAAATTGAATTTCATTATTGTGTTATTTAATGAATCATGCATAAAAATAAATTAGGTATATGTAATCTCAAATGCAAGATTTTACAACTTATGCTGTATACGCATAATGTTATTACAATTACAATTTTTAGTAATATGTTTTAAAATAAGTTGCCTTACAATTAGTTTTATTAACAAAAATTCAGCATCTCATTATAAACATTTGAATTGCAATAATTTTACATCTGCATAAGAACCAAAGAATCATGCAGCGTCTTTCCATGCATAATTCATCAAGCAATTCAGCCTTATTAATTATATGAAGCAGAATGATTCAACCACAAAATAAAACATATCATAAAAGGAAGTTACTTTGTTAATTGGACCATCCCTTGAAAATGAGTGGTCATTTGGAAGCTATAATATATTTTAAAGCCAGGAATGTGAACTTGAGATATGTAATTAAAATGCAATACCAGTCTTCAGGTATGGCATACTCTGCTACAAGTATGCAATGAAACATAAATTATGCTGTGTAATACTGTTTTATAAGAACTAAAAATAAATATGAATTTCTACCTATATAAATAATATTTTTTATGCAACATAACTCATGTTTCATTCCATGATACATTATGAAATGTATACTAGTCACGCATGTTTGTATTACTTTTATGTTACATTATAGTGTGCTTCTGTTTACGCAAATACATTCTGAAAATTCAGAAAAATAATTTATGGAAAATTATTCATGGCTGTCAAATTGATATCCATGTTCTCCGTATTGTACCCATATAATAAAGAAGAAAGTAAATATATTTTGCAAGTAAGATTTTGTCAAATATAATTCGAACATAAAGTAATCGAGATTTTTGTACTTAGTTCGCTTAAATCTGGCAGTTTTTATGTAAGTTTTCATACAGGATTTCAGCAGCAGCTCAGCCTGCCCATGTCACAGCCTGACGCAACCTCCTTTTATAATAGCAAATTTAGAGATGCTGTTATACTGCGCTATTGCTGTACTTTATCTACAACACCGAGCTTTGAGTAAGAAGGCAGTGAGTAGAAGGAGAATGATATTTTGTGATTTGTTCCAGTCTCTACTTGCCTCACTTTGCTTTGATTTCGTCGATTCAGCGTTGAAGTTCCTACTCCTGCATTGTTCCTAGGGTTTTGCAAACCAAAATTGGATGCATTAAATATACTCATATGCCATCTTCTCTGAAGAACAAAGACTACCTAACTGAAATTAATGGAGGGTCAAGTTCATACTTGAAAATCGTTTTTTGCCATTACAGTAATGTATAAAAATTTTCTTTTAAACTTACGGTGTAATCCCTGTTTGTGAATGAATTGTCTCAGCAATGTTGTGATCAGAATATAAACCAATTGGCGAATTGAACTGTTTATGCACCACCTGAAATAAAAATTATGTTTTTAAATCATCATTTACAAACACCTTTAAAGGTTAAAAATATTTTTCTTGTGCATGAACTGTAATATGAATATTTGTTCATTTAGTGCATTTAACCAAGTACCAATAAAGTCCCAGGCTTCTTGTGGTATGGGGTTCTTTGAAGAGATAAAAATTTTCTTTAAAATATAAGGTTATTTAGGTTATATCAGAATCTGTGCCAGTCACACCATGTAGAAGGATGATAGTTGGGCAGTGTCAGTAAGAGGAAAGCTTCATGTTGTGGAAAGGAAGCAGTGCAGTGAAGTCCAAACCATTTTTACATGCTCATGCACTCACACAGACAAACACACCTGAAATGTGTGCCAGTATGAGTGGATGCTTTTTGTGGGGTTGTTCTGACAGTTCCTTGGTGAATAAAACTGACAGAGAACCTAATAATTTTAATGTATGAAAGGGAAATCGAAACCTGTATTCCACACACACACACGCACGCACACACACACTCCCCCACTGACATCTTCCAATGAAATATTGTATACTGAAACAGCATTTAATAACTGTCCAAGAAAAATAACAAACTGTACAATCTACCCAAAACACTTGCACACCAAGCGGGTTCTGCATATTGCCTGTCAAAATTTTTCTGAAAGATGCAGTTGCCTTACTTGAAGTAATCAGAGCAATTGAAAAATTAAAGTTAACTATCATAAGTGAATCTTGGAAAAACATATTTCTAGACAATGCAGGAAGTGAACAGTTTTTTTCTTGACATTGAACATTATCTTATAGCTGAGCTTGTCCCCATCTTATGGCTCACTGACAGAAGCAGAAAGAGATCTGTGTGCAAGTACACTGTCATTAAACAACTATTTGAGGCTGTCATGCTTAGGGGGTACCCAATTGATGAGTGCTAGGTTGCACAGTCGGAACACAGAGAGGAAGGATGAAGAAAGAGCGTTAATTGAAAAGAAATGGCCCATAAATGACATAGAAGGATCATTCAGTTACTTAGAACACCAAGAAAACATGCTATTTGACAGCAGAGTGGCAGTAGATTGACTTGATTGACTTGTAAGCCTCCATAAGAAACAAATTGACATAACCATCATCAGAATTCCATTATGTCAAGAGCCTCCTCATGGTATCAGGTATGTTTCAGAGTCATTATGCTGATCAGTCCTCATGTCCTCAGAAAAGAATAATGCAACTTATTTCAGACCAAACACACAGTCACTCTAATTAGGAAAGAAAATCAAGAAATAAACACCAACAAAACCTGGTTCCAAATATAGGAATTTACCGATAGTAGGCTCAGAGTAATGTACTTAAAATGAAGCTGTCATCAATGTACCTGGTCTCTCTGACATGGAATTAAAAATGTGAGATATTAATGACTGAATAAATGCTTGCAGAACGGTTGTGGTGGGGAAAAATTATTATATTATTGATCAGTAATGATATCACAAATATGTCACAAAATAACATTTAGCAGTATTAAAATTTAAACTGAACATATAGGGCTCTTTTAACCAGAGCTAGAGTGAACCAAAACGAAAAGCTACAAATTCAATGAGCCACATATTTGTGAATTTTAAAGAATACATTTGTTAAAAATAAAATTATCATGACTGCAATTCAGATCAGATGGGAAAGTTGTTTCATTTATTGGACTCTGGCAGATTTAGAGATAACTGCCAGTACACCATAGATACAAGGATGTCCCAGTAAAACAGTGACAGAAAACTTGTAATTTCATGGCCTTCACATTGATAACAGCTGTCATCAGTCTATCGTTCAGTGGATAGTTTATCACTCCCAGGCACAGAAACATTCACCAATGCAAACCACACCATTAACAAACCTTCTTCCCAGTCACTGCCTCTTCACCTGCAACTCGCTGAAGTACAGTGTCTGCAACCTGCAGAACACGGTAACAATCCCCGCAATAGTGTCAGCAGAAAACACAATAACTTTCGTAATGACTTGCTTCTTCAGCTCAGAGCTTTACTCTCTCATCATTTTTTAAAGAAAAATACTAATAATATTCTAAGAATCTGTGATGATGGTGTGTCATTAAACTGACACATTTGTTTGACTCTGTCATTATCTCATTTAAGTAACAGAAACGCAGTGTTTTGGAAACTTGCTTTGTCTCACCATCAGGTGAAAGTATTCTGGAGATAAAGAGTAGATCCTTCTGCTTATCCAAACCAATTAGTTTTCTGTTTTTACATGATGATGCAGAGAGAATAAATTTCTGAAATGTTTCCATAACAAAAATGAGACAATGGGCAACAACTGATATGTGCATCAGTTTAAAAATATTAAGGATATTTGTGCTTGATTTTTTAATGTTCTGTAAATTCCTATATTTGCGCTGAGAGACCCAGTAGGAGTCACAGTGTTCTATCCCAGATAACTGGGTCACATACATACATACATGCATTAACATGTGACTTCAGAGTTCAGCCATGTTTAATGTTGAAGCTATTCCAACTTTTTGGTATACTTTGCATTCTCATTGAAGATGGCAACATGGCCACCATTATATATTACAAACTTAGAAAATGATGGTTTTTATGACTCCATAACCACTGCTGTAAGATTATCATAAGAATTTATGATAACACAAAACAAAGGGGATTCCTTTAAGAGAGTACAGCAGTACTTTAGAAGCTGAATTCTCTCCCCCCCCCCCTTGGGTGTATGGGTGCCTGCATAATAATGAAGTAAGATACTTATAACTTGGTGCCATAATTAATTAATGATAATGTTGGATTTGAGATTCTCATGGCAGTGACTACGATGCATACAGCCTTCTGGGTTCTAACTCTGTCCAGCATTTAGGAGGAATGTGTCCTCTCAATCTTCAGGTTGAAACAGTAAGCCATGCAAAATACTGGAGAAGCAGGCAGCAAGCCTAGATTACTTTATCCTTTGACCCTGAAGATGGAGGCAATGTATTCCTCCAAAATGTTCGGCTGTCTCTGAAATACATGGCATTACAACCCAGAAGACTGTGTTCTCTTCAATTATTATGAATTTTTAATGTATAATTTAAAGTTTGAAGTAATTATTAAATTCTCATAATGCACGATACTTTCAGACTGAAATAACAAAAGAATTCTGCAAATAGCAGTCTTCATGCGATAGAAAGTTCCTCTTATCAACAATTGTTTGCATTGTGTGAAAGGTAAAGGTAAAGCTGTCCCTCTGCTCAACGAATTAAGCACTACGCCATGAAGGCATATGTGGGAGTGGATGTATGTATTGTGTAACTAAAATTAATTGTCATTAATCTGCATACGAATGTCTAACTCGCGGATGAGAATACTGCTGCTTGGAGGCCACATCCAGTCAGAGAGCTCAGCCTAAGAGGGATGTGTATTTGTACCGGGAACTAACTTCGTACCTCAGTTGATTACGAGTTTTCTCTCAAAATGTTCATACACCCCAGCCCACAACAACATTTGGTATTCTCATGTTAGATGAATTGAATGGTACATTATTCTGTTCCCTTACACCTAGATGTTCATGACTGCTTTTGCAAGAGGCTTATCGCTGGTCCCTACCCTGAACTGCATGAATCACTCCATACTCTTACATCCTATTTATATAAGGTACATTTTAATATTATCATCTCATCTATGTTTAGATCTGCACAGTGACCTCTTCTTGTTACATTTCCAAACTAAATTCCCCCTGACAATATTTTATGAAGAGTTCAAACTGTGAAGTTCCTATTTTGTAGTTTCATGTTGCCAAAATGTATAATTTAAGTTTACCTTTTGTTTCATAAGCACTTCAGCTGATGTGTCATAATGAGACGGAGGTGCTCTGAACTTCGGATTGGGATGATGGCGTAGGTATGACGTCGTAGTTACAGCATCTTTCTTGACCTTAGCACCTGGAAGAACTAGGGGCGTTGTGCGGTATGGCTGCAACACGCATGAGTGTACATCAGTGACAAATGCAGACCAGACTGTGACGCTGCTCAAGAGAGTCATGCAGGACAAGTCTGGACGACAATGATGATAAGAACGAAAATAATAATAATAATTAGCTGAATATTTACACATTAAAATCCATGTTTATACAATTATTCATTGCCCTAATTACTAAGTAAACAAATTCTTTCCAGTCCACTTTCCTGATTTTATAAAGTCACAACCATGTGGCACTATAATATCATGCATATGTAGGCTCCATCTGTTTCCCATTATAAATAATGTGGACCATAGGCCCGTTGCTAAGCGGTGACTCTGTAAACGACAGTTTTGGGGCAACGGCTCGGTAAACACGTTCCCCCGGCAACGAATACGCAAGCAACAATCGGGTTACTGTGTAAGATTTGAGGCTTTNTTCTACCCTGAAGATGGAGGCGATACGTTCCTCCGAAACGTCGGTTAACACCACATATACACGGTGCCAAATCCCAGAAGACTGCTTTCTTCAATCGGGTTACTGTTGGAAACGGGGATGTTTCTACGCGGTCCTTGCCCAGATTTGTATAAGCAAGGGACAAAGTAAGTTGTTAAGCAGTTCTGCACGGGAGGTTGTGAGGATAGAACCTATCTCAACTGTTAGAAGCCGTTACGAGAGAACGGCTGGTGAAGACACAGCAGGCTGGAAAAGAACTTAGTGGGTGATGTGATGATTTGAGAATTCTGCAGATTAGCGGTGGCGCTGTAATTACGTTCAGTTCCCAGTCGTGTGTAAGTGGTCAGCAGATCGAGTCAACAATCCAAAGCGCGTCTATAGTCACCCCTAACACGTAACAATAATACGAAAATTTTGCTGTGCGAATTTCTGATATGGCAGTGGCGCTTAACCTAAGGTCTTGAAATTGTGTATGGTAACAGATTATTCTCCAGCTAAAACAGACTAACAGTTGGGGAGCCTCTGGAAAATATGTCTGTGCTGATTATCAAACTTTTGAAGTTCCCTGATGTGTCTTTCTGCCATTACAATCGGTTTGCCACGTTGCGTGTGAGCCACTTCAGAGAGTGGAAGTTTACTTCTGAAATCAACATGCGTGTTTGTGATTCCTTTGAAATGCCTTTCATCCCACGTGAGAGATATATGTAGAAGGAACGGGCTCCGTTTCGGTAAAGTAAACACACAAATCTGATTTTGCATAACATCTCACGGAGAACAGAATCAGAAATTTCAAGAGTGGCCCATTATTGTTCCCCATATTTCTGTTCCTTTAAACAAAATGGCGCAAGTTTCTGCACTGTTATTGCCTTGCGTTATGTGACTGACAACTTAAACATTCGCGTCCATAAGAAGTGCTTCGTCCGAATTGAAAATACGCGGTTACTATCATCAATATGGACACCTGAGGGCTGTTGTCCTGGCGATTTGAGATCTGAATTTGCAGACTCGAAGACATGAAGGGGAGGGAGTGTGTTCAGTATGGCAACGTGAACTACTCAAATTGATTTCAATGTCGGATAAATTCTGCACTTTAATTGTCATGTGAGAGGGTTGTTCGAAAGTAGCGGCATGCTGACTTACTGCCCTCAAGAGATTTGTATATGAAAACTCTTTCTCTTCCTTCAATGAGTATTTTAATTACAAATGTAAAAGTACTTGAGTACATCGATATTGTATAATACAGGTTTATGCTTAATGTATACCTTTTAATGTTTTATAATGTATCTATGAGTATTATATATCATGTAGTACATGGGCTGTTGACTAATGCACTGCTGCATTATGTATTTAAGCTGTCATGGCAGTAACCACATCCACAGAATGTAATTTCTTAATGAATCTATGGTGAACTAATGAATGAATGTTATAATGCGGAGAAGAATTCGTATTAGGGAAATCCATAAACCTGCGAACTTTTCACTGCAGTCGGTGACAGAACTTCAGAACGATATCCGAAGTGATGACGTCAGAGTTCCGATGTTGGATACGGACTAATTATGCTACTCGTAAACCGAAATATTTAACATAGTGAAAACATTCATGCATACCTCGTGATAATGCGTTATATCGTGATATGAGATTTGAGATATTCATGGCGATAAAAATGTAGATATGACACCGTGTATTTTGGTATGTGACTACCAACGCTTCGGATGAAACTGCTGCCTCTGTCTTCACAGTTCAAATTCTGTTTGGTTCACATCAAATCCACCCTGAAAATGAAGGTTCTATGTCCTTCCGAAATGTTTATACCCATCTACCAGAGCACATGACGTCATAACGCGAGAGACCACAATCTAAATTACACTTAAAACTTGCGTTAAAGCACCGTTCCTCGTCCTACATCCATTGCTTTCGAAATGTTGGGTTCCACTGAATATATTAAGAAGAATTTCTGAAGATAACGCTCAGCACATGTCTCGTGCAGTCTATAAAGGTTTTGCTTTACGCTGATAGACTAAACACCATTTGATGCAAATTGGCCAGGTGCTCATGTATAATGGCCACCCGTACAGACGCCCCAGCCTGACAATGACCAGATGTAACCTCACCGTAGCCATGTCTGAATCTCTGAACACATTACAACAGCTTCACAGGAACTCTGTTCTTCCCAGACAAAGCTTCAGGCTGCAGTGGCATGGATCACCAGTTTTCAATACCAGACGGAAGGCTGACTACAGAATTCGCGCCAGAGCCATCTTGTTATTTAATATTTAATACTTTAAACAGAGTTACATGTTTCTGAAGTGACTTTCTCAGGGTAATATGTAACACAGCACCAGTGGCGCTTTCTATTCATGAATTCGCCTAGGCGTCCTGTTTACGGTCAACAAATTGGAATTAGCTTTTTCAAGCACAGTGGTAACTATATCTACCATGTGATTTAACACTAAAAACTCCGACCTTTGGACAGAGTATACTATTGTGTTCCGTACGAGTCTCAAAATAAACGCCGATTATTTCTATAAAAGAAATTAACCGCTCGGACTTCCTATGGAGACGCGATGCAGGTAACAACCGATTTTTAAAATAAAAATATTATGTTTCTGGACATTATCCATCGTCCTGTATTTATTTGAAACACAACGCATCGGGGACTGGATTATGTCTCCGTCTTCAGATAAAACCTACCGGTTTCCGAAACGTCGTGTTTTAAATTAATGCAGAACGATGGATAATGTCCAGAAACATACTACTTGTACCAATTTACCACAGGGGGAAAGCGGTAGAGTAGTTGGTTGAGGCACTATGCTACAAGCCGGAAGGTCGTGGGATCGAATCCCGATGAGGTGGATTTTTTCAACTGACCTAATTCTTCCAGCCGCACTATGACTCAGCCTCTAACAGAAATGAGCACCGGGAATCTTCTTGATGGTAAAGCGCGGCCGGCGCGTAAGGCTGACAACCTTACCGCCGTCTTTGATCCGACTGTCTAGAAAATGTGGGAGTCTAAACATCTCACAACCCTATGGGCCTCCACGGCATGGTACAGGGATAGCTTTACTTGCTTACTAATTTACCATCGACAAAAACTTTTAATCTTACTGAATTTTTAAATATTGTTTAGATAAATTTCTGGCCTCAGTGAATTACAGCAGTGCAAGTGCGTCACGAAAATACACAGACACACTGACATGACATAATCGATCTTAGCTTTGCAGGCCTGCCAGGTGAACAGAAGGGCGAAAGCTGCTCGAAACACAGCCGATAGGCCTGCACTCTGCTGTCCCACATGACACCCGTCCTCATACTAGGCTACATGTACTATAACACGCAAGTCTGTTTCTGGTCTGTCTGGCTACGCTGGCAAAAAGTCGGATTATACAGCGCCGAATGGCAGTTGGAAAGACGCAGAAAGAATATAGTATGGCCTTTGAGGTACTGTCCCGGCATTTCTCTTGAGTGACTGAAGAAAACTACGATAAACCTTAGTTAGGGTAGCTGGTATAAAATTCGAGATTTGAACCCAGTGTCTTCCGAGTACGAACATGCGTGTTAACCACTCCACAGGACGTTCCGTGGATGAGTCATGAACTGGAGACACTTCCTCGGGCTTTAAGCATTACGCCTTCTGGCCTGTTCCACTCCACAGCCAACGTCAACAAGCACCAATCTTTGTATTGTTACCTCAGTAGAGGGATAATACAAATATAAACAAAAACACATCCATACCGGAGTGGGATTCGAACCCGAGATCTCAATAAACAGAGGTCAGACACAGCAGGATCGCACGGCCAGTGTTATCAGTGTACAGGAAACGGAAGTTACTTCACGGAGACCTTCGTGCCCGACGGAAGACTAACGTCAGAGGCTCCCTGCAGAACTGTGTGGGTGGCCAGCTTCACGAAGGGCAGGTTCATACGAACTTGCAAACGACCCAAATTCAGCCATTCGTTCTGAAGATCCACATCCAACAGTGCCCTTTGTTTGCCCGTGCAATTCCACAAGAGCGAAATTAGTACAGGAATTCTCATTATCTTAGTTTGATCGTTGCTGCGTGTTGAAACGGGAGGGCCATAGTTAACATCTGAAAGTTGAGTAAAATGCGCCGCGCCCCCCTGCTCGTAATGGGACAGGCCCACGCCTCTCAGGTGGCGAATCTTCATGTCCGACGCAGCATATATTTTTAGAAAAAATGAAACATCGAAAATCTTTGAAAGTGCCATGTAGTTCAAACTCAGTTCACACCCACACAGAACTGAAATAAAAGAGCTTGCTGAAGTCTTTATATTTCGTTGTGTGTTTTTTTATGTTTATCTTGATGCCACAGAAATCGAGTGCGCCGATCCCAGTGGCCGCGCGTCTAAGGCATGAACTTTCTTCGCGCACTCGAACGCTAGGATCGTGGGTTCGAATCCCACTCAACGCATGGATGTCTGTGTGCGTTTATTCTGCGTTTGTGTTGTCCTGTGTGTAGGTAGCAGCCTTGCGATGCGGCTGATCCCCCGTCCAAGGAATCCTATCCACTGTGTGTACGATTAAGGAACTGAAAAAGCGG